TAGGACTGGGTAAAAAGAACAAGAATAATGAGATATTTGACCATTTCTTCCAAAATCTGTCCTGCTGTCCGAGGTTTGTGATTTTCGGGGGCAGCGCTGTCCAGCTAAGGGTACATGCTGTACATACCTACCCAGATGCCACTGCAAGCCACAACATGGCAATAGCATGCAATAGGTATGCTAGGAGATATTGTCGACGGCCTTGCTTACCTACCCGTAGCATGACTGTCATCGCTTCAAGAATTCGGTATTTTAAGCACGCTTTTCCAAGTTTTGCTTCGGTAACCGTCAGGATTTCCAACTGAACGGTTCAAGTTGTTGTTGACGTATCGGTCGCTAATCTGTCGAAACAAGCCAATCTGGATGCAAGATCTCCGAGAATTGCTTAGTAGCATGGGGGGCGCAGGCAATCTAGCCGAGAACGAGTCCTGATCGATTAATTGCACGCTAACCACAGTCGAACCATTTGCCCACATGGTTCTCCAAATCTGACCAAAATCCCGGGTTGGGACAACGGGATGGACAGCTTGGATTGGCCGATTTTTTAATGGCCAAAAAATATAGGTATCTATCTCTCTTGTCATATATTTTATTGTGTCGGATGACGTGAGCCCTTGCTCACAACAAAATAAGGATAGTCTGCTCGCAATTGATTGGCTTGAGGTGAATTGAATTTGGGAAGATTAATCGAACGGACCATTACTCGGTAGATGTATGAAGAAAGAAGTAGGAATGCTAGAGTTGACTTTCCCTCCATGCTAGCGGAACCCCGAATTATGTATGTAAATTTCGGATAAATCGGATTGAGTGATGCAGCTAAGTATTTGTAGCGAAGTTGCACTAATCACGCACTAGGTAGACTACGTGTATCTGGATATCGAATGTATTCTCCGACGTGTTCAACCCTAACGGTTGCATATGCCTCTTTCAAGGCGAACTGAACAGAGAGGCAACATTTGGCGGACGAGGGGTTGCGACTCCTACAAATTGCGCTTTTAGGTAATGCACCCGACTAGGAAGGAAGCAATGGAGGAAATAAGGAACTTATCGAAACGTGTCGCGAATTTTGCTCGTTACGATCCGCCATCTAATCTGATCTGATCTCACTCATCTCACTCGATACCACGAAACGTTGTCGCACACTTTATCATCGCAACAATGCAAATCTTACCCACGAACTTTTAGAATCCGATAACGAACATCCGGCTATTCCGACTCGTGGCGCCTTTGCAGAAATCTTGATTTCGCTTAAATGTTTATTTACATCGTATCAATAATTGGCTTATGCAGTTCATGGAAGGTTAGGAAATCGATTGATAATTGAGCGCATGAAGAATAGTTTACAAGGTAATGAATCACCAGGTAGGTTGCAAGATTATTCTCATATTCCAGGTAGGCTATAAATCCTCGATGGATAGTTTCGTAACTATTGCGATATTGCAACATAAATTTGAATCCTGAACAAGATTGGATATATGTCCTAATTATTAAGACCTACCCACACAGAAATGAATGGCAATCCACAACACCTTGGACCTCCGCCTTGGAATGTTTACCATTCATATTAGTGGCCATGAGAACATCTCCTTCATTAAAACTTCTAGAAGCCCATCGGGAGTTAAGTCAAAATTAGCAATGCATATTTTTACGAAGCATCCATCAATATCCACATCCCCTACCCAGATCTAACTTTATGTCGGTCACAAGGCCACAACAATTGACGGCGGTAATAGACTGGAAATAACCCGAATAACCTACGTATAGGAGCCCGTTAAGCCTCGGACAACTGTAAATGTGATAGGATGGACGTAAGGACAAGAAAACGTCAAATAAACCTTGGTGCGTTTAGGTCATAAAACATGAAAGCATACAAGAGTTAAGGTGTAGGAAAGTTCCCTAAGGATTGAACAGCAAAGCAACTCCTACTACGCAGGTATGTAGCACGCTGTCTTCGCTGTAGAATATGCAGCATGCAGTAAAATAGCTTTCGGCAACATGCAGCCCCCCAACCTGGTCCCTGTCAACCCTTTCCCCACTCGATTTAAAGTATATACATGGTACATGAGTAGTAGTAGTAGTAGTAGTAGAGGTAAAGTGGTAGATTTCGACGGTATGCAGTGGAGTGCTGCTAAGGCATGCGAAGGAGCGGCCCCAAAGACCCACTGGCTCTTTGAATGAGATCCATCTGGATACTTACCTACCCCTGCTAGCAAGCCAAGGCACAAGTACCCTATACGTCAGACACTAAACCGGTACGTACCTGTCTATACATGTACGGATGGATATGTACATACCAGGTATTATACCTATTGTGTGCTAATTACTTCAGGCCGTCCAGCACTCATCCAGCACATGCTTGCCATGTTCCCTCGTAACCCCATCCCCGTCCGAAATCTCACATTCTGATCTAAAGAAGCAATGATATTCTCCTACAGCCCCATTCGAGAGACCTTGTATCTCTTCTTCCTCTCTGCTGGGTTAATAGGCTTAGGGTACCCGCAGCGGTCTCTTCGTCGTCCAAGAAACAGTTACTTCATACATCTCTGGTGCTCGTGATGTAGCCGTGTCGGTCGAACATGGAACCTCAATAACCTACTATCTACGTACATGCTATGGTAATAGATATGTAGGCAGCTCCGACATCTGCATCGCTGGCTGCGTGGACATTTTTCTTCGATTACGGATTGACACCGAGAGATCGTCATGAAATGTCGGGTTCTTAGGCGTACCGAATCATACCCTTCCTCCCCAATCAGGAACGCTCCTAGACGGAACAACCCTGGTCTGCCTACCGCCCATCTCATCTTCGATCTGAGCTGCCAAAGGGTTGGCAGAGATGCTAGTCGATGGGGCCTATCGCCACTAAGGGGGCCCTGTAACCCTCACCGTCTAACAGCTTTGGGTTGCCAAAAAGTGGTGCCACCTTATTTCGCTGTGAGGATAATGGCGTGACCTGACAGGTTTCGGGACTCGTCATTCCTATACAAACCAGCCTGCTATACTTGTGCTATACGTATACTGTACAAGTACCCAAGTTTTGGACCGTCGGGAGCGATCCGTTCGCGTTCAGATTCGCCCACAAGTCCCATGCAACTGGGGCTACCGTACGTTTGAGAAACAAGAGATCGTCATCTCACTATTCCCAGGCGATCATAGGTAGCCGACCGTGTCATTGCAGTTGCGAACCTTGCTCGCATCGAGCCAAGGTCGTTCTGTCGCCTTTTTTTTCTCTTTCTTGTGGAGAGGCGGATGTACCTTATTTTTATTATTTTTATTATTCTCTTTTTGATCATTATCATTGTCATTATTATTAGGTATCTCATGGGGTCGCCGTCTGGGGCTGCCAGATTGCGGCCACGTTTATTCTGCGGGCACAACAGCTTCGCAACCATCATCTCCTGCCCGCTAGGTTTGCTCTGCAATACGATACCAAAGATCCCAAGTCTCAGGGCAGGCATCGTGTTCCTTTCCAAGGGTGTGGGGAGGGCGATGGTGCCCAGAATCGCGAGCAATCTTTCTTCCTCTTCAGACCCCCCGGGATTGTGACAGAACCCAAGTCGCAGTACCAAGTGACTGGCTGCAAGCCCTGACTTGTGAGATTCCTATCCTTGTCACGACTATTTCGTGCCCCGTTTCCCCCACTTCTAGCGACCCAGGTCAAAGTCTCCGTACTGTGGTTACTGCACATACAATAGTAAATTGGTAGACAGGGGTGCCCTAATGTATGTACACCACAGGCTGGTGTTCCTTATTACGCATATTTTGCCCATCTACGTATGGTACATCATACATTGGTAGCATACATCTCGCTCTAATCTGCTGTGCTTATTTCTCTGAACTCTCTTAATACCTACAACACATCGCCCGCGTTTTCGTCATTTACTTTTGAACCTTTCTCTTCTTTTTCCCTCTCCCCCATTCGACCGTCACGAGGCCAACGTGACCTTGCCGGCATCTACGATTAAAAATCTTGGTTCATCTACATACATACCTACCTGCCTATCCTATTAGACGTCATCAACATCTTGCTCAATACTTTGCCCGTCTATCATTCTTAGATATATATCCGGCATCTTGGACTTGTTGCTATAAGATCTTATATCTTTGCCTATCTCGCCTGTCTTGCAAGGAACCATTGTCTCTTCGACGCCTGTCGACTTTTAAGCAACTTTAAAAGCACTGTATTGACAGGAAGTCCATACCGGCTCACACAACTAGACGCCGAAAGCAAAATCCCATAGAATCTTCGGATCATATCTAGACCCACTTGGGTGGCTTCATAAAAAGGTAAGAGTTCAGGAAATGTCTTAAAGGGAAAACCCCGTATCGCCACCACTCGTGGTATTTCTATTGTCTTATATACGAGACGTCTCTGTCCTCCACATTGTCTAGGAAGGAAAAACGGATGTACCGCTGCTCTAACAACACCCTTCCCGTCTTGCTACATCCGTACTTGATCTAAAGCGTTCTAACCAAACCGGGTTCGAAGATATTGTTTCGCCATCCTGACACCACTCTTGCGTACACTCCCGACCGATTTATAGTGTTTCATTGGACTACCTATCGGCTTAGATTACCTTAGGCTGGATAGCTCGTGACGGAAACTATCTCGACTCGAATCTTCGTTCTCGAATCCTCCTATCCCTACAGCTGCGCGCGAAACCCTAATTCCACACCTAGCTTATCTCGTCGGCGACGACTAACCTCAAAGTCACAAGCGCACGGAAATAAATCAGATGCATGAGTTGTTCTAGGTGACCGGTTGGAGATTTTGGTATCGTTGTTGGTAGCAGTCCCGCTATGGAAGCGGGTGAATCTGGAACTAGGTCAAGGTCCGTTATAATTAGGAGCTACCCGCTCTAACGCGCCCGGCGCTATCTCATCGAACTCAAGTTGATCAGTATCTTTCTCTTAGTGGTTTTACATCCGCTAGCAGACTTGATACGTATAGCCAGCGTCTTCCCAAACTTCCAGAGCGGCATAATCGCGACGCGCCTACGATGGCAGCCACGGCCTTGATGAATCCGGCTCCGGCATATCATCCTCATAAACCGCCCTACCCAACCGCTTACCATCAGCCACCTCCGCCATCGATGCCCAGTATGATTTCGCCCGGTGAGAGTAGGAGGACGCCCAACGAAGCGGAACCTGCCCAAAGACAGTCCCTTCCTTCTTTATCAGAAGTCTTCCCAGGGGCTAAACCAAGTCATTATTCGCCGACTACTCCTACGACATTGGGTGGTTCTCACAGTTTACCTCCTCCATTAAGATCTGAGCCGCCTCCCGAATCACGACCGCCACCACCTTCGCATGAAGACAAATTCTTCCGCTATCCTCCGCGATCAGAAGTTGGACCACCGCCTGGTCCGCCTCTTCCTCCCGACTCGGGATATCCGTACCCGAATCAGCGTGATCCCATTAAGCCCCCAGAACCAGTATCCAACGCAGGTCACCAAAACCCGCCGCCTCCACCTCAGATCCCGTACCCTGCGGGCCAGTACCCATTACCTCCAGCGCCTATCTCGCCACACCATCTAGGCCCCTCACTTCCACCTTACGAGCAACCACGGCCGCCCCTTCACGCCGACGAGGAATACGGCATACACCGAAATCGGTATGATTCTAACACTTTAAATCGGCATTTCGAGTCTTGGGGCTACCAGGACTGTCTAAACAAGGTCTGTTTCTCCCAAATTCGTACCGGTGCTATAGCTAACGGATACAGCAGTTGGTGTGGACGTCAAGAACTGTTTGCAATTTTGCCGAGGCCTATAGTAAAATTGCTTCGGAACAGCATGGTGGACAACCCATTCCAGAGCGATTGCCCAGTGACCAAGAAGTATCAAGCATGCTGGGAAATGTGGAGTTTATGAAACGTTCCCTTGAAAATCTCCGGGAATTGGTACAACACAGCTTGGCAACTGAAAAAGCACGAGAAGGTCGAGGGAAAGGGCCCTATGATGGAGATGATGATATAAGCATGTATGGTGATGGCATGAAGCAACCATATGGGCTTAGTGAAGTGAAGAAGCGACGAGGCGTAAGTCATTCCATCTTGCGTGGTCGACGCTCGAGACTAACATCTAGGTATAGCGCGCAGCACCTCCCGGCCGGTGTCACAGCTGCAATAGGATCGACACTCCCGAGTGGCGGCGAGGACCAGATGGTGCGAGAACGTTATGCAATGCATGTGGGCTTCATTACGCCAAACTCGAGAGGAAACGTCAAATGGAGCAACGGTCCATCCGACCGAAGACGGTGGAGGAAAGAGTATGAGCTCAGTTGCTAGTGGATTTTAACGCCAGTCACAAGATACCGTACGAATATCGGACTCTTATGAAGGAAGCCGAAAGCGGCATACGACCCTCATTCTTGAATACCTACCTATGATTCAGTCACTCAAGATTCCCTAAATACCTACCTACTCACCTTCTCGATCATTCGATATTCACCATATTAAAGCCAGCAAATCTTATCCTATATCGTTCCGGAATATATAACGTGTGTTAATTATTATACCCGATTTGGAACTTGTGGTCTTTTCTTTTTCGCCAAGTTTTGTTCTTGACATACAGTCAGCTTTCGTTGTATATACCCTCATCTGGGCGAAAGGACTCGGGAGGTTACGTCAGGGCATCATCCGGCGTCTGGCTGTTTCGCAAATTTGATTTCATGTGTCATTTGACGTTTTGGGTCGGTTCATGAAATGCAGTCAAAGGGGACTGTCAGAGTGGTTACTTATGGGAGTTACAATTTTTATTATTATTTTGGCATCTAAATAGTGGAAGCACGACGAGCCGAGGGACGTATGGGTCAAGCAGAAAAGAGAACAAAACTTAACGCATTCCCGTGGTGATAGAGGGACGGATGATATCATTCCTCATTATGTCTGGAGAGTACGACGCAAGTCCTTTTTCTTTTTTCCGAGTTTGGTGAATGAGCTCCGACTTATCGACCTCTTTTTGCCATGCCACAAAGAGCGGCGGGATGACTACAGTACTGGTACGGATTCAGTTCGTTGGTAGCGTTCCTCAAGGGACACCTACTATTTTATTGATTTTTTTGGTAATAAATATGGGGAGGTTAATCCAACTTTCTAAATCACGATTATCTTATGTGACTGAGACACGTAAATACATGAGAATCCACTTGAGTCTAGGTAACGGGTCTAGCTTCGCCCACTAATAAGCCTATATAGATAGATCCTTCAACGGATGGATCTTATTATAGATCTACATCTACATCTACACTATTAGTCATGAGCTTCTTCTTCGATGGACTCAGTATATAGCGGGTACCTATCGGAACAGAAATAAGATATGGTCTCACGGCCCCTTCCACAATTCTTCCCTTTTCTCCTAACGCTGCTCCCCAATCTCCCGCTATTCGTGACACGCGACGTGGGGAGGGACTGTGTCACGACTGGAGCTAGGCTACAAATCTACCGTAGCCGTCGGTTGTGGCGTGCCAGTACCTACCTACTCACTAATACTTCTGTGAATGAAGGCCCTACGGCCCGTTTGGGAAATTGCTGACCTACCTCCTAAGCCTGTTCGATATCAGTAACAGGCACTTATCTACCAGGTTCTCGTCACAGCGGCGACAAGCTCACGCGCGCTAGTCGTTTTAACGAGTACCTACTGCCCACTAGGTAACAAGAAAAGGACAAGCCAGTTCATGATAACCGTCTACTATTTTTACTTTATTTTTTATTTTTTTTTCAATGCGGTACCTCTTGGTTGAGGCGCTCCGGACGACGATGGCAGGATGCAAGCTCCCCCTCCCCCTACCGCGAACTGCACCCACGCGGCGGGAGGCGCGGGCCTCTCCACACAGGTGCCGCCGTGCGACGTGACCTGTCAGATTGATGACATGCGCTTCGAACTGCTTAGCCGATGTCGCTGCAACGCCCACGCAATATCCGCGGGGCTTGGCGAGGGATACAAGGAGCGACGAGCAACACGCGACAAAATTCGTCGCTTTGGTGGTTCACCAGCCTCCTAACTTAACCGCAGTACCAAGATTGTGTTGTGGTGGTTTTTTTTTCCTCTTGTGAACTGCCAATTAGGTAGGATGATGTAAGGTGGGATCGAAGGTACATAGCTAGGTAGGCACTACATACATTAGTATGTGATAAAAAGGTTGGCTGTGAACCCGGACTACGCTAGGCAGGTTTGTAACACATGGGATCTGAGACCTCAGGGTCCCTTCGTCAGTGCGTTGCGTGTGTGGCTGGCATGGATGGTACAGCTATCTAGGTAGAGACACACGCTACCACCCGGGGCGTGCGCGCTGACAAGTAAGGGATGTGGAATTTCATATACCGGTGTAAGATCGATATTAGAAAAAAGCCAACATATTTTCAAAGAGACATGTATTCACCAACGCCGCAACCTTTCCCCCCAACCTTAAAAGTTGGAAGGGATACAATAAAAAGAGGCTTTATTAGAGGGCTTTCGACGACCGCAGCGCCGCGAGCCTACCTACAGGATCGGGACGAAAATGCGGAGGACCCCATTCGTCCATCGAGCGGTACACCTGTGATCCCGCGGCCGGCGTCACGGCAGAGGGGGAGAATTGGGAGTTGGAGTATTGGCGAGGAATTATTCTCGACTCGCAGCGGCTTTCTACGCGATTTTTCCCTGCGCGAGATATCTACCTAGGTTGTGGACCCTGAGGCTCAATATATATAATACCAACCGAACGCTTGAACCCGTTGCCCTAACACGGGCTGCTGCTACGACTGTCACTCGCTGCGCGTCCACTCTCAGCCCCGACGCGTATCTTTTTTTGTTTTTTTTTTCTTCCCACCCTTTTTCCTAGGGAACCGGCAACTACACATCGTAGACATTTTATGTATGCACGAAAAGGGTGATTGCATTCCGTGCCGTCCTATGCTTAATACAAATTAGATGCGGGAAGACGGAATAGGTGAAAAGGGACTTCCACGCGGGCGAACGAACGTATGGGAGGGCAAATTAAAATAAAAAGATAAAAAGACATCGGACGGGTATCAGAGGGTAGGTAGGTAAGGAGGACGGACGTAATAGATCAAGATCAGATCATCGTCGCGCTCCCCCCTATCTATCTCACTCCCGTCGCACAGTGTTGGCTGTCCTACGGGCGCACTAAAGAGAGAGGCCTGCATGAAATCAAGTTCGCCGCGATGCAGCCAGGCGGGATCTGCATCATTTTGCCCTCTAGGCTAGATCTCGTCTGTCAGACATCCGTCAACTTTCCCCCGGGGAAAAAAAAAAGATGGGGGAGTTGGGGGGGTGGGAGGGGCAGACGGGGCACGCTTCGATGTCCGTTTTGCAGGACGGGTCGGGTACGGACTATCGAGCTTTGCCTTTTTAATTAACTGCCTATACAAACGCTGTACGCTTTTAAAGTGGGAATCAGGCCGGCCGGCCGGCGGCAAGTCGCAGTTTGGAGGTGCCACCACCGCCCGCGCGCAATATTTTTTTTTCTCTCCCTCCTCCTTGTGTGCATTAAGCCGCGCTTTTTATGGTCACCCATGCTCGAAATAGCGCTTGATGCAACGTCGGGTTTTGAGTCTGGTATAACCTGTTGCCTAGTGCCCAAGAGCGTACAGAGAGAGAGGCACCGGCGCGGATTTTCTTGTGCTTGTGTCGCGTCCAATGTGTTCCCTCCGCCGGGATGGAGATACTGAGTTAGTGCTGGTCATATCTCGAGATCGGTCACGAGGCCTGCAGCTAGTATGCGATCTCAAGTCCCCCCAGGTTGGCCTCTCTCCATTCTCGGGTCATACATTGTACCAGCGCGGGATTTTCGAACTTATTTCGTGTCCGAGGGCGAACAATGAATGAATCAGCGTTACGCGGCACCCCTATTTGTCGCTGCTTATAAAGAAAAATAAACTTCGCTGAAGTTGATTGTGGCACGTGGTTTACTCATCCTGATACTTCAGATTTATAGGCTCTTTCGGCGATGGATCAGTTGTACCCCGGCCGGATAGAGTTAGGGTTTTTGACGGGTTTCCGTCCGGCTCGAAACTCAACTTTACCACGACTCTTTCCTGGCGCAACGTTCGTCCGATGTTTAGGTTTCGGCTCACGTTGTCAAAGTAACCTTTAGCTTCTTTTTGAGTTTACGTAGTTCCTGACTATTACCTAAGATGCTAGTTGTCGACGTCGTTTCTCAGATAGGGTTGAATGGCCGATTTCTCAACCTTCCCGCTCATACCTATTCAATCCTCTTTTCTTACATTGATATTCGCAAGGCCGACAGACGGACACGATAATCGCGTGGTGTCTCTCAGCAACATAAGACATGTGTAAATTACCTTGTCTCTCTCGTGGACCCCTTCTCCCGCAAATCTACTACCTTCCACAGATCTAAGACATAGTTTGATCCTTGATTCACCTCCTTATCAATTGGCGACGATCTCTGTCCCGTGCTGAACGTGATACAGCCACATGACCTAGTTCTGCTGGTTCTAGTTCCCAAGATGGTAGTTACATCCTTCTCCATGATATTTAGATTCGTGGGTGACTAAGACCAAACTAAAGCACGATCCGAAGCTATCGTCATTCTAACCTACTTTGTTCATCGAAGACCTGCAAGAACTATCAGATCTACGCTTACGCACCTCATAGGAGCCCATGTAATAAGAATGATTTGATTTGTAGGCAGAGAGGTAGGCACAGAGGCAAACTAAGTCTTAGACGGCTCGTCTCGAGATGCCTCTGTTTGTCTGTCCCCTTTAATCCTATGCGAGATGGTTTCATGCTATCGCCCGAAATTTTATGCTTACCTACGTACAGTTTCCGACGGTTTCTCTGTCTAAGATCGCGAGTCACAAGACAAGGCTCGAGCTACTAACTCTTAGTGTTCATTGCACGGGAGAGCAAGTACCGAAGCATACATAAACTAAGGCATTATATCTACCGAGGGAAAGCTTGCTTAAAATAATCGACTTGCGTAAGACGGCTTAAGCGGCTTAGTCAGTCACGGATACATCCACGACGACGATACGAGCATCTACTTCTTGTACAAGTACTTTGCGACACGTGGTGTAGCAGTCTGCTTGTCATCCATTCTGCCAATCGAGATCCTTTCCAGATCCCAGATCGGCCCCCCACTCTACAACTCGCAGCTTCGGTGTGCTGTATCGGTACATCCATCTCCATCTCACCCTACAGATGTACACACCCCCATTCGTTTTAGTCCCCTTAATTTTTTTAAATTCTTTTTCCCCTTATTAATTTTTCCCTATTCTAAGCATCGTTTCTCTATTGGGCTATCCGTGGCCTGATTTCGATCCTTCCCGCCAAATCACCCACAATTCTCCATTCTCGCGATCCCGCCAATCGTGCCTGTTCGTTTCCTCCTTCGGCGCGTCCGGGTTGGAACAGAGTTAAGAATATTGCTATGTACATGCCTTAGTACTGCGCTGCACGTGTACATGCATTACATGCTTACAGCAGTTCATGCCCACACTTGATGCGATGGATACAGTGTGCTGTACAAAACCTACTACGAGTCTCTATAATGTCGGTATGTATCTATTAGGTATTAGATATAAACCATACTGGCCGTAGCGTCGATAGTTTCTCTTCGTCGCCCTGCCGTATGTTCCGTCGTCAGCTGGAGATGTGTCGGAGTTTCCTCCGGTACACTTATTACTAGTGACTTAGGGGACTCTAGGGGGGGCCTAACTTAACGTCTAGGGACGATGTACCATAGACTTGATAGCTTCTCGCCGCTTGTAGGCTCCCCTTGTTCCGTTAAACATTAAACCGGTCAACTAGTAAGCCGGCACCCTTCCGTAGTCGCGGCTAGTGCCGTGCAAAGAGGTTAAAGAGGTTACTTTACTCATTTCTACCTCGTCTAAGGAACACCTAAGCAGCTAGGTTATCAAGGAGTTTTAGTTTCGATTTCCCTATTAGCGCCTGCTCTAGCATTTTAGTATTCTTCATACCTGGTTCTATTTCCTAACCCGGTGCGATCATCGCCGTTTTGATGCGCTACCGCGGGAAAAACCCATCGACTCAGAACCCGACGCTTACGTTTGAAGATTCTAGATCACGGTCTGGATTCTCCGCGTATCAACCGGAGCCAAGGTACCCATGTTTCACTAGGACCTATCCTTCAAAACATCGTCATTTCGTAATCTACGAGTACATGCTTCCCGCCTTCCCCGTCGAACTACGACAGCAGCTAGCCTAAGCTGAAAGCCCCGGGTGATCGCATCTAGGCTGAGATCTAGCTCGACGTCAGCACGTTGCATGAGCGGTGCCCTGAAGCTGTCCGAGCAAAAGGACGCAGGCCCTCAAGGTTCTCGGGCAGTGATGGTCGAGAAGAAAAACTACACGCACTCGCGCGAAGCAATCTGTCTCCACCAAAAAAGATCATCGCCAGGGGATTCGACCGGTGAGCGAGGTACCCAATCAACTATCCTCCTTTTGGTGATCGCTAGATCGTCTCCGCTGCCATGGACCCTTGCTAGCCTTGCGAACCTCACGAGATTTCGACGTCATGTCTCAGTAGCTAGTTTTAGCGGTAACCGGTAATTTGGCTACTTCGGAATATACCAGCCCAGACTTTTTTTCTTTCTTTATTTTTTACCTCAAACCTGCTATAGGGGACTGGCAGACTGGGGTTGCGGTCTTCTCCCATACCTAACCAGGATTAAACCTGTACCGTGACGCTAGTAAGTCTTATGTCGCTGCGGTATAGGGTTTTTATGAATGTACCGAGATTTACAGATCCATTCGTGGCATGATTTCAAAGTGGGCAAATTTGGCGACGTGTAGGTAAATTATCGATACCTATGCACGCTTTTTCGTTGATGGTTAGAAGCAAGCTATAGCATTGGATTTAAGTGCTTACACCACGGCATCTTCCTCCATAGCGATCTTCAAGACTTACTTAGAGCAATAAATGAGATTCCATGGGGATGCGGTATGAATTTAATGAGATGGTGGGAAATGCGCTCCTTTCATCACACACTAGAGCGTCGCTAGCTGCCCTCTGAAACCGCACGCCCGTCCTATTGACTTAGCCCTGGTGATAATAGCTGTATGTGATGGCCTTTGTAGGATCGTATGAGGCTTGTAATACATCACGGTATTATCAAATTCGTGGTGTGTCTCGCCGAAGCTGGTGGAGAAGTGTCCGGGTGGTAAGACGTCGGCGATAGCGGCCCATGTTGACTCATGGCCGGTGACAGACTTAGACATACACTTCTTGCCTCTCCGTGTTGCCCGAGTAGATAGTCACATGAAATAGACATCTTGTTTTCTGCTAGATCCCGAACACAGATCTCCTGTTCTTTCCCGAAACACTCTGCTTATCTTAGACATGTGTTATGTTGTCTCTGATCCCACCCAACGGCTTCACAGAGCGGGGGATAGGGCGAGATATGTCAGGGAAAGAAGTCGATTTGAGAGTAGAAGCATGTTTCTCTTTAATACATGCTTACCTAGTAGATAACTGAATTGAATTCCTCCTTCGCAGCCTGGCCCGGCGGTACTACTAGCTGTCGTCCTACGTGATCCGAAACACGGATCAGTCAAATTCTAAGCAAGAAGCGTAACCCTCGAGACAAGGCTAAAGTTCTATTCCTCTTTCTTAAAGCCTAAGGCTTCTTCGTTACACTTATGAAGAAGTTCCTGTGATTTCTAGCTTGCTCGTGCTACGCATGTGATGTCTATCTACTTAAGTGCTTGGGTACTCACCCTATTTCTATGCTCTACCCAAACTAGGCTCTAAAGTCAACATCCTTCCAAAGCCCATGTCCGATGATATGTTACTCTTCTATATAATCCCATATAGAACTCCACTACCTTAAAACCTCATTCGAAAATAGGACAGTTGATTTACGAGGGAGAATGGGAAGTGAACGGCTCCTGCCACCCCTAAAAGGAGGAGCATGCACAACACCAGCATATACAACACCGGTAACTGTCGAGATATCCTATCTATATTAGATAAGCATAAAAAACCTAGTGATTATTGAGCTTATCCTACAAATGAGAGTTTGACTTGCGATATTTCCAACGTGGTTGTTTGTCCTTGAGGCCCACCACCCCTTGCAACTGGCAACACTTTGCGAGGCGCCTAGATCAAAGCGAAGTTAACTCGTATGATATCGTACCACCCAGCAATAGTGGGTAGTATTCGTTATTCCCAACATTGTGGTCATTGTTCGAGAACCGATGTCGAATTTGGTGGATCTGGCGCTTAATGTCAGTTCAAGGGGTGACTTTCACGTGTACACGTCGCAGCAATACATATCTGGTACCTATCTGCTGGGAACTTTGGTTCTGGTGCCCTACCAAGGGCAGCGACATTTCTTAGCATAACCATGTTCTGTCGAAGAAAGTGTATGGATAGGCTAGTGGTAAACAGCATGGACATAGCCCTTGTATGGTGTTGGCCCTGGCACAGACTTGGAAGTCTGCTTCCCTGAGGCGTACCTTCTTAGATACTATGGGAGCGTCGAGGTTATACCTCAGGCGTAGAGCGAAATATTGTAGAAGGGTCCATGATGGTCTAGTGAGATGTGCAAATGACTCTTGATATGTGCGGTGACTTGTAGAACTCGGGGGCTTCTGTATGAAGGGCTAGAGCCTCCTAGCAGACCGTCTATACAAGCAATTGTCAGTATGAGAAGAGCAATTCACAATGCTCTTGTATGGGTATCCCATATTTCAACTTGTATATAAGAACTGGCAGAAGCTACTGGATGAATAGGGGTTAGAAAATCTCTTGGTCGAGAGTTCACCCAGAAACGAGAGAGAGCACGGTAGTAACATACCTTCTTCCCAAGTATGTTCTTCAAGAGACATCGGAGCCTTCGTGTAAATCGAATTTTATAACTTCTCAATGATAAATCTCCTTTGCCTTTGCTGCTTTCACCCATAATGATTGCCTGTTAGACATGTACCTCCTTAGGTAGGTAGGTATGGCCTTCTCGAGGACAACGCCAGCTCCTGTCAAGTACCCAGATAATTCCACTTCTTCTAGACTCACCTTCACAGTACCTAGCCCATTCTAAGGCTATTTAGAAATGAACGAGTGATATTTACCTACTTAAGGCTCGGAGGACCGAAGGGTTCCGGTGTAAATTGTTAGGGCTGTCGAATTTATTACCTGCGAGGATTAACAGCTCGAAGAATCGGCTCATATAAACACAATATCCATGAGCCTCAACTCAATCCCAAGATACTGCGGATTAACCAATTGCGCTATATATCTGCGGTATCACCAATGACTAGGTGCTTACGGCGCATTTGCGGGGTATGCAGGCGCCTCAGCTAAGAGAATCCTCTACACGTAATCCTTCAATCATTGGATCTTCCACAAACAACCTTCAAGCCTCATAGAGTGCTTTGGTTTCGCGATAACTTTCGCTCGACACAGCCTGAGACTAGGCGATAACCGCGGAACATGTCCTTATACGCCAAGATCAAAGTTAAAGTAGGTCGTATGTTCGATAAGGTCGACGACAGCCCCCTTCATGAGAAATTCAGCGATCCGACGTTGGAAATCCGACTGCTCGAGGTCGAGGATGACACTGCGGCTGACATTCGGTGGAAGATGAAAATCGCGCTTCTCGAAGATAACCCACGATTTACAGCTCTCTCATATGTCTGGGGCGACCCAGCCAAGACGGAACGCATCACCGTGAATGGCCAGAAGGTCGAGGTGACGGCAAACCTAGCATCCGCATTACGCCATGTCCGCCAGCATTGGGAACAGGAGGTTGGTCGTCATTCGCAGGGCAAATTCCGCCTATGGGCAGACGCTCTGTGTATTAACCAGAGTGACGTTCATGAAAAGAACCACCAAGTCCCGCTGATGAGATCCATATACTCTTCCGCCGAGCTTGTTATATGTTGGCTCGGCCCGGCCGACTCTAAAATTCGTCTAGCTTTCGAGATGATCCGTCTACTTCATAACGAGTGGACACGCTCAAGTACTGATGAGCTCCTAACCTTCGACTGGATTCGTCGTCACCCCTCGCTACACACAACACCTGAAAATGAGTACCCCATGAATCATCGGTGGGAGGCTGTGCAATACTTAGCTCAACTGAATTACTGGAGACGCACCTGGATTCTCCAAGAAGTCGTCCTCGGCAAGAGGACTATCATAGCTTCTGGCAAGCGAGCAACCGAATGGTCTTTGATACGAGATGTCGTGAGAACGGCCAGCATGCTGAGTGGCAAGATAACGAATAACGGTATTGACTGGCCGACATGGATATGTCCGGAAGTCTGGAAAGCGATCAAGAACGTGCCCGTGAGCTGGGCTGCCATACTGTTCTTCTCTATAGTTAGTAGAGATCAAACGGGCCAACCAAATATAGAGCTCACCAAATCAGATTGGCTGCGTGCTGTCGTAGCGGGAAGAATATTGCAAGCGACTAATCCGAAAGACCATGTGTACGGGCTAATGGGTATCTTCCCAATCCGCCTGGTTCCCGATTACAGCAATTCCACGCCGGTTTCTACGATATATCGAGACTATATTGGTGTCTGGCTGAGGAATTGGGAGATGGGGCTCTGCGGAGACTTAGAGGAACTTTACTTCCTCTTGTATTCAGGTGTTTATCTGGAAAGTTCAGAATTGAAGCTCCCTTCTTGGGCTCCAAACTTCCCAGTTCTATCTAAGCACCGGCAGGCGGTCTACGACGGTAAGCGTCAGTTTGGCGAATTTATCACCGATGGTCACGCGGACCGATCCGTGTTTCCGCCGGACACTGAGGGTTCCTCGATCGTTGACATGTCTCTATTTGTGAGTGGCATAGACTTAGGTCCAGTTGTCAGTTTTGAAAACTACGGCAACGAGATGAGTCGAGTTTCTACCGCTACAACCAAGTACCTGAGACAATTTATCTCGGAGGAGCCAACATATCCTAACGGATCACCCTCGCTTCAAATGGTGTTCCGACTGTTCTGCCGGAAATCGTACGGGATGGGCAGACCACTTGATGCGAGGGGGCTTGTGAAGGCGCTTGGATTCGTGGAAACACTACTTGGCCTCGACCCCGACGAGCCAGCGCTGAGAAACGAACTACGTAAGAGAAACCTAGGAGGTTTTGGCTTGATAGCAGATGATGCGGTGGCGTTTGCTACTTCCTTCATGGACGCATTTGCGCCTCACGACCCATCAGTCGAACGCCTCGAAATTCTGGATATTCTACACCGATGGCACAATTCTAGCGGCGGCATTAGCAGTTCGGAGATGGGATACGATGACGACCACTTAGCCATACTCATCAGCTCTTGTTTATATTATCTCCAAGAGGCAAACCAAGGCGCTCATCATGTTATATTCAAGATGGGACGGTATATCGGTATCTCAGCGCGCGGAATCCAAGTTGGAGATCGCGTATGTGTCTTGAAGGAAAGCAATACGTTATCGGTTCTAAGGATGACGCCGGGTAATGAGAAATACTATATCCATGTAGCTCCTTGCTTTATTGTCGGTCTCATGAACGGCGAAGCTAAAAGGTTTCTAGAAAGCGGTCACTGTAAAGTTCAAAGGATTGAAATTCGATAATGAACATTCCCAGATGGTACCTAGGTGCCAGCCTACATTGCGTGGATACTAGCCACAGCGCCCAGCTGTGGCTGTCATTGTGTCTGTCATGTGACATGATTAGATTACTAATAGCTGGATCCTTGGTAAACCGTCATCTTTGAACCGACGTCAATCAACCACCTCCTTCTGAACTCATAGTCTTTGCGCTACATTTAGGCTCTTATGGTGGTAGCTACACACCCTATACCCTACATCTCAGAATCTTCGAACCAGAAATGATTATAAAAGCCAGCTTTAGGGTGCATCTGCATGGCCGGAAACTCGGCCAACACAACCTCGGAAGTCTCAGCAGCAATACCCATATCTTCATCCTCGATGCGGAGTCTCTTGGTCCCCAGCTGCAGTAGGACTTCTGGTCTGCTCCCTTCGCGCCGGGCGCAAGCAACTTGGAAGCTTGTAGTGAACTTCTTTCCATCCGATAGCCTCACCAGGCACGCGGGGTGAGGGCTGGACACAAGGCTTACCGTTTTCTGATCGCTGTTCCACAACACCCACCGGCGATTCTTCGCATGGAAACGGAACGCGTAGTATACTATGCGTTTTGCGGGCCCCGAACTTGGCTGCGTCGCGGCTGGGAGGACGTCAAATGTGGTTTGAAGGCCGTCCGCGCCGAGGCGTACTCTTGCCCGGCTCCCGGGACCGGGGAAACGCAGGTAGAGCCCCTTAGGGTATTTGACTGCTTCCCCGTCTTTCTTGGTTTGGCTGGCTTTGAGCACTTTGGAGAAGTAACCAAGACCGGCTCGTTTGTAGACCGTTTCGAGAAGTTCGAAGCTAATGCGTGTTCCTCGGCTCCTCTTAGAACGTCCCCGTCCGCCATAAGCACTAGATAGATAATGCGACGTGAGAATGCGTGCCTCCTGAAAGCTGACTGGAGTCTTGAACTTACTGTATTGCGACCACTGTGGCAAGCCCTTGGTAAGGAACCCAAACAGGTGAACCGCTGATGCCAGGCTCTGTCTGCGCTTCATATTCAATTTGTCCTGTAGAGCAAACGCTGCCGGGGCCAGTGGTAGTACGAATAGAACCCTTCGTCAGATGTCCCGCGATAGTTACCTGGTTTTTTTGAAGAACACGCTGGATTAGGCTCTGGCACCCATCTTCCCGATCGTCCAAACCGAGGAGCAGATTAATCCCAAATCCGTGCGGTCGGCCGTCTGATTCAAGAAAGATCGCCCCCCAGTCATTCCTAGAGTTGTCTGGGCCAGGGTTCTTTCTGTAACTGTCGCAAATCATTACTTGGTCTTCGCTCACGTCAATCCAAGTCTTCTTAATTACTGTCTCAATTTCTTTCTTTTCGTTCTCTTTCTCCTCAAACTCCGCTCGCTCAATCTTCACATTTGTCGACAGATTTCTATCATCCCCGATTAGGTTATGTCCTGCCGTGAGGATGATATGGTGGCATTTTCCCTCGGTCCTATCTTTACTGTTGGTTGGGGCTGGGTTATTACTGTTGCAAGTATACCAGTCACGTCTCACATCAGGGATGTTGATGTAGAAGCCTGTCCCGGTGCAATGCTCTGATTATAATCATGATGAGCCAATCCGGTAAGTTGGCAAGGTTAGCGGTCACTTCTTACCTGGCCGGTAAAACGACAACTTGACAATAAAAGTCTCCCGCATGTGCAATTCTTCTAGGTTTGCGCCGTTTTGGAGGGTGATTTTAGGCAAGCCGTTCCAATCTTCATGGTACATGTCAGGATCAAGCTTCTTGAACTGGTGGCCTTGCCTTTTTGCCATGGCGACAGAGCTTCGACAAAAAAAGGTCGAATGGGTACCTAAATAAAAGACTAATGTATGGGATCAATAGTGATAGTTAACTTGGGATGAATGAATAATAAGAGAAGCACAAGAAGGTTGAGAAGAAATAGGAATGGGTAGATGAGGGTTATAAGTACTTAAGGCCAAGTCATCCGACTCCACATCCATAACTTGATACGTCTACTATGGTACTACATTCACTTAATAGTGGCCCGATACTCCTGAATGAGCAGTGCCTGTAGGGGCATCTCCATGGATGGCATTGATCATTTTGATAGGTACTAAAGCTACCCCTAAATCTACCTATATGTTCTCACCCGCGCTTAAAATCGGCCCCAGGCTGGTATACCTTGACTTGGCTGGCCCATATAATAATTATTGTACGTTATATACCCAGTGTTCACGAAGCCGCTGTTGGCGAACTGGGATATGTACCGAGGAGGCAGAAAAAGACTGCACTCGGCTGCCGTTGGTGGAATCAACTTGGTTCCGTCCACGACCCCAAGGTCAGTCTTAGCGCCTCCTGCTTCAATCCAGATCATTTGAGAGTTGGAAAGTAGGATAACTAGATCAAACGTAAGCGCATCCTCTTTCGGAAAAGCCGCAATACGAGCGAGCGGGGCTTCGAGCCTCGAGTTTTCGACAACGGAAGCTACAGGAAGAATATGTCAGCGAAAGAGCTTTTATAGTTATCATGACTTCAGAGTAGGTACTTACCATCCCAACTACCGCTGTTGTGGTCTTGGACAAGGTGGAGGATCTGGCTGTCATGTCCAAAACAGAAGATATCGAGTTTGTTAGGACCGTCGACTGTTGTATGCGCCGCTCCTGGTTCGACTTTGGCAGGAACTGCTCCAGTGACCTTCCATTGGCCATCACGGCCAACTAGGGTAGCCAATTGTCCTGGTTGAGTTTCGAAGACGATCATCATTCCGGAGGGGTTAGAGAACCCGCTCAATCGTGTGTTTTCGTAAACCTCAATTCCACCGAAAACATCATTGAATGGGGCATCGTCCCATTCTTCATCATTCTCATCGTATGTCACACACCTGAGTTGATTGGTGTTGTCTAGGAAGAAAATGTATCGCTAGAGAAAAGCATATTGAGTCAGCAGCGATGAAGAGCTAATAATCCCGGTGTTTGGGATAAATACATGCCTCTGCTTCGTTCGTCAAATACACAGCTGGTGTATTTTCCTTGGCTCCGCTAGTGACAAAGGTCTTGATTACAGGTTGGTTATCAACCCAGAGCTCCTGCAATAGGTTGCCCTCAGCCTCTTCGAGCAAGAAGACGTTTGCACCATCCCCTGAAGGGCCAGTAGCAATAGCCTGCAAATTGCGGGCAAGGATTTGAACAGGTGAACTCATCATAAAGGATACTCAGGAAACAATGATGTTGGCTTACTGTTAGGTACCCAAGTGAAGGAGATGCGGGATGAGAAGAGCCCTTTAAAGAAATAATTCTCGGATAGCCTGAATAGGGGTCAGGTCCAGCCGGCTCTCTACATTCTCTACGTACCTACCGGTAGGTACAGGGAAGTGGAGGTAAGGGGGGATGAGTGGGTCAAAAGCATGTACATTGGGTACGGTTCAGATTTCTCTGTCAACTACATGTGAAAGATGAAGATTTTGATTGGTAGGGAGTATTCGGTCCCACACAACACAAGAGGTGTGCCTAAAAGACACATCAAATCCAGCCGTACGACGTAGGAGACTCGTGACACTAAGCCCGCCTATGAGAACGAGAGTAGCTATGACTGCGCGCTGCTAAAGTCAATAAAGAGCTTTGAACCTGGACAATTCCCATGTAAAGTGGAAATCCAGGCAAATATAATGTCAATCATCTTGTATAATTCTTCAAGTACTCAGCTGAAAGGCCAGAGTGACGTGTCCTATGATGACTGCGGCTTATTGGCACCTAAGCTGATATCTTGCAAGTTTCTAGGTTTGCAATATATGTTTACGCGAAATAACCGCCTCATTAAATGAGAGCCCTGCCGATCACAAGGACATATCGTATGCATAGCCTTTTTCAGGTTATAGTATTTGCATATAGCTGAACTCTCTCGACGTAACGCAACCGAATATCCATGAACACAGACTTAGTATTGAAGTCCATTAATTATGTTCGTTCAGGATAGTCTCCCCTTTCCACCCACTTCGTTTCACCTCTCTACTAGGAATACTCGGCACAATGTCTCTCCACCAGAGTATCATTAGCGGAACCCTTTCACAAGAGTTGCTGAACCAACAGAGAGACAAAATTGACGAGTGCAATGACAGGGGATACACCCCGTTAGCACTCGCCGTAGTGCATGGCAATGTTGAGGCTGTCAAGCTTTTGGTAGGAAACGAGGCTAATGTGAATGCTAGATGCAAGCTAGGAGAGACGGCACTCTGCTTTGCAGCAGCGAAGACCCGAGAAAACCGGGTATCTATTATAAGGTGTTTGCTCGAGACTGGAGCTGAGGTCGACGCAACTTGTTCGGTACTCGAGGAAAACACACCTTTGATGCTCGCCGTCCAGGAATTTCCAGATGACTTAGATTCAATCAAATTACTGCATTCCTACCACGCATCATTGACCATCACGAATCGGGACAAGAAGACTGCAGTCGACATTTCTAAAGAAACCGATCGGCATGTCCTCTCTTTGCTGCAACCAAGGGACTCGACAAGTGGCTTTGGAGATGCTGTCCATACGGTCGTGTCATTTTTGGTCAGCACTCTTGGTTGGGTCAATAATGCATTTGGTGGGGTTATAGGACGTTTATTCAACTTCAGTCCACCAGTTGATGTTAACTTCTATGAAGTAAGTCTACCTATCTGAAGACGCAATCATTTCAACCAGCAGCTTATTAATCGTGGATGCATTGCAGCAAGTCAAAGGGGACGAGGGCGAGGAGTTGTCCGTGGAAGATTTCAAAGAGAATTTGAATCAAGCAGTCAACGATCTTGGACTAGACAAATTCTTCAGCAAAGGGAACAACCTATTGCAGACTGTGGCAGAAAAGGCAGCAAAACTAAAGGACAATCCTAACACAGACCTCGGACTTCCCCACAATGTTCAAAAACTCACTACAGTATCGATGTATCAGCCAGTGATCTATTGCGGTGAGATCGAAGGAAACATCCGTCTTGATGCTATTGAAGCTGACTTAATTCAGACGACAGCGGATCTATGAGGGCAAAGAATCAGTTCCAAAACCAAGCAAAACTTGTAGAAAGAATCTGCCGGATCACCACGTATCTCGTCCCAGATGATTTGGGCATAGCAATTCGCTTCATAAACCAGGATACCCCTGATTCCGACAAGCTCCGAGAAGATGAGGTTGCTACGCTAATATCTACATTGAAACCGGGTGGCGCATCTGAGCTAGGTTATAACCTCAGGAAGAAGATACTTGCCCCATTGTTGTATGATAGAGTTGGTCGGGATGAAGAGCTTAATAGGCCATTGCTCATCTCTATAATTACGGATGGACACCCTGAAGGTGCCGAGGAACGAGATAGAATGTTTATCGACGTGCTCAAGGAGTGCAACAAGTTTCTGTTGGATCATGGCTATCCAAAAACAGGTCAGTCACAATTCTCGGTATCGTCTCTAGTCTCATCAGCTCTCTGGCTAACATACTATTTGTGCCCAAAGCCGTCAGGTTTCAAATCAGCCAGATCGGCTCTGAAGACAGGGTGAAGGACTTTTTCAACGATTTGAAATCTGAGCGTCAGATTCAAGATATGATATACTGTACTAGTGGTATGTGCCCATCGCATTAATTGGCCATGTACACTCAACAATCGAGACTAATAACTACCCAGATCAACTGGATGAGAAGTACCGTGAGATGAAAGACAATGAAAAGGGTTTAGAGGAATGGGTAAGTAATGAACAGCACCTCCCTCCCAACCTGCATATTTGACCTTCGTCCATTTTGGCTAACTACATGACAGCTTCTTACTACTCTTATGGAACCTATTACCCAAGGGACGCTACTTCAATCGCGTCAAGTTTGACTTAGAACCTTAAGACGTATCAAGACATAGAGTAACAACAAGAGATAACTGTCAAGGGACCTGACCCATGTTTTGCTCCTACGCTTTTTACGATTGTTCAATTCCTACTAGGTACCTATGTAGGCACTTACCTAGAGCTGTACTTAGCAAGTTGTTGAATTCAATATAGTACTTGCATAATAAATATTGAAAAATTGAATTGGCTCAAGAATTTGAAAGAATGTCAAGGAGTGTTCGTAGAGTCGCGAGTCACAACACGATAAATCTATCAAGCGCCTTTGTCACGCTACACTCTGGCTCTTCCAGGATTACCTACCGAGGGTACTTCGGATATCCTATGCGTAAAAAGTGCGCGTCGATGTATATACATCTCTATAGTAGCATGTATGTCCTCTGGACGTAAACACGCCCATCATCTATGAAGCGCCGCAGCCTTGACAAAAATGCTGGTAGTCTTCGATGCATCAACAGTCACCGCCTAAGGTGATAATCGACTTTCAGCTCCCTTCTGCCGCAGAAAACTGCATCATATGTCCATTTTCGTAAATTTATTGGATCATATTTCATGAGATACTCATGCAAGCATCAACATGCATAACATTAAACATCGTCGTCTAAAGTCGACCAGTACAGCAAAGCCTACTTCAGGTAGAGCTCGTTTAACGGGATGCCACGTAGTGATCATCGTATTTTCTCTCAGCTGGTGTCCTTCTGAGTATGTTACGGTTTTGACTGGCGCAAGATATAGCTCCACCAGAATTTTGTGACTCTGCTGCCAATAGTCTCTAGGATCCACTAGCACCCATAAAATCCTATTTCTAGTTGGCTAGACGCCTCCGAGGATCACTCCCTTGAAGCTCACTATAATTCTAAGAGCCTCAACACTTACAGGTTTGACGGGAATGACTCTACCAAGTGACCATCACCAGTGTATACTCTATCGGTTTTATGGAGAATGTAGTCTTTTGCCGGTTAAAGGGGTAGACACGTTAGGGTTAATCACATCAATGCTACCTACCTACATAGCCCCTTTATAGCGCTCTAGTTATAGACGGCAGACAGTGCGGTCAAGTTCTAACCTCCCTATCCCACACTCCTCTACTCGTCCTAGCCGGTCACCCGCCAGATCGATTCTAAGGAGTAAGACCATAGACTGAGATAACCTGATATTCTCTGTTGTTCCTTCTCGCCGAAGATATCTCATATTCATTACAACATTCAGTACAATATTCTGTATCACCATGGAGACAGATCAACAGTACTTAGTTGCTACAATATCTATAATTCTATGTATATGTTCACTAATGAATCTTAGATATGATGAGTATGTAGTGAGCTGGATATGCAGCTCACGACATGTTCAGATGTCGAAAGAGATGTTTGACAACGGGTTCCGATCCCTTCTATCTACTAATTCCAAATATGATTATTTTGGCGGACAAATGTCAGGAATCAACATCGTGATAGCCGCCGCCCCTGATGGTGACGACGCCGCCATGGCTGGAATGGAGGCCGACATGCTTCAAAGATTTCCCAACATCCGTTTTCGACTGCTAGTTGGTATTGGAGGAGCATCTCCTAAAATCCCCGCCTTAACGGCTACTGAAGATGATATCAGATTGGGGGACGTAGTTATCGGTTATGTCAAGGGGGCGGGAAGGTTTGGTATATCTTCAACTTCCCTATCTACTTTTCTCACGTTTGTATCATTGACTAACATGGATGGGCTTTTGCTCGCTCACAGGTGGCGCCCTGCATTACACCGCTACGGATTCTAGCTTCAGCGTAACATCGCATCTCAAACCACCACCTCGAGTTGTTCTTGACGCGGTTGACCAAAGTCGTTTCAATTATGCTAGCAAGGCTAAAGGATTGAACGGATACGTGGAGAAGTTGACGGCCATATTCGGTTCCCATTACCCAGGTCAAGAATATGACCGGCTGTACAAACCTGGTTGCGTACATGTCAGAGGTTGCAAGACCTGTAGTGATTGCGATGAAGAATGGGAGGAGCGCGCACAAAGAACATCCACCCTCCCCGTTCTACACTGCGGTCTGATAGCTTCGGGGCGTTATGATATGCAAGACGCTAAACGTCGCAACACTCTCCGGCACGAAGAGGACATATGTTGCTTTGATGAAGAGGCAGCAGGCCAGACGGATGAGTTCCCAAGCCTCATGATCAGGGGAATTTGCGACTATTCCGACTCTCACAAAAATAAGAACAGCAATAAAAACTGGCAAGCCTATGCAGCCACTGCTGCCACTGCATACGCTAGATACCTCATGGGGGCAATCAAAGCCACAGACGTCGCCTCTCTAACACCATACCGATCAACGAAGCCTAGGAACGAAACACTGCAAAAGGAAGTCCCCAAAGCATCTAATAAGCACGAGCAAGCTCCCCCTCAACCTACTCCTCCTCAGGTTGCTCGTCCTTCCCCTCTGCCTGCTTCTCCTCTACCAGCTCCCTCTATACCTTCCCTTTTATCTACTTATGTTCCATTTGCTCCTCCACCTACCATTCCCAGCCCGGCTAAGAGTCCAGGCACAATTTGTCCTCAGTGTCAAAATAAAGGTATCAACAATGTGACGCCGCCACAAACGGGATTTCATCCCAACGCCCAGCCTACCGGCCCGAACCTTCACCAACGATGCCGCATAGGTATCCTATACGCAGAAGATGTCGATCGACAACTCTTAGGTCCCCAGTGCCAGAACCTTCGAAACGACCTGAGGTGGGTGATTGGGACTATGGTTCAGGGATTGGGAGGCGACTTCACAGCTTGCATTCAAACATATCGCAACTTCATAGTTGGTTATCAGTTACGATCAGAAGGGATCATCAATGTAGGGCAGTTCGAGACTGCGTTCGACGGTATGTCTACGGCTGAAGCAGCTCTCGTTGCCTGCTCCATGCAGACTCCAGACTTGGTTAGACTACGCGCAGCCAGAGCATACCTTTTCCTCTCTATGAGCTGCACTAGACAACCAGTCGTATTTGCCATTTATGATACGATTTTACGATTGTGGGAATATGTTGAAGGTCGCAAGTTTTAACGTTTGTTGTCGGGTATGTAGATACCTACCGGTAGCTTTAAAGAACTAGCTATAACAAAGGACATCATCAATCCAAACTGTGCTGACCAACCTCTGTGATTTCATGACATATATCCTTAACAAATTAGTAGAATACTATGAAGAGAATTTCATATAAATTCCCCAATACCCAGAGTACCACCTACACAGTGTAGAGCTGTCGACTACGGCGCCCATACATGGCTCTAGTGTCACACAGGGAGTCTCCTGAATAAGAAAAATGATCCTGGTATACCCACCTGGGCAGGGATAAGACGTAAACGAAGAGAGGATTTTGGCAAAAAGTAAACGTACAACACCGGGGATTCGCTGGTCGTCACCGACCCAACTACTGATCCGGCAGTAGCCAGCTTATCTAAGGGGAGAGCGGACGGGATCCCGAGTTTTCTAGCTCCTATGGTCGTACGTGGAAGTTTTAGTTCTTGATTCGGTATATATTGCTTGCATCTCCACTGGCCTTGACCTCGAGGGCAATTCCAGAATACCTACAATCCCCTACCTACGTAGGGGGAAAAGTAAATAAACAATTTGAGGTATAATACATGAGATATATCACCTACGGCGATTCCAGTATCAAGAAACACACATCTGGTAAGTAAAAATGGATTATAATGAGAAATCGTTAATGACGCTGTCGATCACCCTAATGTTAATCCAAGACCTTGGAGGTACCTATATTACTAAGGGATAACATAATACCGACATAGGTGGAGCCAACTTCACATTGCCGTATTCTTATTTGCATCACGAGAAGAAAGCTCGGGTTACATCACTGGAGGGTCAAAACCCCCGCGAATAGTGGCGTCTTCAAGAGTGGCGGGTTGGGGAAACGGTGCGGGGAAAGCAGGGACGGGCTTGTCTTCAGCGGGCAAGGTTAAGGACTCTTGTCGGCCAAATTCAGCCGGGAAGAGATACGGATTAGGCTAGCGAGGGCGAGTCGGGGCCGATGATCGTCACGATGTAATACCAGATGTCTGAAGGCGGAGTATCCCGTCGGAAACGCAGCTCTAATTGCAGGAAATCGGGGTACCCGTCGGCATGATCCTCGCCTATGCGGACTAAGTCTTTGCGCTGCGGCGCGGGGTCGGCGAGAAGTACATATATATTTGGAATGGCGGAGATGTACAATGGTCGTTTCCATCTGGTTGTCTCTCTGCCTAGGTGCGAAGGTATTCACAATGTTCGGCCACAAGCTCCTCGGCCTGTTGGCATTATGCGGCCTAAAAGCGTCTGCCTCGGTCATTGTTCGGAAGACGAGTAAGGGCCCGACTGGGTATGAGGTGGATTTCAAGTACACCAACACCACCGCGAAGCGCGTGAGCATCGGTGACTTGCAGTTGTTCACCGATCAGCTGCATACCACGATGGACACACGTGCATGGTACAGCCCGCGAGACTACCAACCCGGCGACTTTCCCGTCAACTATGGAACACAGCCCGTCGACCTTGTGTATCCATACGAGATGACGAACGAGGGCAACGGCTCGTGGACATTCACGACGCCTTTGCCCGCAGGAGTCTACCAGTATCAATACCTCATCGACTGCGACTACGTGCCAAACTGCACCATCGTGACCGGTCAGCTAGTCACCGATCCGGACAATCCCCCTTTCCAAAATGTCATAGGAGATCAAGTCGCCTCCAGCTTCCAGGTCCCGTACGACGCGCAGTTCCAAGGCACTGACGACATAAGCGCGAATTACGACTATGCGCTGCCCGCGCCTGCGCAATACCGAGGGACAATCAAGTCCGTTAATTATACCTCGCCGGGATCCACACACCCGGCTCCTAACGTACACGACCTCACGCTGTATCTCCCGGCCGAGTACGGCAAAGTAAAGGGGAAGAAGTACCCGCTTCTCTACCTCTCGCACGGAGCCGCCGGCAACGGCAACGATTGGGAGAACCAAGGCCGAGTCTCCGCCATCCTGGACAACCTGATCGCCGGCGGCCACATCGCGCCGACCGTCGTAGTCATGCCGTCCTTCTACAACCTCGACGACAGCCTGCCGCCCTTCATCATGGGCAACGCGTCGACCATCTTCACCGCGCTACCGGACTCGGACCACATCCGCGAGAACTACCAGAAGTACCTGTTCCCGTGGGTGGAGCAGAACCTCGATGTCTGCGACGACCCGTCCTGCCGCGCGTTCGCCGGTCTGTCCTGGGGCGGGCGCCTGACATACGAGATGTACGTCAACGCGACGGACTACTTCTCCTGGTTCGGCATGTTCTCGGCCGCGACCACGCCCCCGTACATTACCAACGCGACGCTGGCGGCGAACCCAGCACTAGCGCAGAAGGGCATCTTCGTCGCGTACGGCCTGTACGACTCGCAGTTCGAGCCCGGCCGAGAGATCCAGGCGACGCTAGATAGCATGAACATCACACATCTGTCGCGCGTCACGCCGGTCGGCGCCCATTGGTGGAATACTTGGCAAGATGAGCTGTGGTGGTTCGGTGTCAAAGCCCTCTGGAAGCCGTATCCGTTTACGACGCGGACCGGGCGGTAGTATTCAGTTAGTTCGTATGAAGCACCTAGTAGCTAGGATGTGTATAATAAAGGAAATTTCCGGCACCCTCGTTCGATGGCGTACGTTCTTAGCAGACACATCGGGTCCGTAAATGCAGGTCTCTACATAAAAACACCTGTCTTAGTTGCTCAGCTCCGATCTAAACTACATGCCCAGGCCCTTTAGATAATCCGTTGGTGATTCACCGCTTCTGCTAAAGTAATTACCGGCATGCTGCACATGTTATCATCAGGTATCCAGGTGACTATCACACCACATTAAAGGCTAGATGAACTCGAACTTGCTAAATTGTTAGATCCTGATAGTAGCATGACTTGGCTTTGAGAGCCTGGATTAGGAAGCGTACCTTGCATGTTCATGCGGTTCGTCCTGCAACCTATTACCTGCATATGCAACTTTGGCACGGGTGTGGATAGGGGGGTCCAAGGAACTGAATTGTGACATGAGCCAGTAAGATGAGGAGGACGAGATTCAACATGAATGTCGCGATTGGGTGGCCATTAAGCCAAACAGATTTCTTACTCAACCTCTGGCAGTGAAATCAAGGCTCCGTTGTTGAAAAGCCTCACGCATATTGACCAGTATTTGCTAGCTTATCGAGGCAAGTCGAGCAACAATGACCAGTAAGAAACATCGCGTAATTATGCCCGAAAACTACACAATTAACTAGTAGTGTCAGTGGTGAGTTATACATAAAACCGTGAGCAACTTGTACCTAATTCCATTAGTTGAATACTCGAATTTAGTTTTAGTTTGAAGCTTGATACATAGTTTGGCGTGATTACTGTCAGTCCCTCTGCTTAGTGGACATATTATGACTCGAATGAACAGTCATTATATCCGCTATAAATGTATTATCCCCGTGTCAAATACGCATACTTCAGGGATATTTGATAGTAGGGTCCGGAACATCATGCTCAGGACGTAGACATCACGGAATTAGGTGATTCCCTTTACAGGATAAGTAAAGAGCGTATGGACGGAGATAACGTAATGGTAAGACTCTAATATGTGACGTCTAGAAGTTGGAGAGCATGTAGTTCTAGCTCCATCGGAGAAATAGATGCGGCGTAGGATGCGGCTGATCTGATTCTGGTAGGGCTAGATGTGTAGTAGAACATTGTCGACTTATGTCAGAGTAGCTTTAGCTTCTCAACTTAGCAAAACATCACACGAGATGACTGCAGGAAGACCTAACTTATAACGCGTTAGTGACGATAACCTCAATTTAGCAACGGATGATGTGGGTCACCCGATATCCGATCGGCGCATCGTTTTGCCTGCGGGACCATATCGTCGGTCTGAGGCGCGGCACAAACCGAAATATCTGCAAGTACCGAAGATGAAGAAGTAAGGTAATTGAAAGTTGAGTCTTTGAACCCGAATTCCTCCAATCCTGCATTCCCATAAGGCGCATTACATAACTCGCGTGACACGATCTTATCTGTAGATAGCCCAAGAAGGCAACTCCGCGATCAGGACCCGACGACGGGAGGAAGCTGCAGCCGATATGCATCTTCTAAGTGTCCAGGTGCCCACCTGCGTAAAGGCGGCAAGACGCAAGAACGACCATGGATTAAACCTTGAAAGTTGCCTCAACTGTGGGACCGCGCTGCGCTAAAGCCCATCAAAAGAATATTGGTTTGACAAGACGTACATATGTACAATCTAATCGGTACAGACGACTCGAAATTGTTTGCTCATTGTTGAGTATAATCACGCGATTTAAAGCATCCCAAGGGAAGATGTAAAATGGAAAAGATTCACCGTCGAAAGTTCGTAGTGGAATTGGAAATTCCGGAAAGTGTGATTCCTTGTGGTGCGGTCGTACGATCCGGATCAGCTCATACAGAGTCTAAAAAGTCACTTAAATTGCTGCGTAATGCTGATTAGGCACTTCGTGATTGGTCAAAATACATGGCGGTAGCCGCTTTAGGGAACGTGGGGTGGTCTGATGGACCCTTATGGGGCGGGGACACCCGGTGAACACGACAGTCGCTACACTGAACCTCCACTGAAGTCAATCTAATCAGCGATTGTACCCAGTCACTGGCCGCTTTTCCCCTTTTTAAGTAGACACTAACGGGGGACCTTACCTAGCTGGTGCCTGTGTGTTACCCGATTCTTCAACCATTTCATCCACTTCATCCACTCAACCAACGATCCCATCATCCATCCCTACAATAACTACTAGGTAGGTAACAATTCTGAACAATACTAACTTCCAGGCGCAATGCGTCAGTTGGACCAGCTGAGCCTATTCAACGTGTCAGGGGTCCTCTGACACCACCTGGACACCACCTGGACATCCTCGTACCTAGATCAAGATAAATTCTATTTCAGGAAAAATATCACAGGCAAATAAAATTCTCCCCTCTCCCACTATTCGTTTATGTTTCTTCTTTTTCCTTTTCAGAACTCTCCATCGGTATACCTCACTTGTTTGTCGACCGCCTACCCTCTTCCAAGCTCTTTGCCTCTATCCACTAGGGCGACAACCTTGATCACTTCAAGCTTGATAAACTCTCATATTTGACACTATCTATTCTCGACACCTCCATACAAGCGTATTGCACGAGTTATCAAGCCTTGCTTTTGCAATCTTGAACGAGTCTAGCTACCCCTGTAGCTATTGCTGTCGATATTTACCTGCATAAAATCGCGGTCTCGCGCTCCTCTACTACTTTCGCGCCGTCATGTCGCCCACATACACCATGTCTGCACATTTGTGCAAGCAAATCTACAAGTCCTTCCAGACGCGCCAGACTTCTCCCGAGCCTCTAAGCAGTCCTACGACCACCACATACACTTCCACATACTCACGCCGCTCGCCTTCACCGATACCTGAAAAGCGTTCCATGGATAGCGACCGCGGCGACTCTACCGCTCATTCTACATCGCCATCGTCAAGTTCAGGCTGGAAGTGGGGTGGTCGCTAACTTGACCTCTACCTGCCCTAGGTATTGAGAGAGTCCAGGTCCTTGGAAGAATGCGGAGAAGGGAGATTTGAGCGATGACGTTTGGCGAATGGCACGTAGATGGAAATGATACCCCCTTTTAAGATTGAGGATTGGCGAATGGCTACCGACAGCCGCAGTTGGCAAAATAAACCGACGAATCACGCAATTCAATTCGCCAATCACGCAACACAGAACATATAATCATCGATACGAGCATATGTAGCTATTGCTGCATCGACACTACACTCTATTATTACGAAGGAATATTTGTTGTGTATTAAGTACCTAAGCTACGAGGTAGCTTGGGACCTGTTTTTGCCTGATCATGAAGCTCTCCGTCTTGAGCTTGGAGTTACGGATTTTTCCATTGGGGGGAAGCATACCATGATACATAAGAATGAAGGATACTTCACGACAAGCAAGTTCAGGCTTACCCGTTCAGCTATTGGACTGAGGAAAAGTAGAGTGCTTTTCATTAATTAACTAAATTCTAACATCATCTTGTCTATTATGCTGCATCTACCAAAGTGTTCTAGACACCTGCACATGTTTACCTATATTGACTCTCAAGTGAACCATTGTATGAGATCTATTCTGCAGATTGATGTTTATGAGGAGTATGCTCTAGAAGTAAACAGATGAACTTGTAATATATGCAGTCATTACCTAGCAACTGAAGACTATTGGTCTATGTAGAGGATATTAGATCCCTTACTAAATATTGATTTAGCTAAATTACACGGGATGTACTAGGGGTCATATAGTAGAACAACATAAGAATACATGCATAGAATGAGAGCCAAACCAGGCTGACAATATTGTATCCCACTAAGTTCTCACCTATAAGTGTAACACTTGAGCTGTAGGTAGATATTTGCGTTTAAGTCATGAATTGTTAAACCTTCCACGCGCTTCTGAGTTTAGTAATTCATACAGTCAAGCGGGTTTTTCCTATATGCCAAAAATGGGACCATGCTTCATTTGGTGTTAAGGCTTCGTTAGAGTCATCTAAGTTGAGTTGACAACATCTTCATGGCAAGCAGAGGGACATTCTCTATATATACCTTGTGGCTGTACGGCTCAAATATAAAAATGAGTCTCATTGCTAGGTAGGTAACATGCTATGAGAATATCCTGCTACCTATATATATGATGGCCTCAACATTATTAATATTTCTTATGTGATTCTACACCTATGATTAAAGACATCAACACCAGTCCAGCGCACTTCTTCGCTGGCCACGGTATGTAAGACCAGCATTTCTGGGCCGAGTCAGCTAGTTGATATGCTCTCGAAAACCTAGAGACCTAGAAGCTGGAAGCCATTAACTATATTTACTGGATACTTTTCTAGCTGCACCATGGCATAGACTGTGAAAGCCATTCGGACATCGCAGCCCCAAAGAGATATTGGTATCGGTGGTAGGGAGTAAACGATAACCCAGACCAGACATTCGCTGGACCAGGTAGCGTTTCCAGTATATGGCCGAGATTCACATTTTGTCTTACCGTACCTCAGTACTGCTTCAACAAATTACCAGCCCACATCCTGCCCTCTACGTTTGCGACGAGAGAATGGGAAGACTTCATTTCCCAATGCGATATTCACGACGTGGAAGAGCAGACCACCAGATAATTCGGCCCTGGCGTGCCCAACACATAAGTTCGTTAATATCAGACGAAAAGATCAACAAGTAAAAGCAGCGCAAGCGTACCTACGCAAACGCGCCCCAGATTGATGACCTTCTCAGCCTATGTCTACAGTCGCCTTACCATGTCTTCATTCCTTCCAGTCTGAAATACATTGACCTCGTTATTTTTTTCGAGAGAAACGTTGCAGTTTCCTGGCGTCCCGCCCGCTGGTCCGTATGTTATCTAGAACCTCTCCTACCTAGATCTCTAATACCAGCTAACGAACGTTCCCAGAAGATTCTACACCATGACATGAGAACGAAAGCACTGCACACGCACGTGCGTGGCCTCGTCGTTTTCTCCAGAATTCGCTTTTAGGACAGACGCTGCCATTGTAAAGAGCAACAGAAGGATTGGCTGGAGTCAATTGGAGCATTATAAGTCAGAGACTGCGCATTGCTGATCCCCTCTTATGCCGAAGAGACACCGTTGTAACCAACCCGAGCTTGATACACACAAATGCACATTTATACTTAGATCCGTTAGGTACCTGAATAGAAAGCAATTCATATCTCTGAAAACGTATTCGTATTCCATGCATCTAAACTGCCCCCGTCCATGGCCCATCGCCAATCGCCCGTAGACGCCGTCTAATGCATAAGTCTATCTATCAAGGTATCTTACGACCGTCTCTTCATCACCAAAAAAGGAAGAAAAGACATCCGCGTCCGCTTCTACCGCCGACACCCGCTTCCACATTTACCTATCTTCCGTGTGTATTATTCCTAATCACTATATAAATACGCAGACGCAGACGCAGACCCAAACTCCAGGCAGGTAAATACCCCAGGTTTTGTTGGTATTAGGTCTCCTTACAACGTAACAGCAGCAGCGCCGTAGTTCATCGTATTCATGCCGACCATCCTCTTAACGCTAAGCCACAGCTCGAAGGCCTCGAGCTTAAGCTCCACGCGCAAGTACCCCACCCACGCGGCGAGGAACTTGAGCGCGTTGCTCGGCCACAGCAAGCTGCCGGGGCGCTCGCGCGCGTCCTCGACCTGCTCGCGGAGAACGGTGCGCGCGCAGTACCTGGCCAGGATCATGAAGCTGCGCATTGGGCCTTGGCGGGTGTGCAAGTTTTCGTCGAGGCTGCGCGTGAGGTCGTTCGTCTTCAGGATAAGTAGGATGATCCGAGGGACTTGTCCCAGCATCGTCACGAGGTCCGACAGTAGACCTTCCTGTAGCGCGCTCCCCATCGACTTCTTTTCTTCATCGGATCGTGACTTTAGGATGGACGAGCTGACGACAGTATAGTCGCGACCTGTGATGGCGCTGGCGAACAGCGGGAACTGCTCGTCTGTGATCCCGGCGACCTCGCGTGCGTACTGCTTCATTGCGGGCATATCCCCGTCGATGACCGCCAGCCACATCTTGGCATACGAGCGTTGCAGGCTCTCGGGAATATCACGATACAGTCCGTGATCGTAGATGATGATCTCGAAATTGGCGCCGCCCTTTCTCCGTCTGGTTGCCTTTCGGATGGCGAGGTTGCCACCGTGTGGGTCACAGTGCAAGGACGCGTTCTTCCCGAAGATCATCTCGTTGAATATCCGGGCAAGCGTAGCAGAAACTTCATCCCGGTCGATATGGTTCGAATCCAAATACTCGAGATCGTCCAGACGGTGACCCGACTCGTTCGCCATGACCAGGATGCGCTTCTTTGCCCAGAGAACGTCAGGAACCACAAGTGGCAACTCGGGAATGCGAGCGAAGTATTCCTGGGTGCGCGTAGCATTTGCGGCTTCGCGTTGGAAGTCGAGCTCTTGCGGTAGGGACACATCCATCTCAGAAGATAGCCACTCTAAATCATACTCTGGGAAGTACCTCTTCAAGGTCGAGAAGGTGAACCTCGTTAACGTGAGGTCGAGCGGTGCCCATTGTGCTAAGCCGGGATGCTGAACTTTCACGGCGACTTTCTGACCACTCTCCTTTACAGTTGCTAGGTGGACCTGGGCTAGGGACGCAGCCCCTATTGGCTTTTCCGAGAACTCCGAAAAGTAGTCTTTGAGCTCTTCACCTGTATCAAAACGGAACATCTCCTCTATTGACTCATACGAGGAGACCGGACATTGGTCTTGGAGTGGTATAAACGTGTCTGTCCACTCGCGTGGGAGAAGGTAAGTCATTGCGCTCTGCTCAGGGGGTTAGTATATATTCAACAAGGCATGTTATCTTGGTCATTGTATTACCAAGTGCTGTCCCAGCTTAATGAATATGCCTCCATTCTTCTCGAGGACTTTGAGTGTCCTTTCTGCACATCGCTTGTGACATGACCGTAGGATAATATCTTGTTCATTGAGGTCTTTGGTCTCGTCTCGTTTCTTTAAGGATTTTAAATAACTGGTGAATACTCGATTTAGTTCTGATCTCAACCATTTCCCTGATAGTCATACAGCCATGTAGTACATACTCATTAATACATATTGCTAGTGCTGCGGCGACTCTGCCTGTTCTCTCTGTAGCTTCGTATCCGTATTTTATGTCGTCCGTGAAAGCCAGTACACCAGCTCCAGTTGCCGCAGTGGCAGTAGCGGTTAGCACGGTGAGTTTCTTTCTCCGAGGCCTTGGTCGTTTCGAGTATCCCGAAGAACCGGTCGCATAATGCCTTGCAAGAGAACGTTGTGCCGTCTTAGTGTTGGCAACAAGCTGAGTGCGACAATTCAGACAAGTCCATGATCGGTTAGTGGCGAGGCGGCCGAGCGAATTGATCGAGAGGCATTTCATGATAACGTAGCTCACGTAGTCTCGTGGTTCTCGTCATCTGAGGCGGTAAATTGAGTTAACGGACCAATTCCAAAATCTTTTCTATGCGGAGAACAATAAAGACATGTTGTCCTATTCCCTAGAATCTCCTTGCCGGTGGAGAATTTATTCAATGATTGTTGAATCGTCAATTATGTTGGGATTGTACTTTGCACGAAATAGAACTAGGTAAGTAATAAAATTTCACAATCTTTTTTTGGTCTATCGATCGGGACATGCAAGTCCCGGTTCGGTATGTACATAGAATACCTCGGCGTCATAGGGGGCAGGGGTAAAGGAACATTCTATTTTGGATCGTGTGATGCACTGATCAATTGATGTGCAAGGTTGCTGTGGCTGGGACCTATCCTAATTTGGGACAGTATATGGATTGATGCATGAAACAATATTCCTATGCCATTATGCACTAAAATAAGCAAGCATTAAAGAGCTTACTTCGGTTTATAGCATATTCTGCCAGGATGATTGGCCCGAGTCGCGCGAACTATTACATTATCCGTAGAACACAATATTCCCCGCAAACCCCTTAACGCGTTGTTACCCCTCTTACGTGCATTACAAGGATCGCGTTGCTTTCCTACCCGCGTTTCGCTTTATTGAACTCGACATAGAAATAGGCGCGCAGGCACCGTTCTCCATTTGTCTGACTCAATTAAACAATTAAACCATCATTACAAAGAACGACGAATTCGTAAATCTCATACATCACACCGTACTCTCAACTACCCGGTACCACATCATAACAGACGAAATGCTAGCGACGATGCCGATATTCAATCTTGACTTCTCATCGCCGCATCGGCCGGCGCATTCTTCGCCGTTGTCATCCTCACCCATCAGAGCCAGTTCCCCGCCGCCTTTATCACATCGCGACCCAAATACGCTTCCCAGATTCGACACCCAGTCTTCACCCATACGAGAATCATCTACCAAATTCAAGTTCGCTCGAAATGTGAAGCCGAACCCCTTGAGACAGAACCGAGAGAATGCGCAAGAGAGCAGGCGGAACCTGTTCCTTCGGAATGTACGGAAGCGCGCCGATGACAGGCAGTGGGAGAGAAGAGGGGGTGACCAAGAGGTACGAATGACCCTAGCTCAATCGACGAATACGTTTTACGTCGCCAGTGCTAACCAGTTTTATAGACTCTAAAACTCGAGTGGTCGATATTGGACAGGCAACGCAGAGAACAAAAGAATGCGGATATCGATGGTATCGTGTTCGAGGATGAGATCGATGACATCCTAGAACTCCAACGCCGGCAACCTGAGGATCAGGACCCTGATGAGATGATGGTCGACGCAATGGCACAGGAAGAGGAAGCAGAATTAAACGCCATGCTATCCATGCTCGAGACCCACTCATCTCAACCACGCGCGGAAACGACATCGCCGACACTTGTCGATGATGATGACTATGACGATCTCTTCATGGACCTCTTATCGCAACAGGGCCAAACTAGCCACAACACGAACCAAGGGTTCGCGTCATCGGGTCAGATGGACATGTCGTGAATTTCAAGGGGGATTGGAAGAGGGTCTGGTTACATTGGTTCCACAATGGTAGGGAGTTCTCCGGTACTGGTTATGATTTGGTGTTGCGGCTATATTGAGATTGGGGTTCTATGGTAGGGGGCAGGGAGGAAGACATAAGTCTGCGTTGCCTTTGTTACATGGCAATTTTGGGATTGGGACTTCACACAACCCGGGTGTATAAAAACGAGGAAATGAGGTGTAATATTTCCCCTTGTATATCATTACTGTGGCGCGCATGAGTCGTCAGGCGCGTCAAGCACTTCTTTAGCAGAAGGCATATCTCCAACTAGGTCATGAGGCGGCGAGCCCGCTGCTTGCATCTGGTACCCTAGTTAGTGATATAATACCCCAACAAGTCTCATAAGAGTCCTATGGGACGATTAACCAACTCACCTTTTGCATGCGATCTACAATGTACTCTCGATCCGTCACGTTGGAATCGGTGTATGTTGGCTCCTCGAATTTGGTAACCATCTCTGCAACTAGGACTTGCTGGTCTTCATAGCGCTTCAGATCATCTTTCGCTAGGGTGGCTTTATTCTTCTCCATCCATGCCGGGAACTTCTCGTTCAACTCTTTCATCGGTTCGTAAAGGATCTCCTTGTTAGTGAGTTGTTCCATCATTCCCATCAGCATCTTAGAGAAGTCTTCTTCGTTGCCTCCTTCGTTAGGGAGGTCCTTCATCGCTTTTAACATCTCAGCAATGAAATCGTCCTCGGATCCTTCAGCCGCAGCCGCCGCTGTGGCCTGATCGCCGGATTCTTGCATCCTTTCCATCGTACGTCGGATCGTCTCTTGAAATGAGGCGTCTTGACTCAAGTCTTCAGCTGCTTTCTTTGATGGTTGCGGTGTTGAGTCTGATGCGCTCCCTGAGCCTTCCGGGACAGCTTCCCCGAGCCCTTTGAATATGTTCTCGAACTGGGCTTGCATGTCCGGCTGTATTATATTAGATACGACACACCGTTGTGTGTGACGATAATATAGCTTACCGAGTTATCCAAACCACTCATTAGTTCTTCCATGCCGGCCTGCAGCTGTTTCTGAAACTCGTCAAGATCATCTAGGGGGTTGTCCGTGTCTGAAGCTGTTGCTGCCGCTGGAGCTGGTGCAGATGAATCTGTAGTAGGTATTCCAGGTCCAGATGCTGTGGCAGGTTTCTTTGCGTCCAGGCTTGCGCTAGAAAATTCACCCAAGAATTCGTCTAGGTCAGAGAGATCGTCTTCATCTGGATCTGGCGCATCACCTAGAATTTCTGCTGCTTTATTTGGACCGACTGGACTGGGAGCCTTATCCATCTTGTCCAACACATGCTGCGGATTGTCTTGCGGAGTTGAATCAATATCAGAAGGCGTTGCTTCATTCATCTCCATTTTGCTATGTTAAGGACTTAGTCCCTCTTTGCCCAGATCGTGAACCGCAGAGTATCGCCAAACCCAATCGCAAGCCCCGCGAACCAGTTGTACGGGTCGGCCAACAACAGGCTTAATCGTCAAGCATGTGAATGATATGAGTTAAACCTGGAATGACAATAGAAGAGCGACCCGAACAATAATATGTGCGAAGAAGCTTAAACGGTGGGAAAAAGAAAGTGAGTCAGCTACAGGAGAATATGGATAAGTAGAACAATGAAATTTAAAAAGGCCGCTAATAGAGCGATGCGATGCAAGTTGCGATTTGAATTAACAAGTATGAACCCTTGGAAGTTGCCGAGGCCCTTTAAGTGCTTTTTTAGCTGTGAGATGCTTGGCGGCAGTGAACCTATGTAGCAAGTAACTGCCTAGATTTTACGTTATAGTAACGGTTCTTACTACTAGCACACTGAAATTATAGTGGCATTTATGAGACGGTTCGACGTACTAGGAATGTACATCCAGGTATGTATTCGGAAGTCTATGTAATAAGGTTTCAAGGCGATAAGATACTATAACCCCACCATTTCCAAAATTCCGGTTGTGGTTGGCTGGAAAATCCTGGCAGAAAATACCTGGACTAGGAAGTGACCGCCTTCCCTTTTCATTATGTCTTGTCCGTTGCCCGGACTTAACATACCTGCCTAGTACTTAGCAATAAAGAGAAAGAGAAACTGCTAAGGTCTGCTGGAAAAGTGCTGGAACTTCCCTGCAAGACGAAGCTTCCGGCTAACATCTATTCACGTTCATGCATTTCTCGCCTTTGGAGCCTCACCTACGAAGGCTTAACCTTCTTTCCTTTTCTTCTTTTTCTTGACATACAACTTCGATACATACATCCATACCCGTTAACCAACTTTTTCTCAAGCTTTCTACCCCTTGTGAGGCCTTGAAGCCGATTAAGTCTACGACCCGCTGGCGCATATTCTAATACATTCATCACCAAGTCATATTCTCAACCTCTTCATAACAATTTGCGCGAAAGTCTTACCGCACACCTGCCATTTGACTCTACCATAGACGTAACAGGAAATCCAACCGTCAGAGCAAGCACAAGTCATACAAAATCATCGCTAAGCGGTCTACCATATAACTATGTCTCTGTGTCAATTGCGCCTCGGGGAGGAGAGGTACGTTAAGCTGGCTACCGCAGGGTCTTTGCGCGAGGCATTTATCATCAACCTTTTGCCGTATTCTCTAGCTAACATTTATGTCGTAATAGAAAGCAGTGGCGAAGGGACCACCCCTTTGGATTCTGGGCCAGACCGATGAAAAATGCTCAGGGTGTCTTGGACCTGAAAATTTGGGAATGCGGCATTCCTGGCAAGGAGAAGACAATCTGGGAAGGAGGCCTATTCAAGCTAACCATGACGTTCCCCGATGGTAGGTCTTAGCTAGGATATGGTGCTGCTTCAAGAGCGAATGATGCTGACTACCGTTTCACAGAGTATCCCACGAAGCCTCCGAAGTGTATGTCTACCTACACCTACAATACCGCATCGTAAAGCTTCAAAATATTACTACTAACCGACACTTTCAGGCAAGTTCACGCCACCGCTGTTCCACCCTAATGTCTACCCTTCGGGCACCGTGTGCCTCTCGATCCTTAACGAAGACGAAGGCTGGAAGCCGGCGATCACAGTCAAGCAGATCGCGCTCGGCATCCAGGACCTCCTAGACAACCCCAACCCAGAATCGCCTGCGCAAGCCGAAGCATACAATCTTTTCAAGCGAGACAAGATCGAGTACGAGAAGCGTGTCAGGCGTACGGTTAGGGAGAATCCGACCTCATGAAGCGTTCTTCGAGTGCTGGGAAGATGGTCTCTTGGGGCAGGGACTATTATACTTGGCGTGCTTTCGGAAATGGAGTTTAGGCTACGGATACCACATATGGATGGCTGCTTTCTGCATTTAAGCCCTCGGAGTTTGACACGGGCGACTACGCAAGGATGTCAGACAGGTTTTCAACGTTGCAGCCATGAAAGTCCACGAGTTTCTCTTTCACTGGAGAGATTGATCTACCCTTGTGCTTTAGGAACCGTGGCACGATTTCAATGCAGATAGATTCCCCGAGGTGTTATAGAGTTTATACATTCGGTGTTCCTTAATGACTATTGCAGTGCTTATCTCCTTTATAGTGACATATGTTTATTTCTTGCTTATTTAACGTAACTTTAATGCATTTATAACTTTTCGCGGCGTTAGTTAGAGCGCGTGTTTAAAGTCAGAACCACCATCCGAGCAGGACAGGGAGATTTGCCTATCCACTTGAAATGGCCTGGCCTATTAAGTATCGAATTGATATCTTGCAGATGTATATATTACACAGGACGATCGAGCACTATTTTAAGGCTATTGGATGGCACCCGGTTATCTAGATACGATGCAAAGATTACACTGGACTCTTACGTCCAAGTATCTTCATGTATTTATTGTCTAATATTTCACATTTTGTAGGTATTCGGATGTTCGAAAGGTGAGTAATCTACTAAGGATGAGATAAAATCAATAGCACACGTACTTCTTGCCAATCTATTCAGGCCTACTAGCTAAGGTTACATACTAGATACTATGGATACACATGATATACATATAAATAGAAGTGATAGACATGGATCCTAGTGTATATATGAAATTAGCCCTTAAGACTTAGGTACCTGAATATTGATCATTCCGTTTGAACATTACATGCACCAATAGACGGTGAGTAGTTGGTAAGTGACTTCAGTTTCTTGCTTGTCCGAAATCGGCTATCTTCCGACTCGACGGTCTTAGCTAGCAAAAAAAAGTTTATAGGTACCGTCAAACTAAGAACACCCCTTACCTACTACCACACATCTGACATAACAAACCCAATCTGGTATCAGAAGGCAAATAAGTAATAAAGCGTACTAATTGATAGCATTGATAGCAATAATAGAACGGCCTGTGACTCAAGTCTCCTGTTCCGGTATTGGCTTCTAGACTCATACTTTCACGCTCCACCTAGTTCTTACCTAGGCGTCTATCTACCTTTTCTGCCCACGCTTTTCTAAATCTAGTCGCGTGGCATAACTCCTTCTTCTCCTAACACCATCACACCTTTTCTCTCTCGTTGCATTCGACGAATCCCTTCGTTCCTACTTCGACCCTACCTGCACTACCACACTTCGAGGCAAGCAAGATGTGTGGAATATTTGCTTGTCATAGGTAAGTTAACCTTTCCCCCTGCATGAGAGAACCGAAAAAGTTATGGAGGGGCAATTCGCGAGAGAACAAACCCCACCAAAAAATTATTATCGATTGGTTTTACTTGTGCTGCCATTGGAAGAGTTGCGCCGTATGCTAACAAGAGGCTTGCGCCTAGTCATCCCGACGTCCAAAAATTCAAGCCGACGGCTTTGAAATTGGCGAAGCAGTATGTATAATCCGTATCCGAGCTCTAGAAATCCAATTGACTCGTTCTGCGTAGAATTCGCCATAGAGGACCGGATTGGAGTGAGTCGCGGCACGGCGAACTGATTGTAACACCTATGCGAATACTGACAACTCCCGCGCATTCCAGGTGGTAGCTGTATCTGCAACAACACGAGTAGGGATACCCGTTGGAATCAAACTTGTAAAGTGTGAGATTCATCTAACCAATGCATCTTTAGTCCTTTGCCATGAGCGTCTAAGCATCGTCGGCGTTGGTACGTGGTCATCCATTATCTTAGGTATCGAGCACGGAACCATATTCATGCTTACGATGTTATAGAGTCCGGCGCACAGCCATTGACCAATGCGGACGACTCTATCATTCTCGCCGTTAACGGCGAAATCTACAACCATCGGTTGATCCGAAAGAACTTGAAGCACCCCTACCACTTCAAGACCGCCTCAGACTGCGAAGTCATCATACCCCTGGTAAGGATAGCTGAGGGATTGTGCTTTCCACAAATGAGACATCTCGTCTAACTGACTTTTTTAGTATATGGAATATGGGCTCGACGCTCCCAAGTATCTGGATGGCATGTTCTCGTTTGTTCTGTACGATAAGAAGCTCGACCGAACAATCGCAGCCCGCGACCCTATTGGTATCACCACCTTGTACCAGGGCTGGTCATCCAAGGAACCTGGTACGACCTACTTCGCTTCGGAGTTGAAGTGCTTGCACACGGTTTGCGACGAGATCCGCTCATTCCCTCCCGGACACGTCTACGACACTAAGACCGGCGAGACTGTGCGATATTTCCAGCCGAGTTGGTGGGATGAATCCAAGATCCCGGAGACTCCACTGGATCTGAAGTCCGTCCGAGAATCACTCGAGAAATCTGTGAGGAAACGGCTTATGGCTGAGGTTCCCTACGGTGTACTATTGTCGGGTGGTCTTGACTCAAGTTTGGTTGCATCCATTGCCCAACGAGAAACTCTACGGCTGAAGGCGGCTGCCTTAGCTGCTGCTAACGGCGCAGCCGCTGAGGCGAGTGAAGACCCCGACAAGGGTGAGGGTCTCGTCGGTATCGACGACGACAACAAGCTCTCCACCGTAACATACCTCCCACAACTTAACTCTTTCTCTATCGGTCTACCTGGCTCCCCTGACAACGAGGCCGCCATCAAAGTGGCCAAATTTCTCGGCACGAAACATCACGTCATGACCTTCACCATAGAGGATGGTCTCAACGCATTGTCCGACGTCATCTACCATCTCGAGACGTACGATGTAACGACGATTCGCGCTTCAACACCCATGTACTTGCTATCGCGAAAAATCAAGGCTATGGGTGTCAAGATGGTTCTTAGTGGTGAAGGAAGCGATGAGATTTTCGGAGGATACCTGTACTTCCACGCTGCTCCGGATAAGAAGGCTTTCCACGAGGAAACGGTTCGTCGAGTCAAGAACCTACATCTTGCCGACTGCTTGCGAGCCAACAAATCTACTTCGGCATGGGGCCTCGAGGCTCGAGTGCCCTTCCTGGACAAGGAGGTATGCATACCACAATACCAATTTGATGCTCTTGGAATATCCCTTACTAATACAATCTAGTTCCTCGAGGTCTGCATGAACATTGACCCGCAAGAGAAGATGATCACCAAGGAGCGGATCGAGAAGTGGCTGTTGCGAAAAGCATTCGACACGTCGGACGACCCCAGTGCGGAGCCGTACCTACCAGACGAGATCCTCTGGAGACAAAAGGAACAATTCTCCGACGGTGTCGGTTATGGCTGGATTGACGCGCTGAAGGACAATGCCGAGCTCCACGTCACCGACGAGATGATGAAGAACCCCAAGCCCGAGTGGGGCAACGACATCCCCGATACCAAGGAGGCGTATGTTTAGGTCATTGCCCTCTTCGATAGATGATTTTGCTGACGTCGGAATAGTTACTGGTACCGTCTGATGTTTGACGAACACTTCCCTCCTCACTGCGCTTCGACAGTGATGCGATGGACGCCGACTTGGTCGAAACAGACCGACCCTAGCGGACGGTAAGTTGCCATGATTGTGTTAAGATTGCGATAGGTGCTAATACGCAAATGCAGAGCTATCTCGACGCATGTCGCCAAGTACGAGGGCCCATCTGCATGAATTCAGCATCCTGTGATATTGGGTAAATATGGTGAAACCAAATAGAAGCACAGAGGTACAGGGTCCGAAATATAATGGGATTGAATAGAAGGGACAATTGCTACTTTCAGCATGTATGGCGAGATTTGATTGGTCTCTTCCGGTTAGGAGAACAAACCTAGAAGCATGGATACCCGTAACATGTACCTGTGACTGTTGTAAGCTGCCACCTACATACCTTTATAGATAGGGAATCGCCATAATACCAAGAGATTTGTCTCGGGCGACATTGATGTATTTCTCTCATAGCCGTGACCAAGAGAGATCCCACGCTTGAATCGGTAGAATGGATACTATTATATGCATAAGCTCGTCCTGGGTGGAAACCGGGATGACTATTTTAAACCATTCCTGGTGTAGACAATCCCCACGTGGACGGGGGTTAATCGAAAGTGAGGTTGTACGGGGAATTGGTATGTACCACAGTACATGCTGCTAGGTACCGATAGCCAGGTGCTGCACAGTGGTTGTCGGCTGCTAGTGCACTTTAGTCCGTCGGGACCAATTAGAAGTTAGAAAAGCACACCTGATCGGGCAGAGGAAAGACCCAAAGAAAACAATTTCCATCAGACCGTTCTGTCGTTTCGGACCAAATCTACATAGTAGCATCACCCGCGCCCAATCCGATTCATTCCCATCCACACACAATACCCCAACACAATTACTTTTTTTTTTTCCTCAACCGCATTTGCTCGACAACTTTTGTCAAAATAACAAAACAACATCCGGCATTGCGAATAACCACAACCACCGATCAAGATGTCTATCCCGGCCTTCGCTGATATTTCCAAGTCGGCAAATGACGTGCGTAATAAAACCCAATTCACGCTTCTCCGTGCACTTGGAGCTACCCCCCTCGGCTATCCTTCTCCTAAGCCTCAAATAAATTTCCCGCAGCTTGAACATTTCGCTACCGTCGCGCAAACGAGCAAGACGAAGCTAACCATGGCCAATATAGTTGCTGAACAAGGATTTCTACCATCTCTCTGCCGGCACTATCGAGGTGAAGAGTAACACCCCGAACAATGTCGCTTTCAAAGTTACCGGCAAGAGCAGCCACGAGAAGGCCACTAGCGGTGCTGTACGTATCTCCCCCGTCTGATCCATTTTGTCGACACGCTAGCTCTCCTAGGACTCAATTCCTATGCGCAAGCTATGCGACTCCCCTCCTATAATTCAGTGTAGCGATGGTTAACAATTGGATGTTTTGGACTACAGATCGAGGGCAAATACGCGGACAAGTCACTCGGTAATAATGCCACTCCCAATCAGTCAAGCAACGCGGTCACCCGCAAGCGCCGGCCGCCTACAATCTCACTATCACTAAGTGGGATCAGCGTGCCAGGCCCAACAGCCTTACCCCTCGAATTCGCTACTCATCTCGATCAGCACGGAGTAGAATTGCTAATGCTATACCGACGCGCAGGCCTTACCCTGACCCAGACATGGAACACTGCGAACGCTCTCGACACCAAGCTCGAGCTTGCCGACTCGCTCGCCAAGGGTCTCAAGGCTGAGACCATCTTCTCTTTCCTGCCCGCCAGCCAGAACAAGGGTGTTAAGCTCAACCTGACGTTCAAGCAATCCGCTTTCCACGGCCGTGCCTTCTTCGACCTCCTCAAGGGTCCCACCGCGAACGTCGACGCCGTTATCGGCCACGAGGGTTTCCTCGCCGGTGCCTCTGCCGGCTACGATGTCCAGAAGGCTGCCGTCACCGGCTACAACGCCGCCGTCGGCTATCTCGCCCCTCAGTACAGCGCCGCCGTTACTGCGACCGACAACCTCAGCGTCTTCGCCGCAAGCTACTACCACAAGGTCAACAGCCAGGTCGAGGCTGGTGCCAAGGCTACCTGGAACTCCAAGAGCGGCAGCAACGTCGGTCTCGAGGTTGCCAGCAAGTACCGCCTCGACCCTGTCTCGTTCGCGAAGGTTCGTCCCCTCCCTGGCGCAATTGGGTTAAATAACTTTGGAAGACATTAACAAGGAGCAAAATAGGCCAAGATCAACGACCGTGGCGTCGCCGCCATGTCGTACAACGTCCTTCTCCGACCTGGTGTCACCCTAGGCCTCGGTGCCTCTTTCGACACCCAGAAGCTTGACCAGGCCACCCACAAGGTTAGTATAGTATCGTCATGCCCTGTCAATTATTTCATGTTCTAATGAGAAAAAATAGGTTGGCGCCAGCTTCACCTTCGAGAGCTAGGGGCTTCCTTAAGCGGTGGATTGATTGCGCTAGACGAGTTTCCGGGACGCAGATGCCCAATACCCTCTCATGAACCATTTGTACCCTATACACACACAAGACAGGCAGGATTCGCATTCGGGTGGGTGTCTCTTGAATGTAGATTAGACCTCGGACGTTTTCATGCCGACTAAAATGGAAATAATGCTCGGATGGTTCTGAATGCATATGAATCATTGCTTTTTCTTCTCCCTTAACTCTTACAATTGTGACAATCGTCGTGTCCGCCAGTATAATATTTCTATTCCAAAACGCCGTAAAACAGCCCCGCCACTCCCTCCATTTCTACTATGCAGCCGCGCTCCATTTCCCCCTCCTATTCCTCTCCTTGTCCCCGGCACTACCGTTCCATATACTACCAAGCACAAGCGGTATAATGATGCTCATCACCAGTATGCCCCCCACGACGACGAACATGGCCCCTTCCCCCCGATCCTCGGAGAGGGGCCGCTTGTCCAGGTTGATCTCGTGCTCGTTGACGTAGGCGCGGCGGCGGGCGCGGCGGCGGTCGCTCCACCGCGCCGCGCGCTCGTGCGATTCGCGGTCGAAGTGCGGGACGTCCGACTCGTAGCCCCGGCCGAAGGGGGTCTGGCCGGGACCCATGCCGCCCGCGCCCGACGCGGGTCCGCTCGCGGTTCCGTCCTGGGAGGCGGACGAGGAGGAGGAGGAGGCTTGTTGGGAGGATGAACTAGAAGAGGTAGAAGAGGTAGAAGAGGTGGAAGAGGAAGAGGAAGAGTTGGCGGTGCTACCCTCGTGCGCGGCCCTCCGCTTCGCGCCGTGCGCGCCCCAGCCGCCGCTGCGGTAGAAGCTCGGCGGCGGGCCCTGGAAGGCGGAGCGGCGGCGGCTTAGGCCCGAGGCGGGGCGGCCGCCGGCTGGGTTGTTGGTGCTGCTGTAGGAGGGGTGCTTGTATTGCGTCTGCTGTTGGGCGTGCTGCGCGCGCTTGTGTAGTTGTAGCGTGTCCCGGTCGTAGGACGCGCGCTTCGCGGGGATCGAGAGGATGCTGTAGGCTTCGCTTATGCGCATGAAGCGCCGCGAGGCGTGCGGGTTGGAGGGGTTGTGGTCGGGGTGGTGGGTTTTGGAGAGGGCGTAGAAGGATCTGTGTTTTTGTGGTGAGCTTCTGCCGCTTGTGAAGGTGGGAAAGGGGGGGTGGAGGGGGGAAGAAAAGAAGGGCGCACTTCTTGATCTCGGTGGGCGTGGCGCCCGGCTGTAGTTTCAGCGTCTCGTAGTGGTTCATCGAGCGGTCGATCTGTTCATCGCGGAGGCGGCCGAAGCTGTGGAATCCGCATATCGACTGCTTCGGCGGGCTCGTTTCCGCCGAGAGGAGGAAGAAGGGGGTGATGCCGTGTAAGAGATACTGGCGTCGCGGACGGGCTACGGAGACGGAGACGGCCAAGGGGGATGCGGCGCAGCGGAGTGGCATTGCCTCATCCCGGATCCGAGGGGTGTTTTTGGTCTTGGAATAGGGTCCTTTAAAGCATATACCTTTTACGGGTATGGGCTCATAGAGTGAGGAAAGCAAGTAGATGATGAAGAGAAATAGGTAGAGTGTCTAGGTGTTGTGCCACCGACATCCGCGGTCGGATGAATGAGTGACGACATCAATGGGGGTTTTAATGCGCGAGCTCATTTCCACTTTATCGACGGATCTTATCTGATGTGGCGGTGTCCGTGTACGTGGCGTTTCGTGTAATTCCCGAAGTATTTGCGTCAAGTATCCTCCTTTATCCTGCCTTTCATTATTCTACTTTCCTAGCAAGATACTTCTCTTTTACGAGGAAGTCTTAGGGACAATACTAAACTATAGACGTATTATTACTTCGATCATGAGTTATGATACAATTCAACTCTATCACGGAATGGTCTTGGCACTCGGGACCTTGTCTGTGATCAGCCGTCATCTCGGAGATTCCCCACCGCTGTCCAAATGCCGTACAGGGGCACGGGGGCACAGGGGCACAAATAGGCGGGAATTGTTTGCTCAACGATTATCGGTCCAATTGCCGCCCTGCAATGCCGCTCTTTGCTCTTACTAACAGTCAGCAACTACAATATCTCAAGATTGGATAGGTAAAGAGGAAGTAGAATTTTAAGATGTAAAAAGCAATGTACAACGCCGTTCGATGTGAAATTAGGGATTGAATTCGCGTAAAAATGACTCAAGAAACTAAGGGCGTTCAATTGGGGCTCAAGACGGACGAACTCGGGGATGGACGCCAAACCGCCGTGACGCCGTCTGTGGGACCGCAAGCTGAGAACAAGCCGCTAACTCCCCCTAATGGAGGATGGATGGCTTGGCTTCAGGTCTCTGCCGCCTTCGTCCTCTATTGGAACACCCTGTAAGCTTGCCTCGAGCCACACCTATTTATCTTAGGTCAATCCCAATACTCATGCTTGCTACATAGTGGACTACTTAACGGCTTCGGTGCTTTCCAAACTTACTATGAAGAATCATTGCTTAGCACTGAGTCGCCGTCGGCCATCTCATGGATCGGTTCCGTTCAGGTCTTCTTCCTCATGGCCGGCGGTGTCTTCTTCGGCCCGCTTTACGACTTAGGCTACGCGCGCTCAATGCTCATCGCGGGCACGTTCCTTGTAACGTTTGGCTTCATGATGACTAGCATCAGCACGGAATACTACCAAATATTCTTGGCTCAGGGACTCTGCGTCGGCATCGGAACCGGCTGTCTCTACATTCCCGCCATCACCTTGGTTCCGGCCTACTTCACCACTAGACGGGCCATGGCGATGGGCGTCTCCGGAGTGGGAAGTAGTTTAGGCGCGACTCTCTATCCCCTCATCTTTGAGAGACTCCAGCCGCAAATAGGGTTCGGCTGGACTGTCCGTATCATCGCGTTTATTAACCTAGCTATGTGCTCCTATGCCATAATCATAGCAAGGCCTCGCCAGAAGTCCGCGCGGTCCAGCACCTCTCAAGGGCTAAGTTGGGCTTCGCTCAAGGAGGTTGCCAAGACCGCCGAACTCAAGGACTCGCGCTACGTTATCCAATGCGTCGCTATATTCTTCAGCAACGTCGCATTTTTTGAACCTCTGTACTATCTACAGAGCTACGCCCAGTCTCACGGAATGGAGGGGCAGGATCTAGCCAACTATCTGCTGGTCATACTTAACGCCGTTGCCATCCCAGGCCGTATCATACCCTCGTATATCGCGGACAAGGTTGGCGTGCTAAATACCTATATCGGAATCTGTGCTTTTACGGCGGTGAGTGTCTTCTACTGGATCAGCGTGAATAACCGAGCTGGAAATATCGCCTTCTCGGTACTGTATGGTTTCTTCTCCGGCAGTGTTGTCACCTTGGCGCCGGTCGTTCTGGCAAGCATTACCGACGACCTTAGTATCTTAGGCACGCGGCTGGGCTTCGTTGCTGTGCTGAAGGGTATCGGGTCCCTGATCGGACCTCCTATTGCCGGTGCCATCCTAGGCGCCACGGATAGCTATCTCGGTGTCCAACTTTTTTCCGGGCTTGCTATATCGCTTACCGCTGTGTTTGCTAGTCAGTTACGAATTGTGGTGGCTCGTCATAAGAAGTTGGAGAAGGGGAGATCTGAGAGCGAGAGCGAGCCTAACAATGAGTCGGAAAAGGCAGCTTAGATAGGTATAGATAGGTATGCTTAGACATTCTATGGGAATACACATCACGAACATCTTTTCACATTGCAACGGGGTTCGACTTGTTTGTTTGGGGATCATTACAACTGTTCCGGTAACCGGCTGGGCCGATGGAATATTGAATACAAGCAGGATATCAATTTCATGATAGGAGAACGGACGTGTTCAAACTTCGAGGTATGTAGGATAGCCCCTCCTTTAGGCGTTCCAGGATTGACCACAGTAGGGGGGGTGGATCTAACGTATCAACTCTACCTCCTTCACTGATCTGATGCTACAGACCCGTCTACATATATCACCGCTGAGATGGTAGCGAATGATATATCTTAATATTCTAAGAATTGTCCTTATTCTCTAAGAGCAGTGTTCGCAGTTATGTTCGCAGTTATAATCACAGATGACATCAAAAGCAGGAGATGCCAGCTATCACGGTTAGGCGTAAGCCTCTCTGTTAAGACTGTTCGATGTGTTAGAGGTCTAATCTATTAGAGGACTAGTAGCTAGGTAGAGGTCTAGTCGGATCGAAGTTTGATAGGATAACCTCTATATAGAATACACGCCTTGGCAGATTGCCATGGCGAAATGTCCATGCTCGGAGTCTGTAATTCTTGACGTGCTTGTGAAAGGATTTATTCGTCAAGGCTGGAAAGCTCAAAGATGCTGGGAGATACATCATGGGCATGCTAAACAAACATACGGCAGAAAGGGAGGTTGGCTCTAGGACCGAAGACTCCATGCCTGCATGGAAATCGCGACCACAGGCGGGCGAGGCCAGCTCCACCCGCCTAGGGTCACGATCTTGATTGCCTAGACGACTTTCAAGGCCTAGGTCTCATCTTGCCGTTTGTTTGTGTAGATTATGCCCACGATATATTTCCCAGCACCCTGAGTACTCGCCTGGATTGACGGATTATTCCGTGACCGTATCGTGGATTACACGATGTCGTCTAATTCGCCCCGGGACACCCATGGATGAAAGTGTCGTTGATCGAAAGTATATTGATCATCCCCATGAGGATGTAGAATAAGTGGCCTGTAGAATAGGTATGTTAGTAAAATAAGCGTACGGCGTTATTTGGATTTGGCAAAGGTGAGTACTGACCCTACCACCGCCACAAGTGAATGGTCGAAGAGGACACGCCTGTCCCCTAGAAGGGAGAATAGGTGCCGAAGTATAGACTACTGAATACAAGCTACCTAACCTGGGAGTATTCTCAACCAGGAAGGCGTCCAGATTCAACAGCTGTACCAGGACGTCTACCATGGACCCTTGCGCGCGGGTCTCCAACTCCGGAAGGATCTTCTCGACATGTTGACTCTCCCGGAATTCGTGGTATGAATTGTTCACCTTTAATCGGTAAACTTCGACGTCCTTAGTCTGGCCGACCTGTACTGAGTTAGTAAATTATCCTACATAGGCAGAGAAAATTAAATAACATACCCGAAGGACTCTTATGGACAGCTTGCATCTGGACGGCAAAGCTGTGTGCTTGGTGTAGCTACCAAGACTTGAGCACAGCTTTTGTGCAGTAAGCTGCTAGCCTCGTACTTTAAAAGTACGGGCGAAGGCAGGCCCGTAAGGCCGCCAAGTGGTGGCCGAGATGGGTGACGCCCCTAGGAGCGGACGGCTTATCAAACTCATTAGTGATGTGTTAAACAATTCGTTCACGTAGACACCAAAGAGAGAGAGAGAGAGAGAGAGAGACGGTAGGTATATGAGATTGCTTACCGGTATAAAGAACCGCCCATTATCTTTAGTAGAATGGCCCCATGGAGACCAAGGGATTCTGCGCGCGAGGAGCCATTGCGACTCCCCTACAATGGGTATGTCGAATTCCCGTTCCAAGACACCGACACCTAGTGAGAGGTGTGGTTGGACGGAATTCCAGGCACAAGCGCCCGTAGATGAGGACTTGGCTTGGATTGTTAAGGGCAGTTGTGGGTATAATATATCGAAGGGGCTTTGCCACCAACGTGCGTCTGCTTGTGCAGAGCACGAGTATAGTGATGAAGACGGGGGAGGGCTGCTTGTGGCAACGGTTGTGAAGAGTAGTGCAGTCTTGCCTTACTTTTCTAAGGAAGCAAGAGGAAGATAGTGAATGTATTAACGATGATGAATGTTGCGACAATGCATGTACGCAACGATGGAAATAAAGATATAAAATATTTAAGTTGGATGGGTTGAGGGTACGACAGCACGCGTCAAATCGTAGTTAGAAAAAAATGTTGTTTTGGAGAAAAAGAAACAGATTAGATTTTTAGGAAAGGGACGAGGTTAAGTACCTAACAACCCACACCCGCCTAGGCCACACCTATGACTGCCTGACTCAGCCATACGGCGACTGGCAACGAAAGCGACAAGAACCGACGGCTGTCATGGCGATACAAATAATTTAGGTACCTACCTCCCCAGACATGTTTACGCTTCTACTTCTATGTACGTTTTTGTGACCCATTAACGCAGTCCATCTCAACGACATTGCAAGAACTGCATACTCTCTCTTTAACTAGCAATCGTCCCCAGCTAGGGATTAATAGGCGAATATAACTTCATACGGACCTAGTGGACCAGACCTAGAATATAGAGCAGGAAAGGCACATGGTTTTACATTTATTCTGTCTTGAACTTGGTGTGCCAGCAGTGCCCTGAACAGAGCTTCTGTGGGTGCTTAGTTGTATTCCATCTACTAATCTCCGGCTGGCGACAACTGCCACTTAAAGAGATTTGAAGGCCGTACTTTTAAGCATCATAACAATATTCCTGTAGCACATGAAGCACGAATCAATTTAGCGAGATATGTCAATCATATGCCCCGAGAACTAGTAGTCTTTGATTGAATTGAAACTACATCTTTGGGCAACCCTCCATGATATTTAGAGGGTTGCCGGGTTCATCTTGGAACCCGAAAGCACCGGTGTGTTTTTCCGGTGCTACCCAGCACCGACGCAGCAGCTCGTCGGCTTCTCTGCCGACGAGCATCCACTTCACAGGTTCGTGAACCATGTGACCGATCTTATTTAGGGTCTCTAAGATCCAGAAGCGGCGACCTAATAATATTTGTATGTAAGTAACCGAATGTAAGAAGATAATAATAAGGGTCAAGAGGAGGGTAGGTTGACATACCACGACCATCCTTCAATTGGTATGTAGATAGTCCGGAAGCTTGTACTTGCAGAATGACATCTCGGAGAGTGATGCCAGCGTTCATTCGTCGGCCGATATGACAGATGCCGTTAGTCGTAAGTTTCTTCCAATCGTTGGAATTGCCCTCATCTTTGTTGTCCGTGAAGGTGCGAAGCATGAACACAGTACCCTTGACTGACTCTGTGTTGTACAACTCAATCGTGATCATCTTAGAATTTTGAAGTTCCAGAGCAATCTTCCATGGGTTCGGTGCCGAGGCACGCTGGTCGGGTGAAGGAAGTGCATAAACCCAGATACTACTAATCGTCCGGTCGCAGTAATTAAGCCAAGAGAAAACGTTGGCGGTTTCAGAGAGGACGAAGTATGCGCCGTCAGCAAATCGAAACTGGAGAACATCTGTTGCAGCTCCATCGACGGGGACGTAACGGATGTGATAGGGTTCCATGATGAGGAAAGATTGATATGTTGATAGAGTGTAGATGATTATGTGTGATGTTAACGCAAGAGTGGTTGTCGTCGTCTGATTAACAAGTGTCCAGTGTTAAGGTGGAACTACTGTTAATTGTAAGATGAAGAATTAGAAGTGAGAGTTGGATCAGGTTGTTAAATACCTAGGTAATGTTTCCTACCCGGGTGGTGTAGTTTTCTGCCAGTCCGAGCTTTTTTGACGGATGGGCAGGTGTCGAGAGACTCTCGATATTAAACATTTATTGGGTTTTTAGAATAAATATTAACATGACTCATCGAATCATTTGCTGGATTACATGGATCATTCTGTCCCAGCTGACAGCTGTCCGTAGTTAGACTTTTGAAACTGTACCATATCTTGTTCACTTGCATAGGGTTCTACGTACCTAGCCACAACAAGCCAACACTTCGTCGATGTACTGGACTTTTAGCCCTACTTTGTATCGTAGAAGTACGGTTCATCGAGATGCTCGATTTTTCGTCAGCAGTCGAATTTAGGAACCGTATCTTAGCAAGGACTTTACGAACACTTTGATCCTTGGCTTGCCGTGATGTTGGATGAGCTCATTTGAGCTGGCCATTTATAGCCTTGGAGACAAATAAAAGTATCTATTAGTTTAAAAATATGAAAGAAATGTTAGTAGTTTTATTGAAGCCATTTCCACGAAGGGAGATCTACCTAAGCCTTTGACTTATAGCACAGTAAGCACGAATCAATTTAACGAGCAATGTCCATCATATGCCCTGAGAACTAGTAGTTTTGATTGTTCAAAACTACTCTTATTAATACTTGGGGCAACTGCATTACCTCCTTGCCGTAATTATGTTCGGCGGTTAAGGCCCTCTATTATTTTAAGAGGGTTTCCTGATTCATCTTGGAACCCGAAAGCACCTGTATGCTCCTCCATGGCCACCCAGCACCGACGCATCAACTCGTCGGCTTTGACATCATGGGTCGTATGCTGGGCAACATCCACGAAATCCAGAAGCGATAACGTATTATTTAAATACGACGGTGTGCTCGAGGCGCGGAAGCTTGAAGAGGGTACTACTATGGCCCCGTTCAATTGGTAAAATACCGAGCCCGTTTACTATGACTACGGTTATTAATAGAATAAAGAAAAGGTTCACAATATTAGGGTGGATTTTATATAATAAACTAATAAACAAGGTGATGCATTTTTCATTGAGACGCAAATTCCTCAAAATTTCTGGGTGACTGTAGAGTGAAAGGGTACAAGCAATGATGACTGTCAAGAAAAGGCCAAGAAGACAGTTTGTACCCTCGACGTGTCCGTCTCCCCCGGCCCCTACTGGTAGAACCAGTTAGGGACAGAGACAGGTCATCTATGGGGATGGTGCTGTCGTAACCTCCTCCAATAACCTCCACCCAATATCCATCACCTAAAACTGACCAGAGGCAACCGTCCATATTAGTTGGTGAGGTATAAAGGCTGTCGACAAAGCCTAAGTGTCGTCTATCCTAATACCCTCCACCATCAAGCAGCGCAATTATGATCCTTCTCGTTGGGTGGAAGGGCGGCGCCACTGGCCCTCTGCAATGTTGAGCCGGTTGTCGGGCTCGTCCTTGAAGCCGTATCCGCTCACGGCCTTGTTTGGCTGCACCCAGCAGCGTCTCATCAATTCATCTGCCTCGCGGTGCATTAGCATATAGGATACAGGTTCGTAGATGAACTGTCCAATGGTGGAAAGCACCATGGAAGCCCAGAAGCGACGGCCTATTATTTGTTAGCGATTCAATATGAAAATAGAAAAGGGAGAGGAGGGAAGGTAGAATAACATACCACGGCCGTCCTTCAGCTGGTAGGTTAACAGGCCCACTGCTTGGACCTTCAGGATAATGTCCTTAAGCGTTACGCCTGCGTTGATGCGACGGCCAGCATGGCTGACGCTGTTGCTGGTAAGGTTCTTCCAGCCACTTAGTGAGGCAGCATTCGGGTCGTCGGTATATGTACGGACCAAAAAGACAGTACCGCAGGCCTCATTGGTGTCATATAACTCTAATGTAACCATCTTAGTGCTCTTTAACTCGATTGCGATCTTCCATGCATTTGGCTGCGAGTTCTGCACATCGGCAGATGGTAGTGCATATAGCCAGATGCTGTCGATTGTCTGACTAGAGAACTCAAGCCATTCGTCATAGGAAGCAGTAATTAAAACTACAAAGAAAGCTTGCTTTGCAAATTCAAATTGAACGGCGTCCCTTGGGACACCGTCAACTAGAACGTGTCGTGTATATGATTGCATCTTGAAGATGCAAATTAAGGGTATGTTTGTGATTTTAAGAAAGAAAGAAAGAATTGCGACAAGGGAACGTTGTTATATAATTAATCACCGTCCTGTCTGCCTACTGCTCGCCTACTGCCTGTCACCTGGTGACAACATTTTCTGCCGGGCAATAATTTTTTCAAGGGCGGGTGACGAGAATTACCACCTTGGTATCTTCCCGTGTTATTTCTTGCCTAATATTAGCACTGTTTACTGGATATTTTACTGAACTTCAAAGGGCATTCATCTTTCACTTACTGTTCTCCCATTACTGTTTAATAGCTTGGTCCTCTCCTTTATTTACCTAATATAGGAGCTTAATATAGGCCGTGAGGGGCCAACCCTTAGTTCGTGTACCTGTGTTATTTATTATCGTCATAACCTATGTACTTATGTTAACCTAGTTCTGTATAGCGTCGTCAAGGAACGTATTGTTAATAAACTCGATCTTTCGTTAATACTGAGAAAATTGGATATGGGCAAGTTCACGAAAAGCACTTTGCCCTTTGACAAGCTGTAATAGATACGAGGTAATTAAACTTACTCAGATGCATGACGAGGTAGGCCATTGCTATCGTTGACCATTAGAAGGATATAGTAGGGTTGCCATATTGCCATACAGATAAATTTACTAATGCAGCTACTGAAATATATATACTTCTGCAGTCAATTTAAGGTTCACTTATTCCAACTAGTAGCAGCAACGATAAGCTGTTTCCTTAAAATTTTGCAAAGTTCTCTACCTCAATCACGAAAACATTATCTCATTATTCCATACCGTTGTTGCTAGGTGTGGTTTGAGTTTCCCATGGACAATGTGCGCACACAGTACAAACACATACTAGTATACTAAATGCTTATTTTAACGAACTTCATCCCTAAATCAAAACATAACTAAAAATAAAAGCAACTAAGCCAAGACAGTGCCGGAAATTAGGGTGACTAAGAAAACACAAAATAATCGTTCTGTACCTTGAAAATCTTTCAAAATTGACTCATTAATTGAGCCTGTCCATGTACTCAAAAGGGGCAGTCCATACGGTGAAGCTCTTACCTAAGCGAGTACGTACCCCCAACCGCTTAGCAACAGCCGACAAGCTGCCAGCTTCCAGGATATTTACATAGATCTATATCTGGCCCGAGCTCCCAAAAACCCCCGACCCCCAACCCAGCCCCACCAACAAGTCGAAAATCAAGCTCGCGACGCCATCGCCGCAGGCGATTGACGCATGTTAATTCGTATATGTCGGAGACCTGCATGCAGCGGCAGTGATTGGCAGGCAAGCCTCAAATCTAGGGCGTGAATCTGATTGCACCAAGACAATTGATTTGTAGATCGATCGATTAGAAACGATGAGACTAGGTAGGTTGGGGGGCACAAAAAAGTACGTAGTGCGGTAGCGGGCAAAGATTTTGGGGTTGGATTCAGGGGCCCAGTCGTCATCAGCCCACCGATTAAATTCCCTTGTTTTTTTTTCTTTCCTTCTGTTCGCACCAAAAAGGAGGCTGGGCCAGTGACAGTGGGGAACACGTCAATTCGCAACCCGCCCAGCCTCCTATCAATCGGTGAAGTACCAAGGATACGAAGCCCAGTCCCGCTGTCATATATCGAATAAATTTCAATTGAATCGAGACTCCTTTTAGTTTTCCAATTTTCCAATTTCTTTGTCTTGTTCATTCCTCACTTCATTGAATTTATCGTCGTCGGGGAAAGTGTCTCTATTCTGCTTACTACTGGCTGGGTACATGCGCACCTACTACCTAGGCATACGCTGGCTTCCGAGTGTACCGCTTCCGCAGTCCTGTAGATTAAATGAGTCGCTCCGCCCATCCCACCGCCATGAATTCTCCCACCAGACCTCGTCCACGTCAAGCTCAAGCGCCACGTGACTACGACGACGGGCAACCAGCAATATATCACAACAGCGCGAAAGCTGCACCTAGTGCACCTAATGGGCCGCGTTTTGACAGCCACGACGACTTCTATGATTTCCTAGACAGCAACCGAGGTCCCATGTCCGGTCCAAGCAGTCTTGCCGGCCCTTCTAACGCAAACGCCAGCACTAGCGCACCATTGCATACGCAGCCCCTGCAGATGCCCCAGCAGCAGCAACGCTTCGGACAGAGTAGCGGCCCGTCAAACCAGAGCCCAACAGGGACGAGTCGTCCTCCGCTCACCAACTCGTTCCCGCCCCAGGGAGGCGGCGCTCCGGACAGGTCGCGACCCCCATCGTACTCGGGCAGCAGCCGTTCCGAGGAGATGCTTGTGGCAGATCGCACCCGCGACGACGGGCGAATCCAGCGCCAAAATGGGCGTCGGGGACCGCCAGAGGGAAAACCAGTATCGGGCCCACGACCCCGACCACCAACCAGCAGCTCTGCCGGGTCGTCTCCTCCTCGTAACTCGTCAGGGTACCCAATCAATCCGCAAGTCCAGCATGCGCAGGCTCAGTCAAAGTCGGCTTCCGCTTCCGCTTCGGATCCCAGCTTATCTGTCCCAGGCGCAAGCGTAGGCGCGTCGATCCAGCGCCTTAAGAGTCCCAGTGTGGCAGACTGCGTGCTACAACCGCTTGATCAGAAAGTCCGCGAGTACAATGACTTGATGAATCGCGAACAGGACGAGATGGACCGCCTGGATGCCGAGATCCGCGCGCTACAAGAGCGTCGCGCAGACGCCGAGACGCGCTTCCTCGAAGCCAAAGGCAAGCATGATGATTATAAACGACAGTATGTCGACGTCGAACGTGCTATGCGTGGGGAGATGGCGCTGCCACCTCCAACGCCTAGGGAGCAGCCGGCGCCGCTCACACGACAGCACACGCGGCCCATGAGTCTGCAAGATGATGACGATGACGATGATGATGACCTAGCGCTGCCTCCATCGTCGCACCGACGTATCAATTCTCAGCAGTCGTTCGGACGATCCTCCCAGAAGATGAGAAGTGGAGGCCGCTTCCGGTTCAGCCTGTTTGGCGACAAGTAATGAATGATGATCTTTCTGGTATGGGTCGTGACATATGGAGGGAAGCAGGATTCGTCGAGAGAATAAAAAGCAATGGCCGTGTAATTAAGATGGGATGGCCTAATGACTTACGCTAACGTCTTCTAAAATTCTCCGGTGTGTAAATGATAGGTTAATGGTAATGACAATCAGAGCATGTAGATGGATGGCATGGAAAAACGGAGTCAACTTAATTTGGAATTATTCCCAATCTCTCTTAGCGATCCATCATCCCGCGTGCTACACTCCGATTTATGGTCGGTCAAATAATATCCCTTGGTCGTCAACGACGCCAAATGCGTCAATATGTTATATGAGCTAAGTTAGTTCTAGCCACGTCTCTTCTCAACTCGCTAGCTAAAAGCTTGCGCGTCTAGAAGCCTCTTATACGACTTCGAGGTCCCTTTCGAATTCGCCAACGTGTTGCCGTCATCCGTTTCACTTAGCAGCAATGGCACAGCTAGTTTTTGACCTTGCCGTCAGCATGCTTGTTTCAGAAGAAACCTGCTACCACTCAACTCCTAGTACGCAGACTTTTTCTGGCTGGGAAGACCAGCCGAAGGTTAAGGTGACACGGGAATATAACAAAAATTCCTCCATGTATCTTAGAGATTCGGTACCAAGAGTAGTTAAATCCTCCCACGATTGCTCAATCAGATCGGGTTCCGAGTCGACCTCTTGGGTTTCGTCTGCTGCACTTCCAAAGAAGAGTTGAGTCCAAGCGCCATCGCGCCATACGAGCTTATTAGCTGCAATCATACCACTTTCATCGACCATTGACCCGATAATACGTTGATTCAACACGAGATCCCTCTTCAGTTCGCAATTCTTGCATATTGCGACGGGTTTGTTCGAGTAGAGTGGCATATTGCAACTGAGCACGTCGGTTGATCAGCGAAGCAAACGACAAGAAATAGGTCTTCAGGTACCTACCATTCGAGGTAGCAAAGAGTTCCTTTACGCCAATGTTCCATCAATTTCATTTCAAGAATGACCACATTCATCTTCCCAGTAAAGTCGACGATAGATTCGGGATGGCGAACGCGATCTTCTACGTCGGCGATGGTAAATAACGTTCGATCCGGACCGTTAATAGCCCGCTCGGTATCCCAAGTATTAGAAGGAAATGGGATATAGACGCTCTGCTTCTTGGCCATACTCTTCACCTTATTCCTAAGCCAATCGGCATCAGGAAACATTGGATTGACATCGACCATCGAACTAAAGCCAATTCCAAGTTCCGGGGACGTGCCTCTATTTTTATAGGTGGGCTTAGAAATGAGAAGGATTGTCTCATTGGGAACCCAACTCTTAGCCGAAGGAACCTTGCCTTCCCAGAGCTTCAAGACGCAAGTTGCCGTATCGTCAAATATACCTACTTCTACCATTTCAAGGGTCTGTTGAGTTTTCTTTGACTGGACTGTCCTCCGCGGCCCGACGCTTCTCACACAGACGAGAATTTTGCCCTCACCTAAATCATAACCGGTGGAAAGAAAGGACTTTAGCGTCATCAGCGCTGGAAGATATTCATACTCTTTTAGATTACACTCTAAAGGGCAACGCAGTATGCGATCTCCATCCGAGCCAGGATCATCGTTATGGACGATGATGTGTGTTGCGCCATTGCGGCCAGGGTACAAAGTCGTAGTTGAAGAACAGAAAGGTATACTGCCCGACGAAGCCCCCGTTGAGTCGCCAATGAAAGTGGTCCATATTGTGACTCTTCGGCCGAGAAGTAGCTGGTAATCAGACACTTTAATGTAGTACACTTTTACCTTCGACCTCTGGTTATTATCGAAGTACACCAATGCTGCAAACTGACTTACTGCAATGGCCCCTGATCCATCGGTGACAACAAGAAAATGAAAACCTTGGTCGCGAAAATTGTCGGCAAAGTTCACAATCCTCCCCGAAATCTGGTAGTTGTGAGGACCAGTTTCGAGGAGAGAAATTGGACATGTTTCATAGTGTCGTGAGGGTTTCCAAGGCCTTGATAGAGGGTCAAGTACTGCTTCAACCTCAGAAGACGTGAAGCCATCTCCTGGCTTTTGCGATTTCGAAAGCCCATCACTTGTACCCTGAGAGCTGGGTTGCAGTTCCCTGGAGTAAAAAGACTGAATGGAAGGGAAATTGACATCCATGTTGACGACGGCTTCATGGAAAATGTCGAGGAGTAAGGAGGCACAGCCTGGAAGGATACGTTCAATTTCGTAAGATGAAGATCCATTACATGTAGGCAAGTAGGGACGTAGGTAAAAAGAAATTTACGCATTGAGAAATAACATTGTTGATTGTTTAGGCTCTCAAACTTTATCCTATCACGAAATAAGAGCAATTTCCTTTCCAAGGTTTTTTTCCTTAGGTAGGTACTTATCATCACGCAAATTCCAAAGAACGCTCCTCCCTCATGCACAACCCGTAGACGTAATACGATGTGTCGCATGACTAATTGATGGCGCAGGTTTCCATATGGATGGAAGGGACAAACGTCAGACATCAGATTTATATAGGTATCTAGGTATCTACGTAAGTTGAGCTTAAACTCAATCGCTACAGCTCCTTAATGTTCTTGATTGAAGCCTACCATAGCGGCAAAATGTATTTCGAAGAAATCATTTTATTCTAAAAATCATTTTAGTTTTAAAATGATTTTGATAATTTAATGTATCTTTTCCTATTAATTTACTTGGGAAGGTATATACATAGGCTCAAACGATTTTTTAAGTTAAGAATCATTTTAAAACTTAGAATTATTTTATACTTTTGTAGCTATAAGGTATATATTTTGTAGTTACGGGGTTATTATTTTCAACGTTCCTGGCGACCTGGCTAGGACCTTGTATACACCAGGCTACAGCAATACCACTTTTAATTTAGAAGATTTTTTTCCCTTCCCCATCATTTTTGTCACTTTTTAAAAACTTAGAAAAAATTTCCAGGTTTTTTCTTTGTATTTTATTTACAATCATACGCACACCACCCTCGCATTAACATCAATACCTACTACACCTAAAAAACTTAGGGTTTTTTTCCTCCTCCTCCTCCTACACACATCAACGCCAATATCGATCGTGAAACACTTGCTATACCAAGCTTGATACCTAGAGCAGTAGCAGTAGGACAGTAGGACAGTAGACTGCTAGTAGGCACGTAGGCGTGTAGATGCGTAAACGCGTAAATCAGTAGATGTGTAGACCAATAAACCAGTAAACCAGTAGATCCATCTGTAGAACTGTAGAACTGTAGAACTGTAGAACTGTAGAACTGTAAAGCTATGGAACTGTAGAGCTGTAGATGTAGCTCGTCCCCTGCCATGCTACTAGTAAGTAGCATGGCAGGGGACGAGCAGGAGTACCAAAAAATAAAAAAAAACATTGCTGCCTACACCCTAAAAATGATTTTTAAGTTATAAAATGATTTTTAATTTTAAAATGATATAGATTTTATTTAACGTTAGTTATTGGTCCGGGCCATTCTAAACTTTAAGAATGATTGTTTGGTTCTGCATATTGCCGCTATGGTAGATTAAATAGATAGTTTGATAAGTCAAACACCCTAGTCGTGTTCCACCCCCATGTGGTCCACTTAAAAATCAAGGCCCCCTTCAACACTACAACAACTTCAAGATCACGTATCTCAACCAATTTTAGCTCAATTGACTCCTAACTAAGTAGAACCGACGATAATACAATCCTCCGCATCTGATTCGCTCGAGGGGTCCTCTAGCCCCCCCTCGGACTGAGAATCAGGGATTACAGGGGATACCTCTCCTAATTCAACCTTGACTTGATGCTGTGTTGCCCAAACATCCTCTATCCTTACAAACGTGTTATTAGGATCTTGTGTGACCCTACGACGCTTATTAGGCCTTGCTCTCTCCAGCTCTGCTTGTAGATATTCAATCTGGGATTCGTGGGTGGCGATTCTGACCGAAGCACTATCCAGGGCCTTATTTACCTTTTTGAACAAAAGACGGGCCGTTGGCTGGGTGTACACTGGATCCACGGAAGCAAGCTCTTTTGCCACGTTCTTCATAATCCTAGAATTGAAGGGGGTCTGGATGACAATAGAGGCTAAATCCCTAGTAAAATCGGGCCGGGGAGGCTCAGTGAAGTACGGAGAAGGCTCCGGGGTGGGGCTCCGGCCCGGCCGGAGCACCCACCGGCTGTTCAACGGCTTCTCTGGGTTCCGGGGAAAGATCCCGGTGGCCCTCCAGCCAGCCATGAGATTGTAAGGCTTCAGCCGTTCTTTCCTGGCCGCCTGGTAGGCTGTTAGGAATTCTCTCTTGCCAGGGTGGTTGTTGAAGAGCATCAAGCACGTGAGAGATAACTTACGGCGGTAGGTCCGTTTGAGAGCCGAGAAAACACCAAGGTCTAAAGGCTGTAACACGTGGGACGAATGGGGTGGGAGAAACACGATCCAGACCTTATTAGTCCAGCAGGTCCACATAAACTCTAAGGTGGTATGGCTGCCGTGGCCGTCGAGGATTAATAGCCGCCACTGCTCAGGGTCCTGGGGCTTAGTAGAAGGCAGGAAAATCTCCTTGAGCCACTGTAGGGCGATTGTATTGCTGGTCCAGCCGTTAGGTGACGTAATAAATCTCCAGCCTCGAAAACCTTCCTCGTCGTCGTCGGGAAACCACTGTTGTTGCACGTTTACCCCTGCAAATATAACGAGTGGATCTAGCACCCGAAGGTCACCGCTAATACACTCAACTATCGACGTCCAGGTCCTGCTCCCGGGGTCCTTCACGAGTAAAAATCGCTGGTAGGCATCACCAATCACGACGCCGTTGTCTCCAACCCCCTCCATTATCCCCATCTCGTCGGCGTTGTAGGAATGCTCGGGTGGGATGCTCGCCACCTGTGGCGAGCTCAACCTGCCGAAGAAAATCTCGATATTTTCAGGTGAAGCCCCGTTGGCTCGTTTATAATCAATCCTAGTAGCCCTGGCCATCTTAAGGTTCGGATTCCGAGCCACAAAGCGAGACTGCCAGTTCTTCCCGAGGGTAGCATCCGGGTTAAGCTCTCGCAGTATCTTCAGGGCCATCTCCCTGAAACGATACAACGGCGGAGCGTGGCCAAGGCGGCTCAACGAGATAGCCCATTCGGCTAGCTCTTGCTCCTGTTGCTTGGAGAGCTTCTGGAGACTCTCGTGATACTCTTCCCGTGTGTAACGGCCCGTTATTCGGCTCGTTAGGTAGGTACGGGAGATCTGGTTGTTTTGCGACGCACTGCGCAGGGACCTCCCCTCTAGGACTTGATCCAGCGCCTGCGCTGTACGGAATTGAGCTGCAAGAGTAGACATTTTAGAAAGGTGAGAAACTGAGGAATAAGATGGTATGTTCAATTTTGCAATTGGATTAGAATTGATTGAGCTATATAGGTAAGTTGTTTCGAACCTCGTCGCAGCTGCGTCTCATTTTGAGACTGGCCCACATGGGGGTGGAACACGACTAGGGTGTTTGACTTACCCAGCCACCATCGCATCACACTCTGTTTCGTATTTGTCTCTGACCATATCCTATGTTTACCAAATTTTGACTATCAACGGCCTTGCGATTCCTCTGGGGCTCAGTTTGGAGTGAACCTTTATGCCATTCATCACAATGAGGAAATTTTCCTAGATCCGTTCTCATTCAACCAGCAGCCTTGGATTCCTAGTGACGAGGATTCTAAAGGCACAATACGAGAGATGTCTTCTCTAGGGCAATTTCAGCTCTACGATGTCCTTACTTCATCCCATGATGGCCTGGTTTTGGTATTCCAGCCAAGGGACAACGTCAGCAAAGCATCTCGAATGGAATGAATCTAGCTTTCTATGGCAAAGGGCTATTCATGCTGCGCCGCCCCTCCAATATATGAAACATTGGCTTTTGATAGATCAACACATTCGGATATCTACGGACGTAGGATGCCGCCATCTCGGGACCGAGTTAAGCCACAATAGCTTTATGTATGATTGGGTACCACTTTAATGGGTATAGGTAGGATTTAATTCAGAATAACTACCGGTACTAACCTAGGTAACTTCCAATCTTATGCCTTTCTAGCTAGCATATCTGGATTAAATTAAGTATTTGTTTAGTAAACGAACTGCTTACTACATAATGGTGTTGGATCCGCTGCTCCGTATTAATTCTAGCTCCGGCAATGACTTCTTTCGGCTCTTCACCACCGTAAAATTCTGTGGTAGAGGACAATAGTCTTATTTGTTCTTAATAATCCACACCCGACCGATGCACAGAGGTGTCAATCCAATAAATATATCGACAGATTGTTCTTATGACTAGACTTACAGTTGCCACAAAACGACTTTGAATGCGGAACGTTATTTTAAATCTCTTCCTTCGGGTATCTCAATCTTATGAATTGGGAAGGAGGAGCGTCCGGCTGGAGGACCTCTATCTGGGTTGGCAACCACCTATGGATCGGATCCGGGACCGAGACATACCTAACTACACCATGGCTATATCTATACACATAGGCCGCTCTAGACTTAGTTTTACCATCGTCTTGTTCTACTTTTCTTGACATCCCTGTTGTTATTTGTTGAGGGTACTAGTCCATTTTCTCAACCAGACCTCAGCGACAATGCGTCTATATAGTATGGTTGCCACAATGGCATCAATGGCTCAGGTAGCGCTGTCAACCCCTTGTGTTGGAAACAGCAGTGGTATTCCTAAGCCGCTCGAGTTCAAGGAGTTGGAGAGTCGGTATCAAGCAAATATCCGAGCCTCTCTCGGCCTCGATGGATGCACAGAAAAAACGATTCGAATTCGCAAATCTTGGTCAGTGAACACGATAGCTTTCTCTTACGTCGGATGATTCATACAAACCCAAGCTAGACTCTAACATATGCACCAGGGACGACATTGATGCTGCAGCGAGGGCCGATTATGTCCGGGCTGTCAAGTGTTTAGCCGCAAAGCCAGCAACAGTCGATAAAACTCTCGCCCCCGGTGCTGTCAATCGTTTGGATGACTTTACCTACATCCATATAAATCAGACAAACATCGTACATATCTCTGTAAGAAATTATTTTGCCAAGGGATTGTAGGGGATTTATGCTAAGATATGTATCAGGGCTCATTCCTATCCTGGCACCGGATCTTCGTATGGCAAATGGAGGAGGCATTGCGCAACGAATGTGGATACAAGGGCACGATTCCGTATTGGGACCAAGCTCGCTTCTCCCAATATCCCACGAATTCTAAAGTATTTGACAACTCATCTTTTGGGGGCGATGGAGAATATCTCCCTAATGATCACGGCCCATACAACATCACAATTCCGGGACTCGCCGTCAACATGAGTATTGTACGACCTGCCGGAGCTGGGGGCGGTTGCGTACAGGATGGGCCTTTCGCAAACTTCCAAATCAGCCTCGGACCCACGGATAGACCATTTATCGATCCGACGAACAAGTTTGGCTACGAGCCGAATCCACGCTGCTTGAAACGCAATTTTGACTACCCATCTAGTACGGACTTCATGACATGGGAGAACGCGATCAAGATCGTTGGGGCATCTGACTTTGTAACGTTCTACTGGAACATGGAAAATACTTGGCATGTGAAGTCCCACCAGTTCCTTGGTAAGGATGGTCTCGATCTATTCACCTCACCTAACGACCCAATCTTCTACCTATTACACTCCCAAATCGACAGGCTCTGGGCTATCTGGCAAGGCCAAAACTTGGAGGAGCGCACGTTCGCGATCACTGGAAACCGTACCTTCTTCGGCATTCCACTCGATACTGCGCCGAACGTGCCACCCTCAAACGCTACGATCGAAGATATTATGGATTTAGGGCATGGATATAGACCCAAGATCAAAGATGGTATGCCTATGACCTATAGTGGAAGGTGCTATATGTATGAATAATTTGGCAAGATAAGTAGACTATACAATACCCCGAGATTCAACTTAAGTACCTAGGTAGGTACTCATTCAACAGGGAATTCACAGATGCATCAAAGATGAGAGTTGTTGATTATTCACGAGAATACATATTAATCCAGATATGGGCACTCTTCCTATTTCATGAAGGTAAATGTAAATATGTCACGGTTTAATTACCTACCTAATAATAACTTCTGAATAACCCACTTTCGAAAACATACCTACTAACAGTTACTACGACCCCTATCTTCCTTTTCCATAGGTAAACATCAATCCCATCACTGCCCTTTCACGAATTTGGCTCTGAGCTTGTAATAACCCCTAGATCAAGTTATCTGCCTATATAGGTACCTAGGTAGTATGTCGAGTAACGAAAATAGATAGCAAGTAGTGGTCTTTGTAATGTTCGAGCAAACGGTCAGTTTTCAGATAAACATGAATTTGGTGAGCCCGGTGATCCTTCAACGCAAGGAAAGATGCTTGCAACAGAGATTGCCACTCTCCGGCCTCCAATGTACCAGACCAATTAAATTGAATGTCATAGGTGTTAAATATATCCCGATGTGATACATATGTATAGAGGGTAGATGTCTCGACCTCGGATTCAGTAATCTTTCTAGCAATCTCCGCCCCAACTGCGTCTAAGTCATCGTTTATATCCTGCTGCTCTGGACTGGGGAAATAGGCGCCAAATACTATTGTGTCAACTGTGAGCGACTCGCCTGCCGCCGTTTCCGTGGTCTGTGACTTTTCGATTGGACGGGTTCTTGATATTGGCCCGTGATTCACTACCGGTTGTTCTTCTGGTATATAGAATGTGGGTTCGCCTTCTTCCGTCGCAAGATCCTCCGGGACAGGAGGCACCTTATGGTCCTTTTCAGTGGGCTGTAAGCTACTCATCTCTAATAGAGTCAAGTCGTAAATACTTTGGGTTTGAAGGAAGCGAAGAATGTGTAGAAGTCATAATATTTCAAGTTGCGTCAAATCAAGGTGAGCTACGCCCCTTTTATCGATACCTATATAGTTTGATGAAACCCAAATAGTCGGCAATTCATTACGTACGTTACTGTGGAACTATCTGGTTTAAATCTATAAGTTGCTATTTATTCACCTATCTCCTTAGATATATGCTCATAGAAACTTGCTTAGGTGCTACCTGCCACGGTCAAGTTTGTATACTTTTCCTAAGCCATCAAGAGAATGTTCACATTAAATTGTGAGCCTTTTGAAATAGTGAAAGTATCCCTTAGAAAAACATACAGCGTCACCCCCTTCGTGATCTAGTATGACACATTTATATGCAGTAGATTTTATTAACTATCATCATATCTAGGAGAAAATGACTCGCTAGAATGATTTCCATTAGTACGAATAGACATAAACCTTCGCAAATACAACGAAATCTCCAGGTGGTTTTATAGACCTTTTTCTTCGATAATTGCCAGTAAGCAAACGAGCTTAAAGCCGTTGATGAGTTATTAGAACGAGGTGCCTGCTTATAATAAAATCTTTCTAGGGAGAAGTCCAAGTTATCTACCTATGGTTCCCCATCTTTCACCCACACCTTCCTGATACAGCCTTTGCAAAGTCGCATTGCATCAATGCTATTATTGATAGCTTGCAATAGCTTAATTCAACGACAACTTGCTTCATTTTTTGTATTTGAAATTAATGTTGACCAATATCTTTTCCCCAGTTCTTTTATGGTGGTTCCGTATCAAACAATCTATGGAAGGAAAACACGACTTATATTAATTCAACTTTCCAACAACTCAACATAGGTACTTTAATACCTAATGAAGGTTTTCTTTATTAATCAATTCATGTTATATTCTAGCTTAAAAACAATAATGCGAATTAATCCAATGAGCTATAGATTTAAGAGTCTCAATATCTATCATATGGCTGGAGCTGGATACCTATGGTTCTACCTAATACTATTCAAGCTCTTGAAAATACACAGTTTATATTCTCACATATCAGACTAGAGATACTAGCACTGTTTTGTGACGCCTCCTCGTTCCTTCAGTATTGCGCTTTAACTAAGAACACGGGCAGCAATCAACACATACCGGAGGCTAGCCGATGGACTGATTTTCCGTATAGTCCTTTATTTATAAAGATCCTTACTTTTCTCGATTTTAGTATGCTTATTAGGGAGGTATATGATGATGTAAAAGACGTCTTATATGAGAGAAGTACCCATGGTCTCGATCGCTGCCCGTGTTCTTAGTTAAAGCGCAATACCGAAGGCACAAGGAGGCGTCACAAACCAGTGCTAGTAAGGGTCGCTTCTACTAGTATCAAGCATACCCATACCTAACTTAGGTAGGTACATAGTGCCCTGAGATGATCGCTAGCAGGCCCCTGGTATTCAAGATGAGCAAACTAAATGAATGAACCTTGTATCCAAAGGACTTCTTGAATCAGCGATATTGAATGGAGTGGGACTATGTATATCATTTGACGGGAAGCTAGTCACTTGCAAGAGCGTCTGACTCGTTTATCATATGAGTATCCAGGGGCAGAAACTATCATTGGAGGAAATATTTATGCGAATTTCCCCTTTTTCTAAAACAATCTATTCCAATCCTCTTCTATTCCCCTTTCGACTTAGAACTGAAGCAGAAAAACCAAGAAGAAGACTAGTATACGAATTACGGGTGGCTATCTCTTTGACTGGCAGTTGTCGCCAGCCAGGGATTAGGAGGCACAACACAACTTCACATGACCTGATGGACTAGACCCAGAATTATGGTACGTGGGTTTACATATATTTTTGCCTTGAGCCATCTGTACCAGCAGTGCTCTGAATCGAGCTTTTGTGGGTGCTTCATTGTATTTTGCCTCCCAACCCCTGACTGGCGACAACTGCCAGTTAAAGAGATAACGGCGACTCACGGACTATCCAGGCAATCAAGGCGTTGTCATCTTGACCGGAGCCTCGCACATTCATTAAATCCCGTGTATTCTTTGTTTGCTCCTATTCTGAAGTATGGGCGTCATGGTCTTCATTGGCCAAGTAGGCCTAGCTCCCAAACTAGCCTCTGACAAGAAATAGAGAGTCAAGTGGATGGATGCTGATAATCAATCGGCTCTAGTATTCTAGCCAATCAGCACAGGTGGGATTATAATACAATATTAGCAGGCGCTACACAATTTGCCATGAAGAAAATACCTCCTCTTGGTTGTGCAACGCAGTAAGAACAATGAATATTGAATACCGTCTACAAACTGCATTACCTATCTTGTACATAGGTAGATACCAACCTGACAGAGCATGGTTATTGGTACCGAGGGATTGGTACGCCGACGATTGAAATCATCCTTTGGCACTGTAAAATTTGGGTTGAATGAAGACTCGGAATCAGTCTCGGTAGGCATTCTATAATAAGCAGATAATCCGAGACATATTTTGAGACATCTATCTGGTTGTTGGGTTCGGGCTCTTTGTATGCGCGACTTTCGAACCCAGGGCTTGGGCTTTACGTTTCGGTAGCGGAAGGAGATGAGATTGCCTAAGCTGTTAGCCTACTCGCTTACATACGAAGAACATACGAAAAACAAAGGATCTTTATCGAGATCGGGGGAAGGAAAGAACATGAGATACACAAGATGCGCTAGACTAGACTCGACTCAGCCGAGCCGAGGCGAGTTATTTCAACTAAGCTCCAATCGTGGAAACAACCCTGGAACCTTGGAAACATTGAAAGCTTGAAAACGTTGGAATGTAACGTGAATCCGGGGGGCCAATCTGGGGTAAATAGGCATGGTCAAATGTGGGGAAGGACCTTAACCCCTGTCCGGTCCCAAGCAAGACAACGTCATTCAGCGGAAGCCCTGGAGCTAACAAAGTTTCCACTCTAGTACTCCTCAGTATCCATAGTACCCATAATACCCCGAGGTTAATCGAGGTTAATAGAGGATAATAGCGTTTAATAGCCAGGCTAGCGAGGTAGTTGCACCATAGTATTGACTTAGCGAGGGACAACTGGTTGTGCAGGAAGTCGCAGGTCGTCTCCAGCTTAACGAAATTTTTTCAATTTTCCATTAGTTACTAGTAAAATAGACCTAATAGCGGCAAATGAGAAGGATTCTCTATATGGATACATCCATTCCTCTTTCCAAGATTTTTACTGCCGTTTCTTCGTTTGCCATCATTTTCATTCGCATTCGTTCGCACCCGCATCCATTCGTCCTCCCCAATCTTCAACCACCACCTATACTCGCACAACCTACTACGCAAAAATAATGAAATAAAACCAAAATAATATAAAACGTATTACCGAAAAACAATAATACCAAGCTACCAGCAATCACCGACAATGTACCAGCCGAGGAGGGCCACAGTTGCGGCTTTTCTGGTCTGTTAGTTGTTGTTTAGCTGGTTCCTTTCACACACTCTCTCCCGATCGCACATCCACGTATACTTCTGCGCATCATACGCGGGCATCTACGGCACCTAAGCACTTGGCACACAAACAGCCTTTGTGCACGGTTTTCCATTTTCATCTCCCTATCGCCTCTCTTTCTCCCTCTCGTCCATCTCCGTTTCGGCCCTAATAAATTCTCATTACCTATGGCGGTCGCGGGGTAGGCGGTCTTGTCTGCCTCGTTATTCTGTACATGTACAATAGCTCAGCTCTCTCCTCACACTCACCGCTCCCAAGCATTTTCACTTTTGCCTTTTGCCTTTTGCCTCCTCATCGTTATCCTCGCTCGTCGATCATTTTCTCCATTCTTCTATGTGTTTGACCGACCTCCTACTTGGGCTTGGCTGAATTTGTTGCAACTAAGGAGCTGAAACTGAAGTTGACATCTTACCATTGCTATACCGTCGCTATCTCGACCCCGAGTTTGCTTACGGCCGTCCTCTCCCGGTCTGCGTCTTATACCTATACTTACACGGCACATCAACCACGAGCTAGCACAGTATAATTTAATTCATATTATATTACCCCCGTGTAGAATGATCACTTAGGAAGAACCATCGCCGCCTCATTCGGATATACTATACGGTTCACCTACACTCAAGCCCGTCGTCTCGTCTCCTCTAAGGAGCCGATACGTACTAATGGCCTTGCATAAGGTCTCTAGTCGTACCACGACATCACTGTATCGAAGATGTCGCCAAGCAATTTCCCCAACCGCGGTCCTACGATCATCGCTGTGACCTCCTGGACCCTCGCCCTAACCACTGTCGTCGTCGCTGCTAGGTTATTCTGTCGGATTCGTATTGTGCGATGTGTTACTTGGGACGACTACTTCATTATGGTTGCTTGGTGCATAGCTTTCGGGCTTACCCTTTCCATTGACATGGCTGCTGGTAAGGGACTTGGCCGTCATGATACGGATATCCCTGATCAAGATTGGGTTGCCCTGCGTAACTGCGAATATGCCTTTTCGGTATTATATGTAAGTTGAACGGATTTTATGAATCAGGCCTCTCAGTGAATCTAACCACACAGCAGAACCCAGCTTTGATGGCGACCAAGACATCCGTTCTAGTCTTCTACCTACGCTTATCCAAGAACACACAAAGGGTGATGCGGATAGCTTCATGGACCGTTCTAACTATCGTCAACGTAGCCGGAGCAGTCCTGACCTTTATCAACCTCTTCCAATGCCGTCCGGTCGCAGCAGCATACGATACGCTTACTGAACCGACATACTGCATTCCGTTGCTTACCCAATTCCTATGTTCAGCGCCCGTCAATGTTCTGACAGACCTCGCCGTATTAGCTTTACCATTACCCGTCCTTACTAGCATGAGACTACCACGACGACAAAAAATTATTTTGATTTTTACGTTTGCCCTGGGGGTATTTGTCACTGTAGTTGACGTCGTCAGGATCTATTACCTGGAGCAAGCCATTACTGTGACCTCTCCAACATTCGAGACTGAGAAAGGGCCGATTATCGGGCACTCGCCCGAGTTTGCTTGGAACGCATCACTCTCGCTCATGTGGTCGTCTCTCGAAGTCAATGTGGGCATAGTTTGTGCGTGCATTCCGACACTGAAACCACTCATCCGGCGCATCCTACCCTCCATGCTAGTCGACCCCAATGGAACTCGGGCATACGACAAAGGATCCTCGACGGATGGGAACGGGAGTTCTAATAATGCCCGACCGCCAACTGCTGGCCTCTTCACCGATGGCAACATTACACCACCTGCCCCGGTGCATGCCGGAACAAGGCAGGAGAGCCAAGTCTCTTCGATCGATTTCATGACCACGCCAGATATGGGCTTCGTTACTCATTCCCCAGACCCCCTTAACCGATCGCCAACTATTCTGACAAGCGCCACTGGGACCTTCTCCATGACGGAAAACTCGGTTTATTTCGGCTTCGTAAACATGCGTCGACCGAAAAGCATGATCAGAACCTCAGTTCGTGACTCCTTCAAGTATTGCACTGTGGTCATCATCCTATTCTTGCTCTGGGGATTTTCATACGGCATATTAAACCAGCTCAATAACGCGGTCTCTGCGGTCTCGGGCATGTCGACCGCCGAAACGATAGGGCTTTCGTCAATTTACTTTGGAGGGGGGTATTTACTCGGTCCGTTGCTTGTTGGCGAATGGATTCTGCGACTTGACGAACACTCCAGGTCCGGGAAGAAAACGAACGGTTCGGATCGTATCGGTGGCTACAGGGCAACATTCATAGTGGGGCTCTGCTTATATGGCGTGGGGACGATTATGTTTTGGCCTAGTGCTGTCCTTACTTCGTTCGCCGGTTTCATGGTCTGCAACTTCGTCGTCGGATTTGGCCTTTCGGTCATAGAGACCGGGGCTAACCCGTTTATCGTCTTCTGTGGCCCGATGGATTATGCAGAGATGAGACTCTGTCTAGCCCAGGGGATCCAGGCTGTCGCAACTGTTTTAAGTGGGCTTCTAGCTGAGAGAGTCTTCTTTACTAAGCTCGAAATGAATACTTCCACCACCAACACAAATCCGACGACGCTGCTGGACGTCCAGTGGACGTATTTAGCTATTACACTTCTGTGCGCGGCGCTGGCGCTCTTCTTTTATTACATGCCTTTACCGGAGGTCACCGACACCGAGATGGAGAACTCCACGCGATACCTCCCGGTCGACCCTAAAAAGCGAAGTTTCGGTGGATTACAACTTCGAACATGGACCTTAATACTGGCCGTTTTAGCCCAATGGGCCACCGTTGCCGGCCAAGAAAGCATGAGCATATTTTTTCAGAAAATTATCACGCCGAAAACTGCCATGCATGAAACCGACGGCCAGTCCATAGAATCATTACTTACTCCGAAAGGGCTTACTCTTTCTATTCCGAATTACCTATCAATCTCCCATACTGCTTTTGCTCTCTCGCGTTTTCTGGCGGCATACCTCGCCTTTTTATCTCCGACTCATCCAAAGGTCCCACAGCCACGTACGATATTAAGCATTACCACCGGACTTAGTATTCTCTGCGGTATCACAGTGGTAACCCTCCGTCCAGCGAACCCTAACCTGCTGGTAATCCCGGTAGTCCTTTTCTATTTCTTTGAAGGCCCCTTATGGCCTCTTATATTTGCCCTTGGACTTCGCGGGCAAGGCAAACGCACCAAACGAGCAGCGGCATATATCACCATGGGTGGTTCGGGGCCGGCGTTCTGGCCATTCGTGATATATGCGGTGACTCAGCGAGGTGGCAGCGTTCAGACGGCATTCGCTGTGGTCCCTGCTCTTTTCGTTCTAGCGGGATTCTTTTCCCTCTTTTTGGACTTGAAGAGAGATGCCCGAGCTTTGGTCGACGCTCGTGTCGGTGCTGAGAATCAGTCCAGAATACAGGATCGCGCTAATCGGGACATGGATCTTGACACTATCCTTGAAGCGCGGCGTCGAGCATCACTAGCTGGTCTACCAGCTGATAACGAGAAGACAGGCTTCTTCAAGAGGCTCTCAATTGCACTGGGCAAAGGCAGTAGTGCACTCCCTGCCCGAAAAGACTCGGACCCTCCGACTTCAGAGCACCGTGAGGCGAGCAGTGGAAGCCCTGGTTGAGATAAAGAGAGCTGTTGATACCTACCTAACCCTCGAATAAAGATCAATCACCCGGTTGTTAACTTGGATTCGCGCGACCTCCTCGGAATCAACAATGATCCTAATGATTTAGTAAAGAGTCATTGGCGGAGAGGCGGATTGAGAGGCACCATTCAGGCTCTACGACAGTGACGTCATTTTCACTTCCCGGCCTCGATTACCAGGATCTTCAATTCCAGTGGGTCCAATATGCTTACATAAAGCTCTTGGCCTTCTGTTTGCTTGAGACCTAGGTATGGCTTCGAGTCGTATCATACGATGCGTAGGGCCATCGTGACTCGATAATTCTGTCATGGTAACGGTAAGAGAGATCATTGTAAAATCATCTCGATTGATATTAATGCTGACTTGATACTAGCAGTTTGCTTTGAGAATGGGATGAAGAAACGTTTGATATCCACATATCTTAGCGAATAATTACGTTTGAAGACTGGTGGCACTTGATCCCCTACAACGTGGCTAAACATGTCAAGTCTCATGGCGTTCACGACGAGTCGAGTCACAGTTAGTGAAGATCTTCTTGTGCCGTTCCCACAACGAAAGAACGCAGAATAAACTAAACGTGTACTCGTGCCAAATCATTGCAGTACGGCGAGTGTAACTACTATGATATCACGCGTTACATTAATGGCGTTGAGGATCTTCATAGTCGTTTTCGGATGATACCCCAATATATGGTTAAATAAATATAAAACTTATAACGTAAATGGTTTATGAGAATACAGTGACCGGTTAAAGGAGTGCATTCCGAAGCGAGAACCGGAATTTTCGGTGTATCTCCGTACAGTATGTCCCACTAAAAGTTATGGGGACCTGAGAACGTGGAAAGCCCCCTTAATCAGATTACTGTTAGTATATGCACTTACTTAGGGATATCGTAGAAAAGGGGGGCCACTGTTGGTGAATAAGTTGTCGGACGCCGAGAATATGTAGAAAAGAGATCGGAATTTAGCTATCCTAGGCAGCCTAGGCTATTGTTGCAAGCTTACCAATCCAATCCTGTTAATGATGACCCCTTCCATCTTGGCTGCCCTTGTTCGTATTCTTCTTTTTCCAATTATCAATTCTATCATAGTTTCATTTTCTTATTCCTTTTCCCCCGTTATTAGAATCTAGACGAGGATGGAAGAGCAATAAGTCCTCATAATTGTACATTGGTAATTGAATCTGCATCCAAAAGCAATATTTGCGTAACGTAAATACCGTGGAACCGGGGGTCCCGGTATCATTAAAATCACCATGACATCTCAGGTTGAATCTTCTGGAGGTTCCCCTTCTAAAGATGGCCTAAGGGAGCCCATTGGTTCGAAAGATACTCCGTCCATAAATGACTCCGCCACGGAGGAGACGCCGCTCCTGCGGTCCGCGTCTGGTTCGGACATTATTGAGAGCATCTCGTCTGCGACCTCCGAGCCGTCTGAAGATGGTGATTCCCCTGATCTGGATACCCCGAATCAAAGGGTCAGCCGGGGCCGGGCCGTTGCTATCGTCTTGAGCGTCTACCTCTTGATCTTCCTGCAAGGTATCTACCTACCTACCTACCTACCTACCTACCTACCTACCTACCTACCTACCATCTAGCTAGGTGCCATGCTGCCTGGCCGCCCGAGCTCATAGATAGATCCCGGTATTAACTTCTTCCCGCGCAGCAACCAATATGTCGGGCATCACCATGGCGCAGTCAACCATAGCCGCGGACCTGGATTCGTACGAGAACGCGATGTGGTTCACGACCGCGTTCCTCGTGGCCATGTCCTCGTCGACGCCACTAGTCGGCAAGCTGGCGTCCATCTTCTCGCCTCGCAGCATGGTGCTGGTCGCCTCAGCGCTGTTCGCCCTCGGCTGCTTCGTCACGTCGCAGGCGCGCTCGTTCTCGGTCTTCATCCTGGGAAGAGTCATCACGGGCATGGGCGGAGGAGGGTCCACGGCCTTGGCCATTGTTCTTATCCTTGAACTGACGACGAAGAGGAAGAGGGGGCTATACGTTGGGCTGATGTAAGTACTTATCTAAGGACTCCGTCGATGAGAAATCATGTATACTGATTTCCACGGCTAGGAATGCTGGGTTCACCACAGGTGTCTCGTTGGGCGCCGTCGTCTTTGGCGGTCTCATATCCGTCACCGGCTGGGTATGAGTCCCTGCTGTCCCCTTGTACTCATGGCCTATTGACTCACAATACCGTTTAGAGAGCCCTCTTTTGGGCACAAGTTCCCCTAGCGTTGATCGCCGGGCTCGCGATTTACTTCAGCATCCCTGCCTCGTTTTCTTCGAGCCATCGTTCCAAAGAGGGTTCATTGCTCGCGAAGCTGAAGCGGATTGATTACCCCGGCGCCATATTCTTGGTAAGTCGATACTAGTATGGGTGGGTATACTCTCCGCACTACTAACCACGCGTAGACCAGTACCGTCGTTCTTTTTCTCTTCGGGTTGTCTAATAACATCCAAGTCATCCCGCTGCTTATCTCGTTAGTCACGCTCATCATATTCGTCCTGATCGAGTGCTACGTTGCCGCCGACCCCATCGTTCCGATTGCCGTCATTCGGAACCGTGGCGCCTTGCTGACTTGCCTTGCGCAACTCGGGTTTATGGCTGCGCGGTGGGCGGTGCTGTTCTATGCCCCTATCGCGGCCCTAGCAGTACGGGGTTTCCCACCGGCGGCAAGCGGCAGTATTCTCATCCCGACGAATCTTGGCTTCGGTTCCGGTGGGCTTCTCGTTGGCGTAAGTTCTCTTGTCCCCGTACCATATCCTACGCATACCTCCACTACTTTCGCCTATTATGGCGTCGAGTAGGGAAACCGTTAGTTTGTGACATGTCACTAACATGCACCTCAGTGGCTGCACATTCGCCGCGCCGGAAGCTTTTGGCTATCCTGCGTCGTGTCTTTTGTCCTCTTCGCCGCGAGCTTGTTCGTACTATCTCTGGCATCAACACCCGACGTCCCGATCGCGGTGTACGTCGTCGTCGTATTCCTCAACGGCCTCTTCACTGGCGCCGCGCTGAACTACACGCTCGCACACCTCCTGCACCTAACCCCGCCCGAGACCCACTACGTGGCGACGAGCTTGCTAGGCACGTTCAGAGGATTTGCCGGCAGCTTCGGCAGCGCCATCGGCGGAGGCATATTCGCCCGGACTCTGCGCGAATCGCTGGAGAAAGGGTTCGAGGGCATCGATGGTGATCCGGGCCGAGACCGCGCCGAGCTTATCCGGAAGCTGATCGGAAGTCCGGCGCTCGTGTATAATGGTGGACTTGGGGCCCGGGAACATGAGATTGCGGTGCAGGGATATGCCGGCGCGATAAAGGTTCTGTTCCAAGCTGCTGTGGTTCTATCCGTGATTGTCTTGGTCGTCCAAGCTGCTACGGGGTGGAAAGGGCCTGCGGATAAGGTGAAAGATTCGGGGGTTGAGGATGAGATTGATGGGGCTGGTGGGGATCAACGGCAGTAGGGTGTGGACTGCTGCAAGATCTGGTAATCTACCAAACCCTGCTTGAGATATGTAAAAATCCAGTCATTATAGACGGTTAGAGGCCTTGATTTAGAAATTTGGGTATAGTTGGTTTGATTTAGAGAAGAGGGTTAAATTCTACTTGGGGCAACCCCCTATTATTTAATACTAAGGTATGTTTGAGATCTATGATGTTAGGTACCTACATTTAATATGCACAGCACATGTAAGGGGCTAATATGGAGACTGCAGTCACAGATACTCAGATAAAATTCGTTATTCAATGTATATTTGCTATTATTTTACCTTATATGCATTTAATACTAGAAACAAAAGCTTTTTCTGTTGAAACAATTAAACACAACAAGCCTTCTAACTTTCAAGGGGAAAGAAAGTCTACGACAACTCAGACAATTACAAGGAGAGAAAATCACCCGTATGTACCACCGATTTTACTAGATCCTTTTCGTTACGATCTTGTTTTCTCTAAGGGAGGCTCGTCGCAACTAAAAGTCAACATCATCATCACCTACCGTGTGATCTACCAGGTCTTGTAGCCATCTAGCTTGAGCCTCATCGCCGATTTTGCGCGCGACGGCTGGTAAGGAGAGTCCTTGGGCCGCCCAAGTATCTACGAATCCGCGAGCTCCAAGGACAGTTAGCGGTCCATCGGCTGCTTTCCCTCGCGCCGACGTGTCTCCAGCGGGGACCGGAAATCCGGCTGGAGGCGCTGAGGTGATGTCGGCCATGATAGGTGCAGGGTTACCGACCTCGAGAAGATATCGAACGAGGGCCGGGTCATTATGTAGGACGGCATGGTAAAGCGCCTGGAGAGAGCGCCGGCAGTTACTCTGGACTAGAAAACTGATGGTAGTGTTGTTACCGTTGAGTCGGTCGCGAACGGCTGTGGATAGAAGGCGGCCGTGGATGTCGTAATATTGGCTATCTCTTGACACGCTGAACAGCATTCGCGTCCAATCCAGGCTCGGCTGCGGCAGATCAGCCAGTTGCAAGAGCAGCTCCTCGCCGAGCTGGCTGTTAACGGGCGCTCCGCCGTGAGGGGTAGCCGGAACTAGCCCTTCACCCCTATTAAACCTCGTGAAGAACCTCCTCCTTTCCAAGGCCGCGGCGAGCACCACCACGGCGCCCAAGACGCTCTGGCTAGCGATATTGTTAATCCGTTCAGCGGATATGGGCTCGCTCAGGCCGACGAAGTAGCGGACCATCTCGATCCCCCCGTTATCCAGCCCGGCCGAAGCCAAGGCCTCGACGACGATCGGGAGCGAGCGTCTTAGCCCGTTTCGGTAGACCTCCGAATCGAGCGCGCGGATGTTATCCACGATGCCCCAGAGCACGCGCACGACGACGGCGGAGTCGGCGGCGGCGTGCGCGTCGCCCGGCCGCCCGTGCCGCTGCAGGAAGGCCGGGTCGAGGCTCAGCAGGTTGACGCGCGCGCCGCTGAGGAAGACGTCCGGGAACATGAGCGCCAGCTGGATGCGGTCGGTGCCGTCGAGGCGCCCGACGAGCGCGAGCAGGTTCGAGTTCGTCAGGAACGGGATCTGGCTCAGATGTATGGGGACCCGCGACTGGAGGTCCGGGTCGGCGGCCGCGACGGGGATAGGCGGTGTTTTAGCTTTACCTTCTTTCGCCTTCTGCGCCCTCTCCCTTTCTTTCTGTCGGCGACGGGCTCGTTTTTCGCGGTCCCTGGCCTCGTTCCCTGCTTCCGAGGGCAGAGGCGGCAGAATGGGACGTTTAGGGGGGCTGGTTTTCTTCGTCTCGGTGCGGCTTGGGAGGTGTGGACGCGGTGGGAGCGGACAAGCTGGCCCGAATGATTCGATGTCTGGGATCGGCGCGGCAGTCTTGCTAACAGGGTCTTCTCCGCCCTGCTGAGCTTCATCTTGGACCTGTCGAAGCGTTTCTTTCTGCTTCTGGATCGTCTTCCGCCGACGCTTGGACTTAGCTTCCCGCGCCTCGATCTGGTCCGCTTGGAATCCGGCCAGCCTTTCCAACTCGCGAAGTTTCTCCCTGCACCGTCGAAGATCTTCAGCCTCCGAACCCGCTGGTTCGGGAGGATCACGCCGTGCTGGCGGTGCGGCGATCCATTTTGCGCGCCCCGCTGCTTGAGCCTCGTCGAGCTTCCGCCGTTGCTCTGCCAGCTCGGCTTCTTGTTCTGCTAGTCTCTTTATACGCTTAGCCTCCCGCTTCGCAGGCTTCCTACGCGGGGGGGAAGCCTTCGGGAATGGTACTTTGCTTGCAGGTATCATGTTGCTGAGTTGTCTGCCCTTAATAGAGATTGAGAACGTTATAAGTTGTAAAATTTATAATTATTATTTTCCTATAAGCATGGAACCTCTCGAAATTGGGTTTTTTACTCAGTTAACTAGGTACCTAGTTCGAGATATGTATAAAGAGTAAGAATGGTTCTAACCAGTTACTTAATTGACAGTTGTCTGGCTATGTGCTTTTCGAAAAGTTGTGAGAGGCATTGTCGTATATTTATTTTGGGTTGTGAGGAAACAGAATTATTTCGCTTCGTACAATTGCATTGTTCTCTACCCAGTTGATCCACCCCTTGGCTTTGTTTCTGTTCACAATAAACACATGCGTCATCGAATGTCAATGCCCGTTGTTAGATCTGAGGTATCATTAATAGAATACAAGACTCGGATAGAATTAATTCAGAGGAAAGTTTCCCATGTGCCAATGTTACTATGTTGCATTACGACTTAAACTATCCCCTGCCTCACCTTTATAAGTAGCTTATACGCGTTTTAGCGGGTAAGGGATGCCGTTTATGTGGCCCAAGGGATAGTTTATAGTGCAAGACAGCATAAAGACATAAGAGAAAGCCATGTCTTTATGCCTTAGATCTTAGAACGAACTTTAGCCTGGGCTTTCGATTTCTCAGCGTCCCACTTGCTCTTGAGGGTCTGCGCGTGTTCGACCTTTTTGATGAAGCCATCATACACTCTTAGCCATCCACCACCGAGACTAGAGATGTCGATAGGACGACCAGTTCTGGCATCCACAAAGGCTGCCGAGCCTTTGACTTCAGCAACTATGGCTTGTTGTTGAATCGAAAAGAGTGAGGTAGTACCGAAGTAGCGCGTTGTTTCCATGCGCTCCGGCCGATGTGCAATTATAAGCTGTGGTTTGAATTAGTCGGTGGTGACCTCAATAGTTGACATAGTCTCCCCTGAGCGGCACCTACAGAATCAGGATACTTGACTGGTCTTCGAATATCTAACTCGTATTTTCGAACGACGGGGGTGACGGTCTTGGCGAGGATCATATCGTTGTATTCCTGCTCGCTCAGGAAGTCATCGAAGCTTTCCATAGTACGATGGAAGCCGATCCCTAGAAAGTGCGTAAACCTAGACTGCTTGACGTGCCCGAACGGATCTTGGTCTTCAGCCCACAGCACACCGCGCTCAGTCATAGTTTGAGGGTCGTAACCCATTGCCTCAAGCGTAGCGATCGCGCTGGCACGAAGTGGCGCATACGGGTCGCCGGTAGGATGAGGTCCCGATGCACCGGAGCGTGAATAAGGAGAATCATATGCCGACTGGGATAGGCGCGAGAATCTTTTGGTATTATCGGCCATTGTGGAAACAGAGTGCCATCAAATACTATCGTAAATAATTTATGTACCTATGACTAGTAAACCTCTTCTATTCCATAGTCTCTGACTTATAGAAACGGGCCAGAACCTCCCTAGCCTTCTTGCCTGGGTGATAGCTATGAAGAAAGGACGCGTACGGTTCTACATTGAGGTGAAATAGCTTCAATTAGTAGACAGGTAGGTACGAATGCAAGAGTTATTGAAGAGGAACTACCTATTCTTAGCCCAACAAATGAAAGAAATGCATACGAGGAACTGACTGTTGGTGAACTGCACCATAGTTACTTGGGTAGTTACTAATTATAGAGATGTGACACGATTTTCCATCCGGCAGGGGTCATGTTTCTGGAACACATTGAGATGGTGAACCAACGCCGAATCCCCTTGCGTCAAAGGAGGGAGGAACATGCGGGTTGGAAACAAAGCAGGCTGACGGCTACGTCAAGCTCCGTTATGTTGTACAACGTTGGAATCCAAGCCAGCCGAGGCTACCTCCACCCCATTACGCCGTTCTACTATGGTGCTATAACATGGCCGGTGTGTAAGAAGAATGATTTTAGGTGGAGGATGTCTACCCCCTTTAGCCATTTGTTCACGAGCCTGCCCGACATTTAGCATCTCGTACTGCCCCTACCCCTTCATTTTCAATCACCTAGCTACTAACAACTAACAGATTACACTCTGGCAACCTATATCGATCGCAGCTGATCAATGCCATTCCCAGAAGATGGCGTCTGAAAGGCTCTTTGAAAACATCCCGTCTTTCCCTGACGACGTCCCGACGGCCGTCATGTCTACCATCTCGCTAGCGAGGCTGCGCGATGGGGATATGGATGCTGCTACTAATCTGTTTGATTCGGCCCAGGAACTAGGTTTCTTTCTACTCGATTTACGCGATGATGAGTTGGGCAAGGCTCTAATAGATGAGATTGACTCTCTCTTCGGCCTGAGCAAAACCATCATGAACCTCCCTGACGAGGTCAAGCGGAAATATCTGCATAATGCCCCGAAGAGCTTCCTCGGGTAAGTTGTATCATCACCTTCCACTTCTTCCATCATTCTCCCAGTCCCTGATGTCCGGCAGCTTTAAGCCCCAGGGTTATGCGAAAATAGAGACCCGGGAGCCGGACCGGTTTGAATGGTTTAACCTTGGCCAGGATGGCTTAACGGGGTGTGCACCCCTCCAACCGCTTCCACCGGTCATGCACGATAACCTGCCATTATTCAAGTCATTCCTGGGGCATGGCCAGAGTATCATTGAGACGATCTGTCGCACCTTAGCAACGCAGCTCAAGCTGCCGCCAGATTCCTTCACATCTCTACAACCTCCTACTAAACCCTCTGGAACCGTTATTCGGATCATTAAAGCATTCGCGTGTCCGGAGGAAGAGGACCTACGCACGAGCATGATCCACCATACGGACTTCGGCACCATTACCTTGCTCGCCAACGTGCTGGGTGGCCTGCAAATTCTATCACCGGCGAAATCACCAATGGAGGCGGACGACAACGACTGGCTCTGGGTCCGTCCACGGCCCGGTCACCTGATCGTGAACCTCGGGGACGCCATGGTACAATGGACGGGCGGGCTGCTACGGAGTAACGTGCATCGCATCAGATATCCGCCCGGCGAGCAGCGCTTTCTCGACCGGTACAGCATAGCCATCCTCGTCAGGCCGGAGCGCAACGCGAGTATGAAGAGATTGGCCGGCCAGGGCGAAGACGACGGAGATGACGAAGACGACAATCTTACCGCCTGGGAGTGGGAGGTGAAGAAATCCCAGGCGCTGACGAGGGGGGAGAATACCGTGAAGAGTAGGGGTGGGAAGTCGGTAAAGAGGTAGGTAGGTATTTTCACATCCTATAGCTGCAAAGGGGACGCGACTTCGTAACGACCTCATATATAACCGTGTACATCTTCAGCTCTAGCTTTATGTTTGCGATGTTCTTGTATGTCGTATTGGTTCCATTAAGGATCTCTTCACATTGCTGTTCTTCTCTGACCGTCCGGCGTATGGTGACTCCATTAAAAGTAAGAGGCGGTAGATATATTTTATGATTGTATCGGAAAGTTGGAGTACCTAATTAGATATTGTGCTGGATATAAATCACGTACGGAGAATTCGATTAAAAGAAGGGAGGTTAGGGAGGTTGCAACTGGTCCGGGGTAGTCCGTTCATACCCCGGCAGCGGTTCATGATGCAGGTTGTACTAGGTACCATGTACCTCCGCCAGCTCAAGCGGGAGCTATTTTAGTACTGTACCTTGGTACGACGTTGAAACCGTGAACTTCCCAATGTCATCACAAACCTCGGGTCGGGGTCTTGTTATTTTGCTATTTATTCAATCAAGACTTATTCCCTTCTAAGTTAATATACTCTACCCTTCTATGTGACTCTCTAATTGAAACCTCCATTGAACACCGAGTATGTCGTCGTCTGGGTTGCGACAGTGCATCCGAGATGTCTCGCCATACCTGATCCTCCTAGTCGCTATCAGCACCCTTGGTCCGCTACAGTTCGGCTTCCATCTTGTAAGTCTAGCTCTGTGCATCATTATCACCTTTAATCTAGCAATCCAACTCATGTATCTCTAGGCCGAGCTCAACGCACCTCAAGATGTCATCTCTTGCCGGGCCAAGCAACAGTCCCTCTCACGACTCTCCTCCGTTCTGTCTTTGATGTCGAAGTCCTCGACCTCCAACGAAGTAACCACTACCTCTGCCCTTCCCGACTGCATTCCCATGGATGACGCCCAATTCGCCGTCGTATCGAGCATGTTTACGCTAGGTGGACTGATCGGTGCTCTCGGGAGTGGCCCTATAGCCTCTGCAAAGGGTCGTCTGTTGGCTATGCGGTTGACCAGCTTATTCTACATCATTGGTTCCGTCGTCGAGGCCCTTGGCGTATCCATTGCCATGATGGCTGTGGGCCGCATATTCTCGGGCGTAGGTGCTGGCGCTGCAACTGTCATCGTGCCAATCTATATCAGCGAAGTGGCGCCGCCACGCGAGCGCGGTACCTTTGGTGCCATGACCCAGGTCAGCATCAACGTCGGCATCCTAGTAACGCAGACTATGGGATATTTCCTAAGCTACGGTTCAGCCTGGCGGTGGATTCTAATCGCTGGGATTATTATTGGTGCAACTCAGGGCTTCGGGCTCCTGCTGCTGCCGGAGAGCCCGGCTTGGTTGGCGGCGAATCAGAGCGTCACGCAGGCGAAGCGGATTCTGCAGAAGATACGTGGGAACCACTACGATATTGGAGAGGAAACCTCGACGTGGGGCGATTCGGCGGTGTCGCCAGAAGAGGAGGGTTTGCTCGACGACCCAACTGTTGGCTCCAGAAGAGATTCGACTACCAGCAAGGCTAGCGGCAAGAATAATGGGACCCTTGGCTTTCTAGAGGTTGTCAAGGACCCATTATACCGGCCCGCTCTCGTGGCAGCTGTGGGTGTCATGTGCGCCCAGCAATTGTGCGGCATCAACTCCATTATCATGTACTCCGTCTCGCTCTTGAGGGATCTCCTGCCAATCAGCTCCGCGCTGTTGACCATCATGATATCCGCCATCAACTTGATCACCACCCTCGCGTGTTCGCCGCTCCCGGACAAACTTGGGCGCAAGACCTGCCTGCTCATTTCCATCATTGGCCAGGGGGCAAGCGCCCTCGCGTTGGCGTTGTCCATATTATTTGAAACTAAGATACTGTCGGCCATCATGGTCCTTTTCTTCGTAGCCTTCTTCGCCGTCGGGCTGGGGCCGGTTCCTTTCATCCTCGCATCTGAGCTTGTTGGACAGGAGGCGGTTGGAGCAACTCAGTCGGCTTGCTTGGGTGCTAATTACATTGCTACCTTCCTGGTGGCTCAGTTCTTCCCCATCATCAACGTTGCTCTGAATAAGCAATTGGGCGGTGCAGGTTGGGTCTATTTCATCTTCACTGCTCTGGCTGCTCTATGCGGGTTGTTCGTATTCTGGCGTGTCCCCGAGACTAAGGGGAAGAAGGACGCCGATGAGGTTTGGGGCCGGACACGGCGACTTGATTAATGGGACACGATATTTGGAAATTGTTCATTTATTTTTACATATAATGGTATGAATTTGATATCTCTGGTTCGGGGCTATGGATCATGACGGCTGCCTAGGAAGCAATCTCTGATGTTTGATCATTTGCTCGACTTGCATTATGCCTGCCCTCACACCATCTATTACGTGCAGTTCGGAATAGGCAAATTTCTCTCCTTGCGCCTCACTGGCGGCGCTCCGTATAATCGTATCTAAACCGGCCATCCCCGCACACCCCATCAGGATGACTTTAACGCCGCCCTTAGCGAGAAGCCTCTGGGTGGCTTCCTTCAGCTTCTGTCTCACGACGGCGGGATCCACGCCGTTATGGAAATCAGATGCGTTCAGACCCGTAGACTCGACTCCCCTGAACCGCGGATTCGGATCTTCCCGTGCCTTTGCTCCTAAGAAGGAGTCCACACCGTTGGCCAAATGCTCCTCCCACCACTTCCCCGTCGTGACAATTCCCCAGGCGTCGCCGTCCCGGAGCAGGGACAGGGCGGCTAGGACGCTGGCTTCGAAGATGCCGGTTACGGAACTGGAGTACGCGCCGGCGCGCTGCATACAAGATACGAGGGGGTGCACGCTGTAGCAGGCGATTAGGACGCCGTCATAGGGGAATTCGCTCTGGTGGTAGCGGGATTGGAGGTCGGCGAGCACGGTCTGGCAACTGTGTTGCAAGTCTTTGCCGTCGTTTATGCTGGCCGGCGAGGGCTCCGGGGCCGTGTAGGTGTATATTTCGGTGGACTAACATGGTTAACTTATGGAAAAGGTGGGGTTTGTATGCTTTGTAATGAAAGGAAGGGAGTATACTCTTTCAGCTCGGAAAGCGGACTCTCCTTTGAGGTATTCTGAAATGCCTAGCTGAGGCCATCTCACACTTGGGCATATAATATAGGTAGGGTTACATAGACTCTGAAATATGATAATTAAGGGGTGTGCATTGACGTACATATGATAAATCTATAGAATCGATTACACCCTTCAAACCATCTGTCATAGCCTTAGACGAATTGGGGTTTAAGACCAAGATCTTGGTCGTTTTCCCTCGGACGAGTTCGGTTGACATGGTAGTTATTGTCGCTTCCTACCAATATGGGGGTAGTTGATACGGCCTATGAATCTTGTCCGCAGGTGAATATTTAGGAAAGTAATATATGTAGTTATACCCTTAATATGGTTGAATCCAAATCTGATCTTGAATAGAATCAAGTATTTCAATAGGTTATCCAATAGAGATGAACATTCTAGTCTAACCTGTTTCAAGTTAGAGATGAAATTCAAGTATACAGTAGATCAAACATCATGAACTCATAAGGTAGCTCATTTTGGCGGGGTAGCAGTTGTCAACGAGGGGTGTCACCTGACGGCGCTGTATCGAATCGTACCTCTTTAATGCAATAACGAAGCATTTCAGTATCGACCTTAGTGGAACCCGAAACCCCAGATAGAAAGTGGGGTAATCAGCCACATTGACAACGTCAGGCTGTCTCAGCCTCAATGGAATGCTACAACTGTACTTACCTCCAACTGGACCTGGTTTCATTAATTCAAGTACCTGAGTGAACTGAACTGACGAGCGCCTCAACTCCAAATCCAACCCCGCCATCCAAGCTACGAGCTGCCTGGCCAACTGCAGCCTACACGAATCAACGCCAATATACTCCAAATTTCATCCTTAGACGTGTACGGCCTGCCTCTCGTTACCAAGGGAGTTATTAAATCATGGCTGCTCCTCCTATCGGTCAGTAACATTTCACTCTAACCCCTATAGTAACCTGGAAGATAGCTTGAATGGATGTGAACCTAACAATGTCAAACTAGTTCTCGATGGAGGTACCGGTTTTTTAAAGGTCGGATACGCCGCACAGAATTTCCCCGAATTTCAATATCCATCTATTGTCGGCCGACCGATCCTACGAACGGAAGAGAAAAACAATGACAATGACATCGTCCTCAAGGATATCATGTGCGGTGATGAGGCGGCGGCGGCGCGGACCATGCTTCAGATCTCCTATCCTATGGAGAACGGTATCGTCAAGAAGTGGGATGACATGCAACACCTGTGGGATTACACATTCTACGAAAAGATGAAGATTGACCCGAGGGGTCGCAAGATTCTGCTTACCGAACCACCTATGAACCCCCTGAAGAACCGAGAACAGATGTGCGAGGTTATGTTCGAACGATATGGCTTTGGCGGTGTCTACGTTGCTATTCAAGCCGTTCTGGCTTTATACGCGCAAGGTACACATTGAATCCCCTGAGCTTCTTTGGATTCCATTTTTAACATTAAGTTAGGTTTAAGCTCCGGTGTTGTCGTCGATTCTGGTGACGGAGTTACCCACATTGTCCCTGTCTACGAGTCTGTTGTCCTCAACCATCTTACTCGAAGACTTGACGTGGCCGGTCGAGACGTGACACGTAACCTGATCGCCCTTCTCTTGCGAAGAGGTTATGCACTTAACCGAACGGCCGATTTCGAGACTGTACGACAGATTAAGGAGAAGCTTTGCTATGTGTCATACGACCTGGAACTGGATAAGCGTCTTAGTGAGGACACGACAGTACTGGTGGAAAGTTACACCCTGCCCGATGGTCGAGTAATCCGAGTAGGTAGCGAGAGATTCGAGGCTCCCGAATGTCTCTTCCAGCCTCACTTGGTAGATTGCGAACAGCCGGGCATTGCCGAGTTCCTGTTCAACACCATTCAGGCCGCCGACGTCGACGTTCGCTCTTCTCTCTTCAAAGCTATTGTCCTCTCCGGTGGAAGCAGCATGTATCCAGGCTTGCCGTCACGACTAGAGAAGGAACTCAAGCAATTATGGCTCACACGTGTTCTTGGTGGCAATCCCGAACGACTGAACAAATTCAAGGTTAGGATAGAGGATCCCCCTCGCCGTCGACACATGGTCTTCTTGGGTGGTGCGGTGCTGGCCAATATCATGGCGGACAAGGAGAGCATGTGGATCACGCAACAAGAGTGGGCAGAACAAGGGCCGAGGATCCTGGAAAAACTAGGACCGCGATAGAAAACTGAACGGTTCATGATTCGAGCATGCGATGCAGAAATTTAGAGTTGAACGATCATGGTGTTTTACGAAGTTGTAGCAAAAATGATTTAAAATGGTTTTAGCCCAAGGCGCCATCGTCGTTTTTATTTCACCCAATCCATCCCAGTCGATATATCTGTGTCTTGTTCGTCCGGTTCCTCTAGTCGTACGTTTTGATCGTCGTGTATGTGTAACTGACTTGAACCGAATCGTTGTCTCATACGTCGCTTAATGTCTCTATGAGCAGGGGTGACTGCGCCACAAACTACCAGCCACATTATTCGACTAGACTGAGCCAGACTTCAGCTCTTCGAACTTTCAAACGCACGATGATTGATGAGGCAAGGAAACCACGAGTCAATAAACGCAGCCTTTCCATTTCGCCTTCCATCATATATTACACCTCGCCCTTACTCTCCATTTTACGTTATATAATGTAACCCGTTATTTACCCGATTGCATCACGAGCTATTCTTAGTCATTTATTTTATTTCTAATTATTCCCTGTAAAAAATAACAGATAACAAATAACAACATTGAAACTGGACACTAACATACCTAGACGGCCTTCCGACGGGAACAGACACACACCACCACCCGTCATCTCCGTCATCTCCGTCAACGGGTATCCAGTAAGATCCATATCAACTACCCGAGACGTCCCGCCCCCCCTTTTTCCAAATTTTAGAAAGGTTTCATTAGCCAATACGGGCACATCAAAATCTCACCGTCCAACGACCTAATGCCGATAGATCATTATCGGCGCACAGCACTAAAGTAATAGAACGCACAGGCGTATGGGGAGATCCCGCCGGCTGAGAAGAGAGGAGTTTGACGTGAGAAGGAGCGAGAACGTAAGAGAGGAGAGCGTAAGAAGAGTGAGAAGATAGTGAAAGACTTGTCTCATCTCACCCGACCCTGCCGGCCGGCAGTGAACCCGCATCTCGCCGCGGGCGCACGCCTGATCTTTTTTCTCATTCAATCTGGGAGTTGGATCTGGTACCGCGTCTGGATCTGGGATTGATCTGAGCTGACCGGTTGCCCCCAAGCCCAACACGAGCACAAGCACGAGCACAGCAGCAACTAATAAAACGATGAGTCTCAGTAATCCTGCTTCGGCCGCGTCGGGACCTGCTTCGGCCACCGCAAGGAACCAAACCCTGAAGAGGAGCGTACAGGCCGCCTTTGAAGGTACGCAGCAAATGCCATGTTTCTATTAGTCGGTGTATCTTTATTATCTTATTTTTTTTTTCTTCGGTTTTATGTATACCGTATGCTGTAAAATCTGGCTGTTTGCTAGTTTATGTACTTTGCCTACTTTGCTCCTTGCTTTGTTCGCATTTGCCCAACAATTTTCTCCTTCCTCTTTTCGGCCATCACAGTATCTATCCCACACCTTGAATCGCCACCTGATTGGTGGCCTTCGGACTTATTCAACTTTGGCGACATGCTGCGCCGCTAAGAGCTTACCACTCTGTTGCCGTCATGTTCCATATTCATATATCTTCACTACGACTTTGATTTTCCCATTCCAATCCCTTTCTCCTCTTCCACATTAGAAAAGAGCCACCCTTCATCATATGATGGTGTTTGGAGACGGGCTCGATAATCCTCTACGGTATCGCCGAGCACGGCTACCGGAGGACAATAAAGCGTCTTACGGTCCTCCAAACACGGGATTCACTCTACTTAAGTCTTACGAGTCTAGACCAATACACCATACATTGCATACGCCCACATTCCAGCCACACCTTCCTCCGTTCCGTAATCAACGTACGGACTAAACATTTCTTTTATTTTTCCATATTTCACGCCCTTCTAATCGTAGTGGGTGAGTAGCTAATCTCGATATAGATCCTAATGATAGAGGTGGAAGTATAGGCTACCAATCCAAGGTTAGGGTCGTTGACAAGTATAAAGTCATCGGTTTTATTAGTAGTGGGACTTATGGTCGAGTATACAAGGCGCTAGGCCGACATGGCCAACCGGGGGAATTCGCTATCAAAAAGTTCAAGCCCGATAAAGAAGGGGAACAGATACAATATTCTGGCATTTCCCAGTCGGCGGTGCGCGAGATGGCACTATGCTCGGAGTTGAAGCACGACAACGTTATCCGCCTCATCGAAATCATCTTAGAAGACAAATGCATCTACATGGTGTTCGAATACGCCGAGCACGACCTCTTGCAAATCATTCATCATCACACCCAACAACCACGCCACAGCATACCACCATCTACCGTCAAGAGTATCATGTTCCAACTATTAAACGGGTGCCAGTACCTTCACAGCAACTGGGTTCTACACCGTGACCTCAAACCTGCCAACATTATGGTCACGTCGAGCGGCCAGGTCAAGATCGGCGATCTGGGGCTGGCCCGGCTTTTCTACAAGCCCTTGCACTCACTGTGGAGCGGCGATAAGGTAGTGGTCACGATATGGTATCGTGCTCCGGAGTTACTCTTAGGGAGCCGGCATTATACGCCAGCAATCGACATGTGGGCCATAGGGTGCATCTTCGCCGAATTATTGTCCCTTCGGCCTATCTTCAAGGGGGAGGAGGCCAAGATGGATAAGAAGACGGTTCCTTTCCAGCGTAACCAGATGCAAAAGATCGTCGATATCATGGGCCTACCTACTAAGGAGCGCTGGCCCCACCTACCCAGCATGCCCGAGTACAACAACCTAAGCGTATTGCAGCCTCCGATGCTGCATCCAGGCCACCATCACGGCCACCACCATCACCACCATTCCAAGTCCGCCGCCTCGACCAGCCACCTCGAGAAATGGTACTACAGCACCATCGGCGCGCACTCGTCGACGTCGTCGCCGAACTCCAACGCGACCCTCGCGGCCCTCGGCGCCGAGGGCTACAAGCTGCTCGCGGGCCTCCTCGAGTACGATCCCGAGCGCCGGCTCACGGCCGCCCAGGCCCTGCAGCACCCTTTCTTCCAGCCCGCCGGGACGGGCGGCATAGGCGTGAGCGCGAGCTGCTTCGAGGGCTTGAAGGTGGCGTATCCCCAGCGCCGCGTCAGCCAGGACGACAACGATATACGCACCGCGAGCCTGCCCGGGACGAAGAGGTCCGGGCTGCCGGATGATAGCGTGGTTAGGCCCGTGAAGAGGGTTAAGGAGGGCTAGAAGGAGTCTTGGTCTGATGCCTGGGAAGGCGACGGGGATGGGGGTGATATGGGGGAGTGGATGAGATGAAGCGCTTACCTAGGTTATGAACGCATAGTGTTGATGTTCGCTTAGTTTAACACGGAGTGTAGATTCGGCTTAGCTTATGATGGCGTATTTGGCATTATTACTTTGAGGAGTTGGGCATGTCATTAATTAGGAACTGATATGGAGTAAGGCGATAAGGCATAGCATAGCATGGCATGGTATAGCATTACGTCGCATTGAATTGACATTAATGCCGTCTTCTCTACAGGCTTAGGCACTGAAGCGATCACTGGCATTGCAAAATTCAAAATCCATGGACACTCTAATGCTATAATCTATTGTGTCCAACATGCCGTACCTATCACTACAGCCTAAGATTCGATTCTATTTACCTATGTAGTTATCGATCTTTGCAGCCATCCATATTCCACCTTTTCCATCTAACCTATCCTCATCTCACTGAGAAGCGAAGACAACGAAATACGTATATACCTCGCTTCGCCTCACATTCTTCCCTCGAGCAATCAGCAAAGGCCCTTCGATATTACAATATTACAGTATTAATATGTATGTATCTATGTGTACAAAACATGGTACTACCTAGTGTCAAGATAAAAATAAACAAAAACCCGCTCCCGCCAAAACCGCCTAGATGTGCCGCTCCCGTTCGTGTCGTAAAAAAAGCAAGTCAGTATGATGACGATGATATTGTATGATATGTATGGGGTAGATTTCGTGACCAAGAGACAAAAAAGCAAAACATTGGATTGGATATGCGTAGGGAAAAGGGGAGGGGGGCTGGACTTCAATATCGAGGGGCCCTGGGTATATCCACTTTCGCTTCACCAGCTATCGTTGCCCGATCGAGTCCGCGTATATGGACGTATTGACTATGGCAATCTATTGCAGCCCGTACTTCGTTCACCTCCTTATCCCTCTCCCCCTTTTTACTTCCTTCGCACGGGGCAACTGACAAGACTAAAGATTTGGGGGGCTGACATATAGGAGTATGTGGTGGAAAACCGCTGGACTTCTATCGCGTGGCTGCCCCCCATAACCACACGACCCCCCTAATAGTAAAAGCTCAACTCGCACCACACATTGGACCCCCAACGCAGACAAGTCCCTTTATTTTATCGTATCGTGCCGAAAGGATCTCAAATCCGAACCAAATTTTTCTTCGTATTATTAAGAGCCGTAACAGACTATGTGCGAGTCGAACAGACGAATTGCGGCTCGACCACCAAATTGACCCACGCTCGCGCTCACGCCCCCGTTGGCTCTTCGCGACGCAGTTATTCTAAATCAAACAGCAAACAAGGGTATCAAGGGAACAGCAGAGAATTAAGAAGGCCTACTTCTTGGGGGGTGTAGGGGGAACCTTGACATTGTTCGATAGCCATGCCAGACCTTCGAGCAGACCCTCTCCCGACATGGCACAGCTGGGAGCCACGTTCCAGATCTTGTCCTTCAAAGCGGGGAGTTGTAGAGCATCGGTTACTTCCTGGGGACTCATAGCTGCGGAAAGTGTTAGCAATGCTCTCTTATTCCTCCTAGCGCGGTGGAGACTGGTCGAAACATACCATCCTTGATATCCTGCTTGTTCGCGAATACCAATAGCAAGCTGTCCTTCATCTCCCTGTCGTTGATAATGCGGTGTAGTTCTTGTTTGGCCTCGGCCATTCGTGCGCGGTCAGAAGAGTCGACGACGAAGATGAGACCTTGGGTTCCTATTTGCATGTTGACATCAGTGTTTATACTTTTCGTGATTGTTAAATAGCTAGGTGAGTATGCCGTGTTGCCGTGTTCGTGCGCCCACCGTTCGTCTACCGATCCATCCGCAAGTCAACTCCATGGAAGACCTCGCCCACGAACTGGCACGGCGATTAGTGAAAGAACGATTTGCTACTCACCGCTAAAATAATGTCTCCATAAAGGTCGGATCTTGTCTTGACCACCAACATCCCAGACGTTGAACTTGACATTCTTGTATGTGACCGTTTCGACGTTGAAGCCGACTGTAGGAATAGTAGTGACGTCCTGGCCGAGCTTCAGCTTGTACAGAATCGTGGTCTTGCCGGCGGCGTCGAGACCCAACATCAGCAATCGCATTTCCTTAGATCCGAAGATCTTGCCCATCATCTTGGATAGTTGGCCCCCCATCTTGATATTGGTAGTTGGTTGGTTGCGGTTAGGGGAGATTCTGCAAAGGTCGATCGGAATAGGTGAGTTATTCTAGGAAGTCGGGTCACGTCGTGCACTTAGGTCCCAAGTGGATATTATATCGCCGGGGTGATTGTCATGAAAGTCTGGAGGGAGGGAGGGTGGTAGGTAGAGCGGTGATTTGCAAAGCCCAACGCGTAACTATTGGCTACCGCAATTTCTTGTAAACGTAACTAGAGCCGCCGCGTTTTTGGTGTAGTGTGTGGTCGAAGGAAATCGTGAGATATATTTGCAGTACCGACGCAAAAGGGTGTTGCAGTGCTCCGTTGTGAGGATGAATAAAAATAGATAAAAACTACAATTTCCGAGATTGACACATGCAACGACGAATGAGTGGAAGAAGAATAGGGAGATTAAAAAAAAAAGAGTGAGTAAGAACAAGGGGAGGAAAAAATAGTTCGTCGTGTCGATTTCCAAATTAGAAGTTTAATGAAACATTAAAAATACGCCAGGACCCTCATCAAATGTTTCAATCTCCGCTACTCCCAGGCGGGTACAAAAACCATTACAGTGACCGCAGCACCTAAAGCTGCTACATGTAAGGGCTCACACGCGCTACAGTATCACGCTAGGAAACGCGCTGGGTGCCCAATAAGGTTAGACGGCCGGTTTCCCCTGACGGGTAGACAGGTACCTGTAAAAAGGCTGATAAGCGGGTAAGCACGGAGAATAAACGCTTAGGCCATTTCGATCAATCTCCTATCAAGCAATCATCGCAATCATCTTAAAAAGGGGGGCACATAGATCTATCTATATCAACTTACCTACGTATATGTGTATACCTTAGGCGGGTACCTACTTCTAAAAGGGACACCAGTTCGTAATGTAAACAGTCAGGTTTCTAATCTTGTCTAGGACGTAGCTAGAGCTGAAGGACTAGATGAATTGTCAGACAACACTAGGTAGTTCAAAGGAATATTGTAGATCAACTGTCAACTACCTACCTACCCCAGGTATTTTTAGGATATCTCGATGACGCAAAGCATCTAGGGTAAGGAGAATTAAGTGTAATTTTTCCAGGCCCAGTAGGCTCAAATCAGTCGTGGCCGTCCATAATACTTCGCCATTAAGTACAATAAGATTTGCACCTCCTTTTTGTTTGAAGCAAACCTCATAAGGATATTCCCAGACGCAATCCCTGGCTCGACCGACATTCTCTTGCGTAGCTTTGGTTATAGCGACGCGCCGTTACTGTGATCTTCAACCTCGCAGAACGCCTTGAAGGTCGTAAACGAATCATCCGGACCACCTTCAGATTCTAGTACCAACTCCGCGGTGGCGCCAACAAAGAAGACATATCCTTCCTTGATTTCCTCCGTCTTAGGCCCAACCGTGATCTTACCCTTGCCCCCGGTACAGATGACGATGCTTGGTCCATCGAGAGGGTCGAAAGTAGCTTTCGATTTATCACCGTTGAGGACCGTTCTGATGACACTGAACTCGTCGATCGGCGGATCATACAGAGTTGCATCCGAGCCAGAGCTGTAAGCGGTACGGTTGAGCACGACGTATGGGTACTCAGTCGGCTCCATCTTCTGCTCCTCGATAGGGGCATAGTTGTAAGTGAGCAGATCAACTAAGGTCTGGACATCCTTGAACTTTGGCGTAAATCCTGCTCGAACGACATTGTCACTTGCTGCCATACACTCAATGATATCTCCCGATACGTAGGCGTGGATGTCATCTGCCTTAAGGAAGAGAGCTTCACCGGGAGAAAGCTTGACGAAGTTAAGGAAGAATAGGACGAAGAGGCCAATGTCATCAGGGAATTGCTTGTTCAACCGAGCCACTAACTCAGATAGGACAGCTCCGCTAGTCGACTCAACTCCACCATCCGCGAATTCGGCTCCTTTACTCTCGGCGTCTGAAACTAGCGCTTTAGAAGCCGAGGCCACGTCTTCCTGGGAAGAGTTCATGAGAGCGGCAAAGGCAGACTGTAGCGCTCTCTTATTTTGCGTTTTGGATTCAGATGAATCATCACTCTCCTGGCCTCGAACCGTGGCGATGAAAGCTTTTGCAGCATCTTCACCCACTAATTGTCGCAGAGCGGGCACCGATGATAGAAAATGAGCAATTTCGGCGAGCGGGCGGAATCCACATAGACCTTCGAAATCAGTTATGGCAATGGCCATCTCGGGTTTGTGGTTGTCGTCGGGGTAGTTTCTTGGATCTCTGGCATGCAATTGCTCGGCAAGCTTCTTGTTGGGATGGGCTTGAATGGAGAGGGCTTTGTTTATGGAAAGCACCTTGAAGAGGAAGGGTAGCTTGGTGCCATATCTCGCCCTCACTGACGGTGCTAGAAGCATCTGATTCTCCTCAACCAAGTCAAGTAGGGTCCGGCCAGACTGGAGGTCTTTGGACGGATTCGAAGGATGCGTGCCCATCCATAACTGTCAACACAAAGTCCCTCAATATTAGCGATCAGACTGCTTAGATCTCAAGCAGTAACAGACGCACCTCGGCGTATGGCTTGTCTGACTGGATGCTCAAAGTATCTGAGGGCGTTGCTGCGGCAAACTTTGCTGCAGCAGAATCAGATCCAATCTTGCCCCAGTCATAGGAGTTCACTCCACATTGGAGTCTTATCAAAGGGACGGGCAACACCATTCTTGATGAAGTTTCGAAAGCTGCGCTCGGTATGTAGAATTCTTCGATTGAGTCGTGGTCGTGTTTGGGATATGACTCCGTATGGTATTAACTCCACAAATATAGGTATAGGTAGTAGATACCGAATTTAGGAGAAATACAAATTTACTCTACTTGTACGTACTCTCTATCGTGTTGTAGTTTCGTCGTGGACATATGAAAGCATCGAATTAAAGAGGTGAGCAAATCAAATCTTACATAATGTAACGAAATGTTAAAAGCTCAAGATGCGGGGCGTTACTACCCCGCCAAGCTACCGACATTCCATCATAGCCCCACATGAAATCTTCAAAGTTCAATCTGGCAGTCTGACTGCTTAGGTAATCACAAATGACCCCTGAGGTTTCACAGACCACTTTCAAGCCACAGTTGACGGACTGAACTTCAATTGGCGCCACTGAGCATCATAAACAACGTTCATGAGAGGAATCACTCGCTTTTAGGGTTAAGATGATTACACTGTCATCGATTAGAGAAAACATTAGATACGCCATGAAGCCTTTGCTCTCGGGCCTTTCCAATGCTTTTAAATCATCCTTGCTATTATAAAAGGCGACCTTGTCGTGGCTTCCCATTTACTTATGGTACATATCATTCATAATCGCTTTGGTTATACCTGCCTTCTTTTTTAGAATATCGGCTTCAGCCTTCACCCTTCATCGCTCTTTCCATCGCCAAGTGACTTCAAGTCGTCGCCACCTCTCCTCCCCCTTGGCCCAATTAATTAGTAGGTAATTCATTCCTAGCCCAATCTTCCCTGCAATTTGTTTACCTTATAGTAAGAAATTCATCTTTTTCTTTTCTTTTCAACACACGTTTTCAAGGTAGATACATATCTAGATATATACGTGCATATAGCTCGGGTATACTGTTTGGAAAAACAACGAACTGCATTCATTGTCTATTCACTTTCCAGTACCGTCTCTTCACTGCCACCAAGATGGGGACTGACAAGAAGACTAAGAGAAACTTGAAGAGGCTTACCAATTCACTTGGTCCAGCCTGGGATCCTCCGATTAGATCTCGCAGGGCCTCAGGGAGTACAACACCTGCTAGAGACCTATCTGAGCCTGTTGATCCTACAGAATCCAAGCCTAGAAATACACCTACTGCTTCCAATATAAAAAAGGACAGCCCGGCCGAGATGTCTTCCAGAGGAAGCCAACGCAGGGGCCCAAATCGCAACAGCGAGATCGGCGAACATGGAGAGGAGTTAGGAATGTGGAAGGATGTTAAGGAAAAGGTCCCCGGCGTCGCTGAGACGTTCAACGAGAGTAGTCAAAATGTCATAGACATTCGCAATCAAGAAAAGCTCATGGCAGAGAAAAAGGATAACGGCAGTAAGTTCTGTTTTTGCTTTCACTTTATTCGTCTTTCATTATGTACTAGATGTTTACCTTGATATTGATTATAATTAACTGTGTCAGCTCTCACGGCCGAGGATCATAATGAACTTGACAGGCTCTGCCGTAAGGGAGTAAAGCTTAATGAATTGGCCAGCCAAAACATCATGGAAACGATAGAAAAGCTCAAGGTATTGCGTGCCGTGCAGAAGGCCAAGGAGGATCAGCAGGAAGCAAACACTTCCCGAGCAGCTGCTCAGCGGGCCAAGGAATCGGCAGCCGCTGCGTCCTCCTTATACGACTTTGACGGAGCCGGCGACTCCCCTGTTCCATCCCCCAACCCTGCTTTACCTCGTCGCATGGGTGGCGGTAGCAAGGGTGACCGTGACTCGGTACCGCCTCGACTAGACCGCTCTACTCCGGCAGCTAAGGCGGGTAGTGCCGAGCCGCAGTCCGGATCGGCATCCAGTACTAGTCGGTCTAAGCAGACATTTGCCAAGGACGACGAGGTAGCATTCAAACCGAAGCCGCAGAATAATGAACAGACGGACTGGATACTAGGCATAGTCCAAGATGTACGCGGTGATGGGAAGTCAAGACGGTACAGGGTTCTCGATGCCGATGTCGACGAGAATGGCCACCAGAAGGATTTCCGCACCAGTGCCAGCAGCATGATCCTTATACCCAAGGAGGGAACTATCTTGCCACCCTTGGAAACAGGCAAGACGGTGTTGGCACTCTACCCAAATACGACAACGTTCTACAAAGCCGAGGTTATGGGTATGGACGGCGATGGAAAAGTTAACCTAAAATTCGAGGGGGAGGAGAGCAGCAATACGATGCAAGCTGTCACCCGTCGACATGTAGTGGAGTATCGAGGTTGAATGACACAAGTTTTGTTCGGCTAGTTGGAATGTTAGACGGTCGGGACAAGCCATGATTTGAAGTTTTTGGCTTGAGTTGGCTATATGAGACCTAGAAGGTCCTGAGCTCTGTTTGAGAACAGCGCGTGGAGTACAATTTTTATTCCGAGATCTACTCGACTAACGGTACAATAATTGCAGAATTACCTATCCTACACAAGGCACGGTTATAACATGCCGCTTAATGGAAGAAATATCATTATTGCCTCCAAGAAATGTTGGCATTTTGTTGTTGCCCCTTTGCCTCTAGCATTTGATTTGAAAGGGAGGTAAATAGAGATTATTGACCAAAAAAATATACTTGAATGATGCATCATTTCATTTATACAGACCTTCCAATTGGAAAATCCACGATGCTTTACATTCCCACTTTTCGACTCTACCCGGTAATTATGGAGGGAACCACCATTTGTGGATGGGTTAAGAGAGTTCCAATTTCACCCAGATGCAATGTTTGACATAGAAATCATACCAGCAAAACCTTTGAATGCTATCCAGGTATTAGTTTCCAACAGATCTAGTGATCCTTAACCCCCTAAACTACCCTATCTACCTAGATTCACAGTCGTAAGATAGAAGAGCAGCACTCAAGTCACAATCTGATGAGAAGAAAACACGATTCATCCAACGGATTGAATAGCTGAAATTGATTTTTGCCTTGTGTGACAACTCTGTGTTTTAGCCTTATTCACTGTTCTTCTAATGCTTCGGAGAGTTATATTTAAGAGTAAAGGGATAGTAGGATATGTTTGACGTTCAGCTGACCAGCCGTAATATGGTGGGTTTAGTTGACGTCGAACGTGGCAGCAGTCCTTCACGTACAGATTTCCGTCGCTAAGTGCAGTGACTTAGATGGATGCGTGGGTATGCTGGTTGGCCCCTCTATTACCAGAAAGAATGCCAAGTCACATCCAACACTCACTCCAACAGACCAGACCCAATAAGTCGACAGCAAGAGCGAAATCTACAAAATCTTGGAAGTTCCATAGGGCTTCTATCTTGTTTTATCTGCATCACACCCGGATCTTACGTAGGTCTCAGGGCGACCTGAGTCGCTGGATCTGGAATATTCCCTACAGCCATCTGGGGAGGGGAAGAGGGGGGAGCACTCGTTAGCCATGACCCTGCATACGCGACGCACCAATCACATCTCTCGGATCCGTCAAATGCAGCTCACAGCTGCGACAGAAGACACCTCCGTCGGTCAGGTTCTCCTTCGTCATGGCCGAATAGGTAGCCTGCCATTTGCCAGTTTGGTAACTCAGCTCTGACAACAACGAGGATACGGGTTTGCTGTCTTCCTGTCTACCTACCTAGTATCTACCTAAGGTAGAAATCTTTATAAGCCTTTGGTTCTTTTGCCAAGAAAAGGGAGTCATTTCTCGCCAGGGATCAGCAGGTGAAATGACTTGCAAACGGATGCGGGAAATCTGATGGATCTTATTCGGGGCTTGTGGGAAAGACGATGCGTCGTCCAATAGCTGCCAGATACTACTTCTAAGGACATCTTCCTTTTCGTCAGTATGCATGCGTTGGTACTTTTATTCACGTACAGGATACCTAGTTGTCTGCATCACGCCCGGCGGAGGGAACCGGTTTATGGGACAGATGAGCGTGATATGCCTAAGGCCTTATTAGCTGAGAACTCCGTGGAATTGATTGCGGAAGTTATTAGAGCATATCTAAATTGTTCTTATTTCTTTTTTGCGCCTCTATTTGGCTCTGATCTAAGATTCCCTCCTGTTTGCCGTTCCGTGACAGCCTTGACGTTTTCACGATAATCTCTATTCCACTTAGGTGTTTAATTATATACCTCGATGAGCTGGCCTCAATAATATATTACTCTCATTCGGCCGTATAATATACATATCTTAACTTCGCCCTCTACCACTTGGATACCAGCTACGACCTTGGGCTGTACGAGAAATCGCCTACCATTATTAAATCCATAATACGGCACTACAAAACCCGCCGCGATGCTGGCAATCATCATTCTAACCACCCTACTGAGCCTTGCGGAGGCCAGCTTCAAAACACCAAGAACCGCGCTCCCTCCGAGCCCGAGCTTGTCATCCGCAATATCCGCGTCGGCAGTAGAATCATCTATTCCCACAATAGCAACAAGCAGCATAACTCAGTCCCAACCCGTTGAATCAAGTTCTTGTGCCCCGCAGCTGAAGAGCTCTGCTGCTGTCTCGACTCGGTGCTCCGCTCTACTATCTGACGCGCCTACGTCTATATCGACTGCCAGCACGGGCAGCCCCGAAATAACGCCGTCACCTGAACTCGATCCGCCAGGGGCCAACTTCCACGAGATGGGTGCCAAGTACGTCCAGACTACATATTGGAGTTGCGTAACTTTCCCTCTGGAAACACATTGCGGTTGGCACCAGCCCATATTGGATGCCAAAGCAGGTGGGATACGATGTGATGGTAGTGGACAGGCAGCTTTGCGCGCGGGTATCGTGGCAGGTGTCGTCGCAGGTGGATTGGCGCTTGGAATCTAGCGTCTGAGCAGAGCGCCTCTGCTTATTTGGTTTCGTTCTTTTGGGTAGATACCCCGGATGACCTGAGAGATGATGTGATGATTTATGATAAGCTTGCGCCATACGGGACATTAGATACCTGGGGAGATTGAGGCGTCTTGGAGTTAGTGAAGGGAAGTGTTATATGAATATATCGTCAGTGAATAAATAACACGCCAATAGGTCACTTATGAAGAAGAATCTCAAATCGTGATTGCCATATCAACTCCTTGATTTATGCTATCGTGGGGAAATCATCAAATTCATTCCGACACGCCTCGAGGAAAAGTTCCTAAAACCGTATCTCGACTAGTAGTAGGAAGCAGGATGCAGAGAGATGCATTTTCGCATGTAATGCACAGAGCCAGTGCCAAAGCCGAGCCGAACCCACTCCGCGAAGACCGTAAAAACCCATAAGCCCACCGTTTATTTCTCCTTCTTCGCCTTGGCACCCTTGACCTTGGCCGTACCGCGTAGGGTCTTCTGGCGGTTCTTGCGTTGCTTGCCTGTATTTCACCGTGTTAGTTCCAACGATTCCTCCAAAATAGCTAGCTATACCATGGATAAAAAAGCCAGATATGAATGGAGGAAAACGTACGCTGCTGTCGGGATGCTCGCTCGCGCTTGGTGGCCAAACCGACACGGACAAGTCGGTACTGGGGTTCGAACTTCTTCATGGCCTCGGGGGAATCGTAGACGAGGGCGAAACCGGTCGTCTTGCCGCCACCGAATTGTGTTCGTAGACCGAAGACAGAGACCTGGTCCTTCTGAGCCTTGTACATGGTGGAGAGCTTGTCGCGGAGCTGGTCCTTGGAGATGTTGGGTCGGCCGGGATGGAGGATGTCACTATATTAGGGAAATATCCATCATTAGCTAACCAACCCATTTTTGCAATTTGATTTTTCTCCGTTTTGTATCTTCATGTTTATCGTGATTGAGGATAGATGCGATACCGTGCGACACGATAAACAATTTAGGTAAGATGCGAAAAGAGGGATCAGGCGAAGGGTTTAAACGTACACGACCATCTGCTTGCGACCGAGGAGGGGGTTGCGAATGAACTTGCGAGTTCGCAAGGTAACGGGAGTTTCGGAGTCAGCCATGTTGATGGTTGACGATTGACGAGGATCGAAATGAACTGTCTGGAGGGAAGAGGTTGGCGTTGAGACAGAACTTCTCGATGTTGTCGTATTGATTTCGATGAAAGTGGAAAAATCCTTGGAGTGGTAAAATTCGTTAGTCGAAAGTGGGTTTGTGTGATTGGGGCTAAGAATTCACTGGTCCGTGCTTTCACCAGAGTTCAGTAGCATTGATGAATGTGCACAAGAAAGTGCTAGGCGAGGTTAAAACCCTAAGAAATTTGAATTCGATAAGCTTGATGCTGATAAGAAAACAGTACTTTGTACTATGTACCAGCTACTACACTAGCCACACTAGATGTTGGAATCCACATGCCTCTTGTATCTTATTACTTCCAGGGTTCCTCTCACCATTCAAACTTCACCAACATCAACAGTTGGATCCGAACCTAAATGACTTGTTACATCTTAAAAAAGACTTCTCAGACTATTTTTCGGCCAACATTATGGATTTAGAACAAGCTGGATTAAAAAAACAAACTATCGATCGCTTCTGTCGCCAATACCTACAATTAGAACGAGATCTTGACTACCCTTCATCCATACTCTTACGAGAGGCCGATGTACAAGATACTCTCTACAATCAAATTTTTGCGGATGGAGCTCTTGATTATTCTCCTCCCCCAAGATATCAACTAAGAGTACTGAAGGAACTCATGTCCAAGATTGAAGCTAGCATCGAGGATTGGGATAGCCATGTAAGGGGCAACATTCCTCGCTGATGTGAATATTATTCATGTTACGGGGAACTTTCTTTTGCCATGTAGCCATGGCTGATTCCTACTTTTTCTCAGGGAATTTCCGATGACTTGATGTCCTCCCTCTCTAATCTCCTTGCTCTTTCACTTCCATCAGAAATGACTGCTGCGCAGCAAAAGTCATACGTAACCTACACCCCCTCATTGCTTGATATATCAAGTATAGGTAGTCATCATAGTTTTCCCTCGCCTCAGATCACATTGCTAGAGTCGCGGAACCTTATCTCTGCCTCGGGGACGACTGGTTTACGGACTTGGGAAGCAGCTCTTCATCTTGGACAGTTCCTCACTACTAACCCTTCTATCATCCGCGACAAGACGGTTCTAGAGTTAGGGGCAGGTACTGGATACTTGTCAATTCTTTGTGCCAAATTCATGGCTCCTACCATGGTCATCGCCTCGGACGGTTCTGACGATGTAGTGGCAAATCTTCCGGAGAACTTTTTTCTAAACGGGCTTCAAGAGTCAGGGGTGGTCCGAGCTATGGATGTCAAGTGGGGACACGCTCTTGTAGGGACGGAAGATGAGCATTGGAACGGCGGCATACCAATTGACGTCGTCCTCGCTGCCGACGTCACCTACGATAAAAGCATAATCCCCGCTCTCATCGGCACTCTAGAGGAACTGGTGGGGATGTTCCCGCAAATTGCAATTTACATCGCTGCTACCGAAAGGAATCGAGAGACCTTCAACGTCTTCCTAGATGTTTGTAAGGAGAGGCATCTCAACGTCGAGGAGATTAATTATGAACTTCCACGCAGAGAGGATCAACATGGCCCATTTTACAGCGATCAGGTCCCAATTAGGATATGCAGAATATTAAAGTGATAGAGGCTCCTCATATCTTATACCATTACTCGCCTTGCTCTATACTTTGCGCCCTTGTTGCATTCACTCTCAGCACTACTTCATCGCGAGTTGTCTCCTCAGGAGGAATAGATCATCAGTTTGCTTAGCTTTTGGACGAAATGAAACAGTGGATATTGTATGCTGTGGTCAGTTGTTGAGTCGCACGAAGTCCCCTTTGGTAAGGCTCCCCGCGTCCGTCCGTCCCACGTGTACAACACAGCACGACGTACAAACAATATCCCACGGTATTAAGATGCTTCTATGAGATGTTAAAATTCTAAACTGACATAGAAACTTTGTTTCATCTTCCTTCGTTCCCGATCACCTCACCCTCCAATGAAGATACCGCTCAAAACCCAGCTCATCAGTCATGTTATCCAGAACAACATGCTTGCTATTAACCCTAGCTAGAAGCTGCTGTGCCGTGGTAAAATTCACAACAGATCGATGGGAGATTCAGGAAGGAAAAGGATTGGTCCTCACATGGACTGATGCTATCGGCGTGGTTGACATCGACTTGGCGAAGGTAACAGCTGAGGGGCTATTACGGCCCAACGGAATCGCGAAAGGTTTGGGCGTCCATATATAGACCTATATTGTCACCCACTCATGAGAACTTTAGACTATTCAGGCAACAGTACATTCGCTTGGACACCAACTGTCGACCTCACCCCGGGTGATTATGTCTTCCGCATCAGAGACCAATGGAGTGCCGATGAGTCGCCAAGGCTAGCATTCTCTACTCTCTCTGCCCGCTCTCCACAGGTACGATTATGAACTTTAAAGTGCGAGAACATCTCCGCTGATCAGGGCGTATCGCAGAATAACGTATCCCAGGACACTAGCAACGCTAGTAACGGTAACGGCAGCGGTGACGATGGCATCGGACCTAGTACTGCAGCTGGAATAGGGGTTGGCTCTACTCTCGGAGGAATCGTACTGCTGGCCCTAGTTGCTTTCCTGGTCTATCGCGGGCGGCAGAGCAAGACTAGGTTAGGAGACCAAGAGGATGGCGAACACGGCGCGGGAAAGCAGAAACAGAAGGGGCCCCAACTTGACATCTATGGGAGCCAAACACAGGGCTTAGTCGGTAGCTAGGGTTTCCAAATGGCAGTTTCGTAAGTACGTATGCGTCAAATTTGGAAGAATTGCCATAACATCCACCGTGAACACAGAAGAGGCTGTTGCCTCTATACATGGAAAGAGAGCTAGACTTAAAGCCGATATGAAGTACCTAAGAAGTCCATGGGAAGGAACATTCTTTAGCTTACAGAGACGATGATATGGTTATAATAATGCGGGTGTGCTTATAATTAGGTAATTGTAAATACCTAGAACCGTCGAATGAGAAAATCAAGGCATCACCTTCAGGTACAGTACATGCCATCTTTGCAGGAATGAATAGGTACCTATATAAGCATGATTTCCCCCAAAACAAGTCAATATCTAGTTAAGGTACAATCTAAGCCTCATACACCGTAGGTATCTTTCAGCAGAAACTAGTATCCTCGCCGAAAACGGTTGACCAGTCTCTTCATCTTTTCCGTGGTTCGCTGCTCAAGTGATCGGCTGGAACATTCTTCAAGGATTGCTGTATCCAAGCCGGCGCTTCGCAACTTGACTAGATGGCGATTCCATTGCTTCCTTGTACTGCTTCTAGTGATACCGCCACGCTCGATGAGTAGTAGGGAGGTGGCATACTTCACCAACAGCCAGCTCTCGTCAGATTTACCAGGGTCCCCATGCGGTATTCGAAAATCCGAAATTATATGGTCTAAGGGGGTATTACCCAAAGAGTCGGTCTCATTGACTTCAGCTCCACGATCTAATATGCAACGGGCGAATTCCGGCGTTCTCGCTTCATGCAAAATCTTCACACGATGTGGGCGGAATTGGCGGAAGATACGAGGTCGATTATCGAAAATTTCGAAAGAAGGTTGGAACCATATGTCTGCATCTTGGCAATGTGCGATTGCCGTTGGAACTTTTTCGTCGATGTACTCGTATAAAGAAAATTCCTCTGAATAATAAAGGAGTTTCATTGCCGCCATGATTTCTCCTATATGTTTGACGGCATAGCCGTTTTCGAAAACGAAGCGCAACAGAGAAAGTTGCCTTGGCGCATGTGTAATAGAGTATGGTCTTACCGATACCAACTCCTCTTTCGTGTTTCTGAAAACGTCGGGCTCAGCACGTAGCGTATCCTCTAGATATAGCCCCAGGTTTAAAGAAACGGCTAGGGATAATGGTCCTTTCACATGGTCATGAATGTGTTTATGGTAGTAGTTGTCGTAGGCTTCTTTCGGAATACTGTCGATGAAGCCCTTGAGGCTGTTCCCCGTCGTCGCCTCATGGAGAGATATATGTCGAAGGCTGCAAGGATTTATCTGCCCTTCGGCAAAGTAATATTTAACTAGGAAGGTATGGCCATTTTCCTTAATTCGTCTATCTCTAGGATTCAAGATGGCTAAAATTGTCTGCTTAAAATCCCGGCTGCGGACAAATTCTCTCACGGTTTGGTGTATGAATTGTACCACGAATGGACCTCTTTTATTCTTGATTATCTCGACCAGATTGCCTGTGGTGGTTACTATCCTGTCTTTTCTTTTCGCGTCCAGTTTATAGGGCTCTTCAATATGTTTTTTCTTGTTGGGCTTCTCTCCATGCCATAATCTTTTTAGCATATTCTTTTCTGGGTTTACTCTGCGTGGATCCACAACGCTGCGACAGCCTTCGTAGCTTGATTTCTTAGAGCATTCAATTATATCAATTATATCAATTGGGCCAAGAGATCTATCAGTCTTTGACAGCACCTCGAATATCACATATGCATTCCAACGAAGGTTCTCCGGTATGCGACGGAGGGTTCTGACATAGTAATCTTGTAGGTCAGAGGGGATCGAGTTGAGGGAGCTTTCAAGCTCATCGGTGTTTTTTTGGGCGGCTTCGTTCATCAACTCATGCAACGCTAGCTTGACCCAGAGAAAAACGCCGTTTGCTCTGTCAATCACCTTTGGAATGATAGGGCTCAATGTGATAGAGGGCTCTTCGCCTCTCGAATAAACCATGCCCCAGCAGTAGTTCTCAATGTCGTCTTTTGTATAATCCTAGAGTTGTATCGACGAGACATTTTTGAATTGACGTGTGAATTCTTCCCAGGGGCGGCTAGAGAATAGCACCTTCAATTTGGTGCGGGAATTGGCCGTCATACTTATCATATCCTGCAGAAAACGACAGATGAAGTCAGGATTCATATCATGCTCATCCAAGGCGTCAAGAAGGACGAATATCTTCAAATCTAGAACGGTTTGATGAAGGATTTGGCGGAGGCAATTTTCCAATATATTAAGGGTCCAAGGATTGTCTTGTTCTCGCCGCGGTGGAAGTTGTCTGAGAAGCCCTTCTATGAGCTCCGCGCCAGCCCTTCCACATTGCTGGATTTGGCCGATGATTTGGTGAAGAATGCTTCTTAACAGCCCTTCAAAAGACTTCTGTAGCAACGTTCCCCTGTCATGGAAGAAGAACATAGCAGATATTCTGAAAGCTCCAGATGAGAGCTCATGAAGGTGTTCTAAAGTACGTTTATCTTCGGCAATGAACTTCATCAGTGTCGACTTTCCAGACCCCGGCTTTCCATGGATCCAGAAGAAATTATTTCCATCCTCAAGCCACGTTGCGAAAGGGGTTTTCTCGACATCGAAGACCCATTCATATGTATGTTCATAGTTCTTGTCGATTGTATGAAAGCGAGAACCTTGATTAAAGAATTCTAGTGATTCCATCAGATCTATTCTCAGTCAATGTCAGTTAGAGTATAAGGAAGGCCGAAGGTCATCTTACCCTTGATTGACCAACTCCGAGTGTGATGGGCTGTGGAAGCACGGGGTTCATCATGCCCCATTAGCCTATTATTTTCTATGGTCCCATGTGACTCTAAAGTTGGATTTGGTACTTCAGCCCTTGTCCTAACGCTACTATTTGACCTGGAACTGTCCTGGCATAGCTCTCTCAACTTGTCCTTCACAATACGAAGATTTGGGTTATCTGCTCCGAACTTGGCCATCTCCGAGTGGTTCTCGTTGATGGGAAAGGTAAATGGTGGCTTTGAACCATATCGGTTGTGTGTCGCCGACTCCTTCGAAACTAAGATTTCTTCTGGACCTTCCCTTGTAAAAGATCCATCTGCTGTCTTCTATAAATGGCTACGTATTAGTAAAATGATAGATATCTACACACTAGGTGAGGAAGGTTACGTGGTATAGCTCACCATAACAGTTGGCGACGTCTTAGTCTCATAACCCCAGTAGATGCGTATGTCTCTAACTAGGGACAGGCCGGAGAACTTATCATCAAGTTCTTGTAGATATTCCGAACCGCTCGATAAATCATGAACCATCTGCTCGTTGACCTGATTCTTGACCATGGCGAGAAGATGTGAAGTAGACATGCCTTGGCTAGGAACACCAAAGAATATACCTCCTTTAAAAAGCCCAAGGATGTGTGCAGCCAGCTCATCGCTGTCTGCTAAGAAAGTAAACATTTCCTTTAGGACAATACCACCTAGGCTATGGGCCAAGAAAATCAATGGCTTTGCACTGGGAAGAGCCCAGCCGGAGGATTTGATGTGGTCGATGAGAGATACCGCTAGATCCTGGATGGACTGGAAAGAAGTACTCCCTGCGAGAGTGGTATCATATCCATATATGCTGATTCTTGTTTCGGGTATGGCGCGCGGTAGTTCATCTCGTAGCCACATGAAGCTTTTGTCCCTCCCTTTTGGTTGCCATGAACCGAACGGGTGACTTGCCAGGCCCGAAATGGCAATACAGCTTGATTTGGTTCATATATTAACATGAAGTTCGCTAAACCAAGGAAATTCCACAAGTACTTACTTGAATTCATGTTTCGCTTCTTCAACATCATTGAGAGGTGTCATCCCTCTAAAATGAGTGTCAAGAACCAAAGGTCTTTCAAACCCAAGAACCTTTAGGTCCCATGTGTCTTGTTCTTTCTGCGTTTCTATGAGAGCTGGAAGTCTCTTGAACACCAAAGTCCCCACTTTGGTTGGCGATGTCACCCATGGTTCTGGATCTGTGGCCAGAGACTGAATTTGTATATCATCGCGCGAGACATCTCCGAATTCTCGGCTGAGAAATTCAGCAGCTGTCCCAGGATGCAGATGAGCCGGGCATCCTCTCAACCGATAGACCAGAGGCCTCGGTGAATTGGAAGCCATTTCCGGCAATTACATGATGGGTTTGATATAGAACGGACTGTGAGGGAATGAATAGTATCTAGAGGCTGAACGTGATGGAAGAGAAATGAGAAAAGACAGAAGGCTGGAGGGGTTTTCAATTTGTGGCTGGCTGGACCCCAGCTCATGCAGTGGGATATTTTTGAAGTCACCCTGGCCTATCAGTGCCATCCAGCGCTTAGAAATACCTTCCTACAATGCGACGAATCGGCGTCGTATAAGAACAAGAAATCTGCCTTGCTACAATGTATTGACCGCCTTTAGAACTGCGCGTTTTGCTCAGTGACAACTCATTAAACCACCGATCTATATCTACCTAGGTAATCATAACGCTAATTCCAAAAAAAAAAAAAAAAAAAAAAAAAAAAACCGCCATGAACCAACCCGCCAAACCAGCCCCCCTCGACCCGCCCTTCCCGCCAAGCCAGAGCCTCGTCGACCTCCCCGCGATAACGCACCCGGCCGCCATCCGCTCCGCGACGGCGACGCTGCTGCTCCCCTCGCAAGACCTCGCCGGCTACCTCGCGCACGAGCTCGGCACCGCGCGCCTCTCGCGGCTGCGCGCGTACCTCTGGCTCGCGGGCCTGCCCGTGCCCGCGCGCCCGCTGCACCGCCAGCGCCTCATGAACCGCGCCGTCGTCGTCACCGAGCGCGCCGACGAGCACCTCGTCTGGCACGAGCACCGCATCTTCGTCAAGCCGCTGCCGGCCTTCCTGCTGAGCCACGGCTTCTGGACCGCGCACCTGTGCGGTGGCGGCGGTAACGGGCGCGACGGCGCGGGCCTGCACGCCTCCGCCCGCGGCATGCTGCTGAGCTACGCCTGGCTCGTCGCGCACCCGAGCGACTTCGCCATCGCGTCCGACCTGCGCTTATTGCCCGCGGGGATAACCTGGGAGCGCTGGACGGCGTTCGCCGCCTGCGTGCTGGCCTCGCTGGACCTGCGCGCCATGGACGACGTCGACCCGCGGTACCGGTACGGCGAGCTGCGGCTCAGCCGGCTGGACATGCTGACGCGGTGGCCGCTGGTCGCGGCGGAGTCGTGGTCGACGCGGACCTTCGTAGACGGGTACATGAGCAGCAGCACCTGGTACACGGCCTTCTTCGAGCGCCACTTCGGCTGGCTGCTCGTCGGCTTCGTGTACGTGAGCGTGGTGCTGTCCGCGCTGCAGGTAGGTCTCGCGACGGACTTGCTGAGCCAAAACAGCGAATTTCAGAATCTCGGCCTCGGGGTCACCGTCGCCGGGCTCGTGGCGCTGTGTCTAGCGCTGGGTTCTATCGTGATAGTTTGGTTTGTTCTGTTCTGGTACCATGTGACATCGACGATTATGTTTGACAGGAGGATACGCTTGGAGAGGAAAAGGAGCGCACAGGAGAAAACGAAAGACACCTCTTAAACCTTGACTGTTTTCAGTGATTCGGCTACTGGCCTTCGATATCGATTTGTCGAAACCAATTAAATGAGTAATTGTAAGCCAATTTTGCGATAACCCTTCTTTATCTAGATCTAACAGACAGAGAGTGCCCCGCAATACGGATCATAAGCGGTTTCTTGAGAAGATCCATCAAAGTTGAAAGCTGTATAACTATCTACCTAGGAAATCGCTTACATACGTATACAGAGCCAAATCATGGGAAGTAGATGGTTAGCCATAGACCTTAAGTTTGAAACGGGATTGGTTATGCCCTATTGTATATATATAAACTAAGTATACTTACTGCTGCCATTTTACAGTCTCATTTTATACGCTCTAGCAGGATAACATAAGTACGTTATAGTCATAAAGAATGACATAACAATTGTCTCCCTAGCCATGTGTCAGACACATCTAATGTTACCTACGTACTAGACTACAGGAATAAGACTAACATAAGAAGGATTACGGGCATTGTACCTGATTCACAACTCATAAATACTAATTTAGATTACAATGGCTGGTTTAAACACGTGATATCACAGCAAGAGCAAGAGCAAGATAAGGTACAGACTTGGCATTCAATTATCATTGTGCCATTGGATCACTACCTAGGTACTTAAGAGTTGGAAGAGTACCTCTATCAACGTAGACGCCCCAACCGCGGAGCTGAGCTCTTAGCCCACAAGCTTAGGAGGGAATCGCATCCACAAGGGTCGTCAGTGAGATGCTTCCTCAGCGAGGTTCCCTCCAAACACAACGCATTTAGAAATGAATAAAATGTGCGGTTTGTGAGAGAGAATGACGTGAAGTATAAACAGCAAACGAATCCCAACCATGGGGTTTATTTTCTCTCCAAGCCGCTCTATCCCCTCGAAGAAGTGTATTGCCGGATGCTGGTTGGGGGTCCTTGGTATTGCAAACGAAAATCAACGTATCGGAATGCCGCCAGCCCCCTAATCCAGTCTCCGGTGCCGTCCAAAAAAAATCAAATCGCGAAAAGAAATGGCCATTCTGATCTCCAGTCAAGTCCCGTCCATTCGTACGTAATCTCTGCTCGGAGGGATCTACCACTCCGTCGCAATAGTCGTGAAGAGACAGAGACGTTCGGAGCATGCGATCATTATTGCGTGAAAAAGAAATTGGGGCCGATTATGTCTTAAGCCACCACGACGCCACCTTTGCGCTTCTCGGCGCTAGTGAGGACGAGCATAGGCGCTTTCCTCTGTCCGTCGATCGACTCGGTCTTGCCTGGTCGTTGAGAACCATTCTTGAACACGCTCGCAAAGCTACCTTCACCCTCACCGCCGCTAGACAGGCTATCGACACTCTTGCGCGACTTCTGACGCGAGCCCGGTCGATCGGAGCCAATAGCTCCCCAGCTGCCACTGGTGGAAGTCCTGGAACTAGCCAGACTCGGTTCCGCGTCGCCGGAGAGGCTGCCCGAGCCACTACGTCCAGAATCAGACTCGTTATCGGTCAAGGGGCTACCTACTTCCTCGGCGCACTCAGATACGGGGCTCATGCTTCCGCAGCTACTACCCGTACCCTTACGTCTAACCATACCAGCCTTCACCAAGTTGTGGACAGCAGAGCGGCGAGTTCGCGCCGCAAAGTTCTTGCTACCCTCATGCTTGGCAGTGGGCTTCGCCCTAAGTTCATCCAGCGCTGGAGGACCACGAGGCTGCCGAATCGGATGCTCGCCAGCCCGACCCTGACCGGGACCATAACCACCATTAGTCATGGGCGTCAACGGGAAAGAGGCGGTCTTTGGACCAGCTGACTTCGGTGCTTCGTCCGTCGATAGAGACAATCCCTTATTGACACCCGCCAGAGACGATGACTTCTTATGACCTCGACGGAAAGCGTTAGCAGATGGTGGCGGAAGAGGCGTGGGCTCTGCCGTCAACTCTACTTTCTTCGGGGGCGAGGTGGTCCGGAACGTAGGCGGGGTGTTCTCGGCAGGCGGCGGCGAAACTTGCACACGAGGCGTGCTGTTGCTGGGCTGATGGCGGTTATAACCCTGGGGGGTGCCAGGAGTTCGCTCAACGTAGTTGTTGCTGGCGTTGGCGTTGCTCATCTGGCCGACACCCTGATCAATGTAGTACACCTGCTGGCCAGACGCGGGGTCGAAGTAGGTGTACAGATTTTGCTGAGTGGGAATAGATGTGGCCATCGACTGCTGAAGGTTCTTGAGTTGCTGTTGTTGATGATACAAGTTCTGCAGAGCCATCTGCTGCTGTAGTACGGACTGCCCGCTGAGGCTCATGTTCTGAAACTGCTGGGCAGCAGCCTGAACACTGAGCAACTGCTGCTGTAGTCGTTGCTGCTGCTGGGCCAAATACATATTGGTGGCTACCAACTGAGCATACAGGGAAGGGTCCATCTGATCCTGAACCTGTTCGTCAAGATGAAGCTCGGGAGGTGCCAAAATCTGCTCAGCAGTGTACTGCTGGTGGCTCATGTTCATCATCTGATTGTAACCTTGCTGCTGCTGCGGCTGATGTTGCTGCTGCTGCTGGGACGATAGGCGAGGAAGAGAAGTCTTGGGTCCGGCGTACATGTTCTCTTGGTTGCCGTACATGTTTCCGGCGACGCTATTCCTGCCATGCACATGAGAAGGTGGGACAGCAGAAGTGGGGGAAGCGGCAGCGAAAGAAGTTGCCGTAGCTGATTTCGGGGCCGTTCTGAGGCCTGCAAGCAGGTGAGATCGACTGGTTCGCGGGGTTGGAACACCGTTATCCTTGTGTTCAGAAGCAGCCTTGATGGCTTCGAAGGACAGAGGCTTGATGTTCTGGCCACCGCCACGACGCGAAGCTAGTCCTCCGGTGGGCATGCCCAATCCAGTAGAACCGAAACCGTTGTGCGCCATTTGAGCGAGACCGCCGGTGTCCATTGCTCAAATTAATGGGTGAAAACTATGATCTATCGATTGAAAACCTGCCAATGGCGAAGTCGAGGCAGAAGATTCAAATGCGAACGACGGCGTGGGAGCGATTAGAATAGAAATCTAATAAGGAACGGATGATTGCCGCTAGAATAATAGGGCGATCAAAGGGATATTACAACAAAAGTAGATTGGTGATAATAATAGTGAGCCGAGAAGGTCGTGATTAATGCAAAGGTATAGTTGGTACTGTCGGAGTTGACGATTGCGTAGTGTGGCCAGACAATCGGCGCAACGGCTAACGATGTAGCAATTGGAAGAATGTCGTATCAAACGCGTGTTTGCCGGCAGGATCCAACAAAACCAAGAAGGCAGTTTTGTCGATGCTGATGATAGAAAGTTGTGAACAAGAAACAGAAGAGGGCGCGAGTAGATGTAGTTGTCGTCGTACTTATTTTACTCCTGGGGCGATATTAAAATATTCCGTAGTCGTGTCCGAATGAGCGACAGACGTAGCCAATGATGGGAAACTGCGTAATGAGGTCCTGGAAGAACGAGGACTAGCAAGAGCGAGACTCGATGATTGGAAGTGAGGTTTCCAAATCGATACTGGTCAAAGAAAAGGTTAAGAAACTAAAGGCTGATGCAAATGACGATGTGGAAAGACCGCGATGTCGAAATCACACAGGGATGAGATAGAAGGGCTATTAGAGACCAAGGCTTCCTTCTTTGTTTCTCCTGACTCGTCCGAGAGCGGCTTAATCGGGCAAGACGGGAATCCTGATGCTGATAAATTGGCAGTGTCGACTTGTGTTACTTTGCTTTGTTCCTGTTCCTTAGGTGGATGTCCCCGGCAAGTACCTCGGGATAGTTGACAGTTCCTTGTTTGCCAGTGGTTCCGATGAAAGAATCGAGAGCGAGGGGATGTCTGATGCAAACCACTCTTACTTGTCAAGCTCTTGATAGTTTCTTTTCCCTACTTCTCCTGAACGTGCGGTATGCAGCTCCTCGGTATCGGGTTGACGTAGTTGGGAGGGGACGCGAAATTATTGGGTCAGTCAAGTATAGGGTATACGTAAAAGCGATGCGAATCGAAAATGGCGAAAAAATACGTTGATAATTTGTACAATGATTAAGAAGTCGATGGAGTCGATTGAGTCTTCCGGCTTTTCTATTCTCTTTTTGTTTTTCTTGTCTTTTTCCTATTTCCCTGGTCCTGCTGTGAAAAAAATGCTGTGTTGGATTGACGATAGTGGCGAATTGTCTTCTTCTCGAGAGAACGCGGTGCTGCTGCAAGCTGCAACTTTGTTTTTTGGGCTTCTGATGAAACGACGAAGGACAAGCCAACGACGGTATGGACTAATTGATTTTTTGGCGCGCGCACACAAAAAAAGAACCTCGAGGAGGATTAGGAACCAACTGGCAGAGAGGGAGAATAAAGGAAGGGCGATTTGCGATCGAGGGGGGAAGAAGGAGGGGGAGGAGGAAGAAAGAGAAGATGGACAAAAAAAGTTGAGAGATGGAGAGAGAAATGTGTGATAGATGAGAAAGAGAAAAGGTACTTGTGTGTGGTCCGCAAGTGGCCAGGAGGAAGGAACAAATAGAGTGGGAAAAGTGAAAATTGCTGCAGTGGGTTTTAGAAGTGGGCAGGTAGTCTCAAGCTTGGTTCCTTTTGGGTCAGGCCAGCGAATGCACCTGCAGCAAGTACCCTAGAGTCAGGAAGGTACCTACATCTAGGGTACTCAGACGGCAGTTGCACGTTATTTGGACTGCTAATTGTGCGTGCCTGAGCAAGAAAAACGCAGAAACCATTAGCAGTACTGTGTACCTTTAGCCTAGTACCTTTGGTACCTACCCCTAGACCCGGTTGACGAGTCGCGACCGGAATATTTGATTGGCTGCAGGTGTTCAATTTTGCCGCGATGATGGAGTACTAGCGAGTCCCAAGTGGATCCGGAACATCAAATTGGCCACTAAAATTCAATATCCGACTTTGATGAGAATTTAGGAAAGCACCTGGGCAAGCACAGCACACTCGCACCTTCGCCTTACGTACATAATAATCTCTTGTCAAGAGAAAAACATTGTTCAGCGACCTTGGATGTCTTTATTTAGGTACACTTCCATACCTATACTTGCGCCATACATAGTGCAGAGCGTACCTAATAGAAAAGAAGAAAAAGTACATACTGAAAAGTAACAGAAGCAAACATTTACATCACAAAGGTACAGTAGGTATCCAGGTAGCCCACATTCGAGAAGAATGAACGTTAGATGGAAGAAAGGGAATGTCACTGACACGAGTAGGTAACACCACAATTGAGGGACCGCCGGATTCTGATTGGCTTGGCGGGCTCAGCAGACCAAAATGCAATGTATCGTACAGTATGTTTAAGATCTAAAAGGAGTTGTGGTGTGATGGCCAGCGCAGTCCTAAAGTGGTACCATCCTTTCAAGCTGCGATGAATGGATTTCAATCTTTCTTCGCGGGGATCAAGGACTGGCCAACCAAAAGACGGCTCTCCCCTAAAAAGGGGTCCGTAAGGAAATTTTAGCCAAGCTTGCTGACAGGGGCTCATCAAGATGTGTAGTACATTATGTAGTACATACAACCCTAACTAAACCTGCTAAACACAGGTACCACTGAACATTACATCGTAAATGCCTTGTCTTAATATTTTAAACACAACCTTGAACCTTGGAACCTTCAATGATGGGAACACCCAATTGCCTACTACTAGGTAGTACACCAAGAATCTTATCAATCTCGACTTCCGTCTCAGTTACCTAAATCATTTTGAACAGATGGAAGGAATGAATTAGAATCGGGTCGTTTAGGGGAAGGACCGCGTATTTTGTAGCTTCGACGTTTGCAACACCCCCTTACAACATGTACCTACCTGCCTCCTAAGTACCTATCTACCTGTATTACACATATACGTATCGTATGTACTTGTAGGTACCTAGTCACTTAAAAACCTATTCCCGATGTGGCTAATACTCCCTCCTTTTATAACTTCGTATCCATCACATCAAGATCACCAGCCAATCAACATTAATCATGCATTCACAATACACAATGCCTTTTCTTATTAAATTATGCATCTTACTAGTTATTGTCTACCTTTGTCCCTATGTACTATGTATTAAGGCTTCCAATCCTGTTCATAATCCTTCTCGAATGTATAGCTTTCCAACTTAGGAAGCTTAGAACGTTGAAGTCCGTAATAGTCTGGTGAGTACCAAGAAAGAAAGAGGAAAGAAAAAGGAAAACACGGTATGGAAATCGAAAAACCTGACTTGGTTCTGGAACTTCGACCCTCACCACTTTTTGTCCATTTAGCTTCTGCACGCAAGAGGCGTGTAAGAAAAGGAAGAGGCAAAAGGGCCAGGAGGATCTTGGTGATTGGCGAAACGGGTTCGAATGAGTCTACCATCGCCCAGATTCGGAATCCAAAGGATTTCTACCATGCGTATGGGGAAATTGAAATCCCTGTGATCGACCTACCATGCTAACTCGGCCGTTTCATGTGTCTGAAACCCAGCACATCATCATGGAGGAGCTGAGGAGTAGTACCTAGTGGAGGTGTTCGGGGGTCCTGATATGCAGGCTTAGGCATGGCTTTTCGCATTGATCATCCGAACATGCCTAGCAGCCTAGATAACTTCCTGCGGTCAAAGAAACTGCGAGTTTCTTCGTCACGGGCTGACGCTTCAAAACACTCATTTACGACCACTATGTAGAATCTCATAGTGCTGACGACAATTAACAGCTTAAAATTCCAAATGCAACCAGAAAGTATTACGGTGGCGTATCGCACCAAGACAGTTTCTAGTCACCGTTACAATCGCAACTCCAAGATCTACTATGCAGGTGTCCTGATTCAGGTCGGTTACCGATGGATCCTCATCGGTCTAGTCGGTACAGCGCGACAAGGCTAGCACGCGAATCATCCCAACCTCAGGGTTGAGATTCAAGCCCCTGTCCCACTAGCCCTCCAGACATTCAGATACTACTACTAGAGTGGAAGCAATCCATAGCGACTACCTACTCTTAGATATATATATATACCTATGTGTATAGGTAGGTATGTATGCTATAAATGACATAACTTTTCAATCAAGCGATCAACATTATATCGTTACCGATGGATGAGAGAAAAAAAGGATCAGCCAGCTACTAACCTTACATGCTTCCTGTGAGCCATAGCCCTAAAACTGAGCGACGAGAGTTGCTAAAATCATCTGAGACATTCACTTCTACAGGTTCCACTACGTTACCCCCGAAGAGTGGAGAGCCTTCGTAGGCTTCATACGTACATACATTCTCGAAGTTGACGAAGATTTACGACCACGGACATTCAGGAGTTCGTCAAAGGACCCTTGCAGTTTGGAAGGGGTCACATCTATTACTTCTCGAATTCGAAACATGAGTTCACAAGATCGAGCATATGGCCTGACCGCCAGGAGACGTCACGCTGAGCGCGTCTAAATTCAGCCTTGACTGCCCGGCACGACTTGATCACCTCCGGTAGACTGGACCGTCGTCTAATTGACGCCGAGTTGCGAAACAAACATACACCTGCGGCTAACGAGCCAGCGCTGGATTAACCAGCGTCTTAAGAAACACCGCGCATGCAATATTCATGTACAGGCTGTATGAATTCACGATCAAATGCAACCCATTTCGAGACCTACAGGTGTGCGACGACCCAAGCAGCTGGTGACTTCGCTTATCGCCGTCATAATCAACTCGACGGACACCAACTGCTCTATATAAAGACATTGCGGAGCCACGTGTTCACGCCTTAAGTGATAATCTGGGGAAGAATTGGGTACCTAAGGATAGCAGGCCTTTTCGCCTCTAGGTCCGTGTGTATATATAACAATTGTATATTGTATTTAAATGATAAGTCACTGCAAGACATCATTTCCGCCTCAGAGCTAGGCTTGTTGACTGTCCCTAAACTAGAAGGTCTTTATCT